TAACCTAACCTAACCTAACCCTAACCTAACCTAACCTAACCCTAACCTAACCCTAACCTAACCCTAACCTAACCCTAACCTAACCCTAACCTAACCCTAACCTAACCCTAACCTAACCCTAACCTAACCCTAACCTAACCCTAACCTAACCCTAACCTAACCTAACCTAACCCTAACCTAACCTAAATCTTACATAATCAACCCCTATCTCTCCTACATAATCCCCTACTACACTTATCTCCCCCTAATCCTATCACAACTACATTACCTCCCTCTACTCCTAATCCTACTACCTATCCTAATCCTAATCCTACTACCTATCCTACTACCTATCCTAATCCTAATCCTACTACCTATCCTACTACCTATCCTAATCCTAATCCTACTACCTATCCTACCACCTATCCTATTCCCCCTAATCCTACTCCAACTACCTATCCTATTCCCCCTAATCCTACTCCAACTACCTATCCTACCACCTATCCTATTCCCCCTAACCCTACTCCAACTACCTATCCTATTCCCCCTAACCCTACTCCAACTACCTATCCTACCACCTATCCTACTACCTATCCTACCACCTATCCTACTACCTATCCTACCACCTATCCTACTACCCATCCCACTACCTACCCTACTACCTACCCTACTCCTACCACTTATCCTACCCTATTCCTACTACCAACTCTACCACCCAATCTTACTACACTATCACTCCTATTCCTATTCCTATTACCTACACTACCCTATTCCTAATTCTATTCCTATTACCTACACTACCTACCCTATTCCTATTCCTATTCCTATTACCTACACTACCCTATTCCTATTCCTATTCCTATTACCTACACTACCCTATTCCTATTCCTATTCCTATTCCCATCCATACCAACTACTCCACCTACCTATCACACACTACCCTACTTACAACACCTACTCTACCCTATTCCTAATCCTACTACCAACTTTTCTTTTTTCCATCTACTCCATACTCTATTCTCCTATTACCAACTACCCTACATCACTTACACTACTACTACTACTCTCCCAATCCTACACTATCCTATCATTCCTACCAACTACACAACCTACACTACTACTATCAATCACTACCAACACTACCCTACTTACCCTACTTACAACACCTCCCATTTCCCCCTACACTACCCTATTCCTACTACCAACTCTACCAACCACACAACACATTTCCAACTACACTACTCTCTTATTCTCAACTACCCTACCAATTCTACCTACACCACCACCACCACCACCACTACTACTACTCTTTTCCTCCCACATTATCACTTCCTTATTACCAACTACACTACCATTACTATCACTACTACTTACATTCTCACACACTACCCTATTCCTATTACCTACAACACCACTACTACCTCTCTTTTCTTCACTCCCTACTCTATTCCTATTCCTACTACCAACTTTTCTTTTTTCCATCTACACCACATTCTTATTTCCATTACCACCACTACTCCTATTACCAACTACCCTACTTTCTCTACCACAATTTTCTTCCCACCCTACACTACCTACACTACTTACACTACTACCTCAATTTTCTTCCCACACTACACTACCATTACCCCCACCACCACTCATTACCAACCACACTACCCTATTCCTATTACCACTACCATTACTACCACTCCTACTGCCACCACCACTACCACTACTTACACTACTACTACTACTACTACTCAAATCATCCCACACTACCCTATTCCTACCAACTACACTACCATTACTATTACTCTTAATACCACCACCACCACCACTACTACCACCAATTTCATCCCACACTACACTATTATTCCTATTACCAACTAATCTACCCTCACTACCATTATTCTCACTCGCGGGGTGTCCACGGCGTTATTTCCACATTATTTACCGGGGTTTTCACGCGGGTTATCGACGGGTTATTTACCGGGGTTTTCACGCGGGTTATCGACGGGTTATTTACCAGCGTTTTCACCTGGGTTATCTCCACATTATTTACTGGGGTTTTCATGGCCGTTATCTCTGCCTTATTTACCAGCCTTTTAATGCCCATTATCTCCAGCTTTTCTACTGCCATTTTCATCCCAGTTCACTCCCCATTACTTTTCCTACTTCTCTCACCAACTCACTAATCTCTAATCTCTACTCATCATACAAACTACTAGTCTGTCTTACCACTCCAGATAACCAACCAGTCCCTTATTTTTGCTAGTCATATTCAAGTCAGTCCCTAGTCAGTCAGTAGTTACTACTACATCCCTTCGTAGCTAGTCCACTTTTTTTGCTAATCAACTCACTACTCATCTTCAATCCAAATAACCAACCGGTCCCTTATTTTCCTAGTCCCTCATCAGTAGTCAGTGGTTCTTGCTAACTCCCCTTTTTTGCTAATTACTTGCTAGTCATCTTGTGTCCAGATAACCAACCAGTCCCTCATTTTTTGCTAGTCATATTCAAGTCAGTCGGTAGTCAGTAGGTGCATGCTCACTACTACATCCTTTCATAGTCCACTGTTCCAAATAAGCAACTGCTCACCTATTTTTTTTTGCTATTTGGTAGTCAGTGGTCATTGCTAACTCCACTTTTTTTTGCTAATTACTTGCTAGTCATCTTGTCTCCAGATAAGCAACCGGTCGCTTATTTTTTGCATTCTTAGTGGCTGTGCTGCTTCCCTTCACCAACTTTCTGGTCCCTGTGTATTTATTTCCTTATATGGTGGTTGCATGCAGTGGCTGTGTAGGTTTCATTCAGTGGCTGTGAGGTTTCATTCACTCACTAAGAGGTTGCATGCAGTGGCTGTGTAGGTTTCATTCAGTGGCTGTGTAGGTTTCATTCAGTGGCTGTGAGGTTTCATTCAGTGGCTGTGTAGGTTTCATTCAGTGGCTGTGAGGTTTCATTCAGTGGCTGTGTAGGTTTCATTCAGTGGCTGTGTAGGTTTCATTCAGTGGCTGTGAGGTTTCATTCAGTGGCTGTGTAGGTTTCATTCAGTGGCTGTGAGGTTTCATTCAGTGGCTGTGTAGGTTTCATTCACTCACTAAGAGGTTGCATGCAGTGGCTGTGTAGGTTTCATTCACTCACTAAGAGGTTGCATGCAGTGGCTGTGTAGGTTTCATTCACTCACTAAGAGGTTTCATTCAGTGGCTATGTAGGTTTCATTCAGTGGCTGTGTAGGTTTCATTCAGTGGCTGTGAGGTTTCATTCAGTGGCTGTGAGGTTGCATGCAGTGGCTGTGTAGGTTTCATTCACTCACTAAGAGGTTGCATGCAGTGGCTGTGAGGTTTCATTCAGTGGCTGTGTAGGTTTCATTCACTCACTAAGAGGTTGCATGCAGTGGCTGTGAGGTTTCATTCAGTGGCTGTGTAGGTTTCATTCAGTGGCTGTGTAGGTTTCATTCAGTGGCTGTGAGGTTTCATTCAGTGGCTGTGCAGGTTTCATGCAGGAAACCTTCCATATAAGGCAGGTTTCATGCGGACCCTGGGGCAGGGTCCGGAAAGTAGAATATTAAAAGGTGCAAATATGTTTATGAATCTTTGACATTCCACTGGTGTACCTTCATTATGAGCTTCCTTTATGATCTCTTGCACAAGACAGTTGACATATTTCCAGAAGTTGGTCATGTTCCAGGTGCACTCAGTGTCCAGTTGTTCTTCATCATTCATGCCCTCATCACCTACAGCTTCCCTCACTGCCTTGGATTCTTCAATGACCATTTGAAAGTTGATGAAGCAGGAGTGCTGGGGAACATTGCAGGTCAGTATATGTATGCTCAAAAAGGGGGACACATACCAGAAAAGCAAACCTTGCCCAAGGAGCTTTGGTGATTTCAGGACCTGGGCCCATCAGCGACCTTGTGAGAACTGAGATATTTGCTTTGTTTGTAATGCTATTAGAGATCTAGCACATGTGCGCAGTCAGTGTAAAGAATTGTTCTGGTTGGATCTAGACCTGACCTTTTGCTTCATGATGCTCTGCTGCATTGTCAAATTCTCCTTGATGAAGACACTGATCTTATTGGAAAGTTCTGCATTCTGGAAAGCTGATGATGGTAAATTGAAAATTGATGGGTGGTGCTTGGCACAAGCCTGCTCCTCAAATTGGTGATGCGGGATAAATACAAATAAAAACTTACAAAGACCCGGTCTGCCAAACCACTGACATAAGCTGTTAGGTTTGGAGCAGTGAGACAAATTTGCAGGCAGTCTTTCATGACAGACTCATAGTCTTGAGATCCAATGTATTTGTGCACCTTCACCTGCTGTTGTGCCTCAGAGGAGGCAATCAATGTACCCATGAGACTGATCATCATGAGCTTTGGATCTTCAAGCTGTATGGCAGTTAATGATGACTTTTCAAGACTTATGAGAGTTGTAACATACCTCTGAAAACATTGCCAGGGATCCTTCAGGCAAACCCTTGTCTTTACAGACCTGATCTGCAAAGAGGCGATGGCATTTCACTTCCTCTTGGTCTTCTGCAGAGTCAGAACATGGATGCCTACTACCAACTGATGAGGAGAGAGATTGGGAGTGTTCATCATCCAGATTGTCCCAGGATGTGATGGGACAGAAGCCAGCATCAGAGGACTTGCCAGTGGCTTGACTTTGAGAATTTGTTTCATTTTGTTGCTGGCTCAAATTTCCCTCTGAGAGCATTTGATACCATGAAAGCAAGCTTGGTCATGTGTGCATGGCAGTGACAGGAAGTGGTGGCACAAGTCAAGGCTTGCCACAGTGTTGAAAATTTGAATGCACATACTGCACCAAGTTGTCACATCATGTGCACAGATGGAGAGATGAATATACATTACAAATTTATGGGAACTACAAACTTATCCCTCTTCATTTAAATTAAAGCTATGTAAAAAATGTGCTGGGATACCACCTGTTGCAGAAGATCTACTATGAGTTGAAGTCCCCTGCTGGGCAGCTGAGGACCTAGGATCAAGCTGGTGCTGTGGGTGGCCCACCACTGCAGTAAGTGCATGGTGGGGATTATCTGGTAATTTTTGCTGGGGGGCTTGCAAATGTCCTGGATGGTACTGTGGGTAGGCCATCCAAGGGGGTGCATGGAGGGGGGGGGCTGGTAGATGTAATGACTGGTGTTGTGAAGGCCATGCCATATGGGTTGGCTGCTGTGGTATATGCAACATTCTATAGCCCAGGTTGGTTGCAGAATGTGCAGGTGCAGTAAGCATGGCATTGAGTTCTCCACTATGGCTCCTATCTACAGTGTTCATTCCATCACTCCTGGGCCCTTCCTTTTCCCTGGATGCCACAGGAGGAAGCACCTTATGCAAGAGGATGGCAATGCAAACTTTGAGGCACTGTTCACCCCAGGCTCCTTCACAGCCCTTCCGCTGCTCCCAGCGGGGGCTGCAAGAAAACATCTGTAAACAATGTCAGCCACAGTGGCACAACCTGCTGACCAGGAAAAATATTCAGAAAACCCGAGGCTAGGGTTACATTTTTGTGGTTAGGAGTATCAATATATGTAGCAATGCATGTCATGTCCATCCACTGGATTGGGTAGGTGGGCCTCACTGCCACTGCGAATTTCTCGTGCGAAGTATGGCGCACTGTGTATGTATTGTTTATATCAGAAATTTCTTTATGCATTGTCCTATATGTATGTACTCATGCACTTGTTGTATTATATACTCATGTGGTTGTATAGTGATGAGATACTGTATTTGGATTTTGCAAAACTGGTGAAATGATCAGTACACACGTTTACATAAGTTACCATATTTAGCCAGAAAGGGATTCCAAGTCGCGGTGTGGCCCATGCGGTGCGTCTGGTGCGTCGCTCGGTGCGAACACTGCTCAACTTTGAGCGGGCCTAATAGTCCACTTGGCAAGTCATGGCGGAAGAAAATCTCAGTTCCCGCAGACCAAAGCGGAGCACCGCTGGCAACAGGTAATGTTTTTTACCCCACCCGTCGTCCGATCTCACAACATCCAGGATGGAACTCGCGCTGGCAGAACTCGCAATCGAGGAAGCTGCAGATGTAGAAGAGGACACCGATTTCATCAACGATAAAGGTACGCACATGAATAGGTTCGACACCTGTGAACTTCATTGTACAATCCATAGAGGAGGAGGACGTATTTGAGTCGGATTTTATGAGCACCGATGAAGAAGCTGCCCAGGAGGACCACACTGGAGACAAGGAAGTACTTGAGGCAGACAGACGCGAGCGCCAGGCAATTCCATATCTCTTTCATTATCACATATCAATGCTCACTACATCAAAGGCTGCTCGAACAAGGGTCGAGAAAGCAACAGCATTGGCTCATGCCCGCCAACGTGCTACATTCAACCCCGAGGCCGCAGTCTCCGTTTCCCGGTCTTCGACACAAAAATCAAGACGCCGTATATTGCTGGAACCAGTCGTCAATGCGGAGACGGCGAAAGTCACCGAGGGCACCACGTCAGGCAGGACAGGCGTCAAGAGACAGAGCCAAAGGCGACATACGGTTTTGAGTACCACGGCGACCGCAAGTCGCATCAAAGATGCTGAAGAGAAGAAGGTACACACCGTTTTGTTACCGGGGACGATTGGACTCAATACCTGGTCAGGCTGCCTTGCCAAAGAAGCAAAAGATTACCACGAGCATGCCCACTCAAGACGAACTCATTGCACGAGCACTGGATACGGAAGAAGGAAATATTCTCGAACATCGGAATTACCTCCGGCTTGAAGAAGAGAAGCGTGCTCGTGCTCGTGTGGTACGTCAGTCGATTACCGGTCCCGTGTTACGCTGGATCAGTAGGAAAGAACAAATAAAAGAAACGGTTCAGCTCGAATTACCACCGAGGGCCTATTTGCCATACTATAGTGTTACTTATCCAACTGGCGTGGCGGTTCAATCTCCTGTCTGTGTTACTGGGGGGCCGTTCGTCAGTTACGTCCCACCTGTTGCGGAAGATCCTCCTGCGAGCAACGAGCTGACATCAAATATTGCAAGTGCTCTCTCACCGAATTCGTCATCTGCACCGCAACCACCAGGAACTAATGTAGCCATTTTATCGGCACCTACACCATCGACGACTTTACTGCCGCCATCCCTCCAATGCCCCGCCTCGAGTGCACCGCCACAACTGCTGTCCGAGGACCGCATGACAGACGTGTGCAGGAACTACGTCATGCACGAACTCGCGCAAACACCGTCGGCAAAGAAACCCCTCTGGGTAGATACCATGTCCTCCATGTTTGGAGATCACGTTTCATGGGGGGATCTACGCGTGTACACTGGCAAAAACCGTCCACTCTGTACGTCTTTTCCTACTCTCCACATCACCATTTTTGTCGTCGTGTTTTACTCATCGATGGGACGGACGTGCACGATAATCACTGATTCATTTGCTTCATACAGCTCGACCAGTGCGAACGTGTCCCATTACGGGCCTCCCTGCGCGCTACCTCGATCCCCGCACTAACGTCCCGTTTGCATCCGTGGCAGCATTCCACACGTTGACCAAGGTACTATCACATGAGTATACTTGGAGTAAGTCATTGGGGTGCTATATCACACCGAGTGTCGTTGCGTCACCGTCGAGTGCCTCTTCAGAGGAACTGGAGAGACCAGCAAAGAAGCACAAGGGGGAAGAGGCTGGGGAGTGAGGATGTGAACGCGCTATTTTTACGTCAAGATATCAAGTCTTGGGCACTCGAGACCAGTTGGTCTCATTATTGGACTAATAGTTTCAGGTGCTGGGACGCATCCAGTTTCCAGCACTATTGCAGGGGGAGGTTAGCCGGGCACCGACTCGCTGCGGATCGCGCCTCGGTAGATGCCATACGAGCTCCGCCAGTAGGACTGGTGCGTTGATGCGAATGGTCAGTACTCCTCAAATCTATCGTGTAGTGTAGCCGTTATGAATGAGAAAATAAATATTCCACTTTCTCCACTATGTACTAGAACGTATCCACATTGATACAGCTTTACCTAAACGTAGTACCCGCGTGAACGTAAGACACTAGAACAGGGCACGATAAACGCGACATCATAATTGTTGCTACTCCGCTGCGAGCTCGAGCTTGATCTTCGCAATGGCCTCGGCGGGGTTGAGGCCCTTTGGGCAAGTACGCGCACCTATTGATCGAGTCGTGTGAACTGCCATGGAAATAATTAGTAAAGAGGACGTACAGTTGAAGATGGTATGGCAGCGATAAAGGCTCATTTCGTTCTGTAGGACTTCTTTGCGCTCGACGTCCATACGAGTCCTGCAAACAGAAAATAGACCAAATCGATGGATGAGCACTTCTTTCGACGGAGTCTACAGCGACGAAACAAACCCTCGAATCCGCAATCCATCTATACGCTTGCATCAAGCGTCGCAGGGCCAAGGCTACTCATCTTGGTTCCACCAATACGACGGGCAAGACGTAGAGCAGCAGGCGCACAAGATACATTCGTAAAGGCCGTCAAGTTTCTTGCGTTCTTCGGGACTTTGCAAAAACTCTCCCTGAGCAGGAGGATTGTCGTTTCGGAGGTATGGTTTGATGGATTTGTATTGTTTGTAAAAGAGAGTGAGGTCCGGGACGAGATCTTTGACGATGTACACTAAATGTTTGGAAGGTGGAATTAACACATGAGCGGAAGGACAGAACGGAGGTAGGAAACTGGGCATTAGAACGGTCGTAGAGAACAGTGGCAAGGGCAACGTACTATGAGGGAGCGGGTAAATCTTGACATCCTTGCTGGCATCTCTGTCAATCCGGCATAAGCAAGCGAGGGTGTTCTGCCCGTTGATGTTCATTGCACAAGGATCTACAAATGCCCTCTCGGCAGGAACGGCGGAAAGTGAGTGTGGGGTCGATCTCGTTTTTTACTTTAATGAGTGCATCCAAGACCTATTGCGACGGTTGAGCGAGTCACGACGGGGCAGACCAGGAGAGGGTGGTGGCCTACCATTGGCCCTGTTTGATTGAGATCAATGGTGTAAGACTGTAACATAGGTTTCTTGTCTGATTCATCCGGGTTCTGTATGTACAACGCTCTCTGAGTTTCAAGTCACCTGAATACGCGACGCATCACTCACCCAACGGTAAATCTTGAACTCTTTCTGCAACACCGGTTTCTCCGCAGCCACTGCCTGCCACCTGGCAGCGCTCGATGCGAACGACCGTGAAGACAAGCGTAGTGCGTACGTCCATGCAACGGCGGCCATTGAGTACTTTGTTGATAGAATGCCCTGCATGATACCGATCGTGTGTGTGAGGGAGTGAGATGTGCCACAAGCAGGTGTTTACTGTGTCAAGCTCAATGACAAGGCCTGGGGGGTCGGATCGGGTCGGTTTCCGCTTCGGCCAATCATCAATCGCAGATTTCATGCTGACTACTACACGAGTAGCTAACATCAACCCAAGTACTGGATCGTTATCATCGCGGCACCAGCAAAGAATAAAACGTAGGAGCATAGGAAAAGACTCTGAGGGAAATCGAACGGGCCCGTCAGAGTTAGGACAACATGGACCATGACCACGATGGTACTGATTGCAAACAGATGATAGAGAACGGTAGTTCTTCCTCCAAGCAAAGAGCAACAGAAAAGAACAGGCGACAACAAAGAAAAGGTGGGTATATGACAGACGTGCAGACTTCTCCACATTCGCGAGCAAAATGAGCAACGTGGGCAGTAAACCTTGCAACTCCAATGTTGGCACTCATACGAAAGAAAGTGGAAATGGCACCCACGAGCTCTATGTAGCATTCACACACGTGGTCTCGCACAAAACAAATCTTAAAAAGCAGCCTGTATCCCGTGTGGAGTCGCATAATCGCTCAACCTCTTTTGTGCAAGGAAGTGGGGTAACTCCTGTCCCGTCTCTCTGAAACAGTCCACTGGCATCAAGCCTCGTCGCTGCTGGCTGTGAGGGTTGCCAGCCACGACGGCATTGACGCTGATCCTCTCCACCAAGGCCCATCCATCATCGAAGACCTGGAAGATCCGTACGACATCTCCGAGTGATACAAGGAGTTCATCCTCCACATTTGGCGCGAACGGACGGCGTATCGTTTCTGTGTCAGAGAAGGCTGGCACTGGGTCCTCGAATGGATTCATGACAATCACAGGCACAGATGGAAGGCCGGCTGCAGTGTCGCTAATTGGAGGAGGCGACGCCAGCTCACGGTAGAATGCTAGGGGTGGTGGGCTGAGCTGGACGAGCGTTGCTGTTGACGCGCTAGGTGAGCCAACCCCCTGACGAGCCGATATTACGGTGGACGACGACAGTAGTGGAGGCTTCGGGAAGGAGAAGGTCTTAGAAGGTGTGAACGGACGGACGGACATGGGGGAGGGGGCTCCGGCATCACCACTGTGGTCTGTTGCGGTGATGAGATACTGTCCACTACCGTTACTGCCGTTGCTCATCATGCTAGCGAAGGGCTCCCTCCGAGTGGCTTCGACGCCCGTAGATATTAGGACGCGGTTACGGTCCCGAACCTCAGCCATGGGTGGAAGCTCGGGTATGTCCAGCTGGGTGGTAGGGGACGCAAGTCGATAAAGCAATCCTGTGGTCAAAGTTAGTGGCAGAGGAACTTCGAGCACTAGCCCTGTTACCAGCACTCCGTCCTGTGGAATCATCAGACGAATGACTGCTAACACCAACGAACGAGAAGCTGTGAGAGTTGGCATTGTTGGCGAGCCACCATTTGAAACGTTGAGCGCGACGAGCTACAGCACGACGACGGACAAGTACCAGAGCGAGTGTAAGCAGGAAAACCAAAGATGCGATAACTATGCCAGTGATGGCACCAGAGGACAGTGCGTTTTGCGTTCCCCCCGCACTAGTACCAAAGGTTGGAGTGGCAGTCGACTCTAAGCCACCGATACCAGTGGCACCTGTCCCAGAGCTAGACGAACCATAGGAACCGCCAGAACTGGGCAAACTGGAGCCAACTGATGGCGGTTCTCCCACATTCGATGGGGGAGGTCCACCGGAAGTGAACTGGGTGGAACTACTATTGCCCAGGGCGCTACCCTCAGGGCTTGCCGGTAGAGTAACCATCGCAGAGGCTGCAGAACCGGACAGCGAGCTGCTTGGGACTGAATCGCCGTTCAATACGCTAGGACTGAGAGGGGCAGGGCCTTCCCCAGCATTGGCTGGTGGCGTCGCTGATGTTCCACTCCCTACAGCACTCGATGACCCGCTCGAACTTCCTCCACTGCCAACACTGCCGCTGGATTTCCCCTTTCCACCGTTGCCGTTGCCGTTGCCGTTGCCGTTGCCGCCATTTGAATCGTTGCCATTCTCAGAACCACTACTACTGCCCCCACCACTGCTACTCCCGCCTGAGCTCCCGCTGCTGGCCGTTGCGGTCGGAGTAGCCGATGCACTACTAGAGCTTCCCCCACTGTTACCGCTACTACTGCTACTGCCAGAGGATCCGCCAAGAAGAGAGCCCAAGAGCGAGCCAACGACCCCAGTGAGACTATCAGGGGAGGGTTCGCGAGGATTAAGTGACAGAATGCGACGATGAGATATCGACTTGTGTTGCATGGGCATCTTCAGATTTCAAGTTGATCCTGTGTTGCTGAATTGTCAGGAACGATTGGAAGCTGCATCCAGATTTGCGATTCTGCCTTCACTCCTGCCGCTAGTTTGCAAGATATACCGTGCTGATTGACATGTAGAAGTGTGTAATTGAGATGAACGAGTGGAATGATAAAAGAATGTACCAGTGTCAACGACAGGCTGGTATAGATAGAGTGATGGAGTGTGTCCAAGGGAGAATTTTAGGTGAGTCTTCTTACCGCGGGGAAAGCGAATGTTTGACACGTATTGTGTATCAAGAAAAGAGAAAGGAAAAAGAAAACCGGACTGTGATGGAAGGGAGAAAACCATACACGTACCGTGACAAGAGCGTATAGTTGCTAGGCCATCGCTGTCCTGGGTTTCTGACTACCATGGCTACCCATAATGCTGCCGCGATGACAGTTGGCGTGATGTTGATACAGTGTTCGAAGTGCCAGTGGCTCGCCAGAAAGCCAGGCATGGCGGAGCCACAGACCACAACCATGGCGGTGGCGGTAAATACCACGTTCTGATTGGGTGAGGGTCACATGACATGGCAGTAAACAAAACAAATATTGTACTATGCTTCACCTGGTGCTTGTAAAACTCACGAATAGCACAACAACAACTCAATGATTTGTGGTCTAATTTTTTGTGGTAACAAGATTACCCTTAGGACTGGTACCATGAAAATTTTGAGAAGAAAGAATGATGGAAAAGTTGTGAATAGTGAAGATAAAAATTGTAGGTCTGGATTCACCCATATCCTGTGCTGTCCAGCAGCAGATTCAAGGTGAAGAATCAAAGTTCCCTATCAATTTTTGTACTATCCAAAGTTATCTATGGGACTTCTGTGGCTTGCATAAATGTGAGCTAGCTGATTAGCACCCATTCAATGGATCATCAGACAAGTTCTGTATCATTTTTTATCAAACAAAGTAGACAGAGTTACATTTACACAGTATTGCTCATCATGCTATCAAATTCTTGCTCATCATCTTCACCCTCTGCATCAAGTTCAATTAATTCATACAACTCCAATTCTTCATCCAGGGTCCTAAGACCAATTCTCTCTGTCATCTCCACCCAGCTTTTTTCCTGAAAGTTGAAGAGTGAAGAGATTGTTTCCTTCTCAAATGGAGAAGTGAAATCAACATCACCCTCATCATCTGCATCTGACCATTGGCCAAGGACATCCACAATTTCAGCAAAAGATTCTGGCTCTCCACTTTCAGCACCTGAGCTGGATAAGGTTTGATCCCCAGGATCACTGGAAGACTCCTCAGAACTGTCAGTACCTGACTGGGTGGACTGGGGTTGTACAGTGGAGGGAGGAATTGCTGCAGGGAGATCAGGAATGATTTTTCATTTATGCTGCAACCTGTCAATGGCCCTCCCTGATTGAGAGTATTCATCCCTAAGGTGAAGAGATAGTTGGGCTAGATTTACAAGGTTCTTGAGGCCAAGTTGAGAGTGAAGGCATGTGAGAATAAGTCCAAATCTGCTGAATAGGCATTCACAAGAAGCAGAGTTGGCACAAATGGAAAATATTCATTGTGCCAACTTCTGTAAGGGGGAAGGTTGCTGATCAGGGAATGACACACTCTCATACATCTGGATAGGATCAGGATGTTGGTGCTAAATGCCACCAGACATATGTCAGCCACTGTCAAACTGATAAAAATTCCTGAAGTGATACTTACATTGGTGATAGATATTTGAACTGTAGATTGAACCCAAGTGTCCATTCCTTCATAGTCACCACTACCTTGCAAATAGTCCATCATTTCTTGCTGAAGCTGGGCAGGAGGCTCAGCACCACAGTAGAAACACTTCCAAAGTTTGATCAGCAGCATATATATGCCAGCATGGGTAAATTTGTGGATTTTTGCAAATGGCCTCATCTTGTACATGGGGTTGAGGATGACAGCTGCAATGAACACATCTTGGTCACTCTTGCTCCAGCATTTCTCCAAGCTGTCTATGATTGCTGAGACCATGACTGTGTCCTCTCCAGATGAAGCTCCCAATAACTCCTCATACTTCAATGTCAAAAAGCCAAACATGATTAAAACCTCATCCAACTGACAATGTGTAGCTTGTGTGAAATTTGCAGCCAATGCCAGTGGCTGTATATGTGACACAATTCTGTTTTGCATATAAATCATCATTCCTACAAAAGAAAGAAATTTGATAGAAACACTTGCTTGGCAAGAGTATGCCAGAAGAGTGAATCTTCAATAACCCCCAACATCTCTTCTGCCTTTCTACATGATGCAGCATCCCCAACAACAATATGACATTTATTCCCTCCAATTCCCCTCTCCCTTTCATGTCTTGCAAGAATCTGCAAGGCATAAAGCAAGTCAAGAAGTTGACAATAAGCAAGATAGTGTGCAGTCCAACATGTGATGGCTGCTCAAATAACTCCAAGAACTTTATGAGAAGCTGAAGGGTCGACAAGATTGACTCCGGTCTGGATATCCCTCAGTATAGCCTGCACCTGTGTTTTACTTCTTATCCAGGTGATAAGCTCAGTGGCTTTCTTGGTGGTAGTCAGGAAGGTTTGGACCTGTGAAACTTTGAAGTAGTCTCCAACTACAAGGTTGATCTATTAAATGTCAGCAGGAAACTATTTATACAGTAATCAAAAACATACCTGATGGGCATAGCAGTCAGGAGCTACAAGCCAAGGAAACTCTTCAACCAGCATTTTTCAGGCAGCTCTATATTCACCAGATGCATCTGATGTAACTGCCACTATCTCCACTCCCCAATCCTCCCTAACATCCTTAATCACATCCTTGACAAGCATCTTCAAGTGCTCAGCAGTGACATCCATAACCTTGACAGTATGGGCCTACAGTAATAGGTATGTCCAGTCCCTGTACTTGTGCAGTAATAATTTGATTTCCTCATCTTATGCCTCACTGTAGTGATCATGAATGCAACCAAATGGTGAAAGTTTATCCCAGTCCAACCATCAGTCTGCAAAGTACCCTGACACCCCTTACTTGCATCCTTAGCAGCCTGTTGATAATAGTTGACCTGCTGAGGTATAACATGATTTGTCAGCTGGTAACTGGAGAGATGGGATGCATATGGTAGGAGGTCATCCAGAAAATCCCTAACTGCTTGATTCTCCACCCAGTTGAAAGGGAAACCACAGGAAGCAGTGATGTTGGCCATGTGATGCTCAAAATGCTCCTGGTGAGCAGAAGACCACTGCATAACCCCAGGAGTTGGGGGAGGAGTTCCAGATGGAAGATGCTGTGATGAAACACGTTGATGTTTCAAGACTGGGAGCACAGGTAGGACCTCCAATGTTGGAGTGTCAGAATGAGATGTAACAGTTGAGGGCAGCTGTACCAATGTTGGCACAGGGCTCATACCAGGGAAAGGAGCAGGGGAGTAGGGAGTCCCAGAACCAGCAGAAGACAAAAGAGCTGGGTCAATAACAGGTGACAGTGATGAAGAAGATGGATTGCCCACTGAGGGTGGAACCTAGAGTGATGGCAGGAAAGGGATCAGGGGACTTGGAGATGACTGGGCATTACCAGGGTGTGCAGGCATATGCACACTAATAATTGGATTTTGGCTTGATGGAAGAGCACCCTGTACTGGCTGCATAAATGCAGAAGTTGGCTGAATCCAGCCTTGGTCAACAGCTTGCTGCTCTGCGTGTCTACAGACTTCCTCTGGTTGCCTCTCACAATTCTGTAGGTGTATGACCATGGTCTCTGTATGCCCCTGTATCCACAGACACCTGGGGTCCTGACTATGGCCCTTCCCATAAGCCCACACTGTCCAAGATTTAAGTTAATTGCATATCTATTATTACATGAAAAAAAAGAAGATAAAAGTGAAAAACCTACTCCATTCAACAATCTAATCTTGAGTTCATACACTGGGTAAATTTCCCTGCTGGTGGGCAACACAATCTCACTGCTGCTCATCAATGATTCTCACAATCTTGCAGAGTTGACACATAACCTTGGTTCTTTTTTCCCTAATATTGGCATAGGCTGCCTCTGCTCTCGTCGAAACACCTGGGTGTTCTTCAAAATACACCCACTACCATCCCCAGTTACTTGAAGCTGCGCTCATGGTGAGGGAATGTGTCAAAGGGTAGCTATCTACATCAGGAACATAACACTTTACTATTTTTGACTTTTTGGGACTAGTGTGACTTTTTGGGAAGGAATCTACTATCATTACCCATGTCCTGCAGGCATGGCTGCACTTTTCTTGCTGATTTTGGTCTTGTTCAAACCACCTAATTCATAGCTTTCAGTAGATACCACATACATTCAAATTGATGGAGGTTCCAAAGAGATATTGTGATTTTTCTCTCAGACAGTGTGCATCACACCAATGGCTCAATATCTCTGAATTTTCAGACATTTTCTAGTCTTCTTGGCTTAGATATATCATCACTTAGTTGTCTCAATAGATTCTGTTCTCTTTTCATTCTTCAAAATGCTGTATATGGTCAAAAACAAAGTACAGATAGTAGGTTCCTTCCCAAAAAGTCACAAATAGTCACAATAGTCACAAAAAAGTCAAAAAAAAAAGTCACAAAAAGGTCAAAAATAGTAAAGTGTTAATTTCCTGATGTATTATCAAAACAACCTGTGTGAACATCTACAATGTGCCTTCCTAATTTGGAAAACAGCCAGTGGCATGCCACTGGCCTTACCTGTCTGTACACCTGGGGGGCCACTGGCACTTCAAACACTGTGTTGATAGGATAAATTTAAGAGGCATTTTGTTGAATGATTGGCAGGTTCCTGATGTGGAATTGTGTGGAAAATCAGAAGAGCTGCAGTACTTGATATCTGTCACTTAGTGAAATTAGCAAAATACATGAAATAGTCATTGAGTATTGGCAATTTTTTCACATTCTCCCTTAAATATATGATTGTCACTTCCAAACAGAGGTTGGTATGGACTGGCACTCCCCTTGGTTAATTTTGCAGACAGACTTTCTACTACCCCCAATTAGCAATGTCTGGATCAAGATCTTGAAGGTCTACATGTGAAATTTTGAAATTTGATGACTCACATCAGTAAATTCTGCCAAATTACAGCATGCACATTAGACAGTTTTTGAATGCTCAGCAAACACTGGCGAACATTAAGTGCTTGAAAACCCAGGTTTTTGAATGCTTAGCTTTAGAGCCAGTTCAAAAACTGGTGTAGAGCATCGTCAAGCATTACCAACTCATGTTGGCTCGCTTGAGTCTAACAGTGCATGCCAAAATTTAGTCAGAGCCATAATCTGTGCCAGGCTGCTGATAGTGATAATCAATCAGCATGTACTACAGTATGTAACCCTACATGTGCCCTCTCAGCCTAGAACAATGCCATTGTCTGGTAAAGTATATTGCATTGGTCCTCAGCATTGTTCTCTGTGCAGTCACACATCTCCTCAAATCAGATCTTGGGCAAGAACCTCAGCCATACCACACCTCCCACCTGTCTGGTGAAGACCAAGTGCTGGAACTGCTTGCTGGTCACCCAGAATGCATTCGTTGCAAACTTGGGTTGCACATGGAGGTTTTCCAGCAGCTTATCATCGCTTTGCAGCAGCTTGGACTCAAGAATTCAAGGTTCACTTCTCTCGAGGAACAACTCACAATATTCCTGTATACATGTGTCACTGGCCTGCCATTCAGGCATGTAGGGGAGCACTTTCAATGATCGAATGATATGATTTCATGGCATGTATTTAATGCTCCTCCAATGTAACTACTGCATGGAGTTTCCAGTTATTTCTATATGATACTCACCACACTTGCAACACAACCTTTTTATATGGACTACATTCAATTTCCAGCTGGTGATACTGTTCCTTCAAAAATCCAAAACAACCCAAAATTCTGGCCATACTTCCACAACACTATTGGTGCCATTGATGGAAGCCATATCCATGCATCTCCCCCCACCTATGTACATTTGAACTACCAGAACTGCAAGGGATATGTTTCCCAAAACTGTCTCTTTGCATGTGATTCCAACTTATGGTTTATATACTCTCTTACAGGCTGGGAGGGCAGTGCAGCAGACACCCATGTCTATGAATATGTGATCACACATGACTTGAGGATTCCTGAAGGAAAGTTTTTGCTTGCAGATGCCAGATTTCCTGCAGACTGAATGTTGCTTGTTCCATACCATGGTGTATGCTAGCATAAGGTAAGTAATCACACTTATGATCCCCTGACCATCCTACTGATGAAAACTGCAGGCCCACAAACAAGCAAGAATTGTTCAACTTGTGGCATGCATTGGCCCACAATGTTATTGAACATATTTTTGGTGTCATAAAGTGTTGTTTTCGTATCCTTTCACTAGTTCCACCATTTGATCTCCAGACACAAGCACAGCTGCCAGCAGCACTTTGTGCCCTTCATAATTTCATCCACATCCATAATCCACTTGAAGGTGAACTTCCAGAAGACTTTGGTGCTCCATTTGATGCAGGTGTGCAAGGTGGCAATGGGTTGGAGGGGCCCAGTGTACTGGAATGCAATGGAGAACATCCAGAGGCACACACATTGTGCGATCAAATTGCTGAGGCAATGTGGATTGATTACCAGGCCATCCTGAGGGAGAGAGAGGCAGTGGGACACATGGAGCTCCTTGAATATGAGTCTGACATGGATGTGGATGGCACTGAGGATGAGTAAGTGGTGGGGAATATACCTAGGAACTACTGCCCTTCCATGTACATTTTTTTAATGTGAAGACTTAATTCCAGCAATTACTCTTGATAAGTCATCCAAAACAGCATGAATTACAACAACAAATGAAAGAGGTACATGTTGGTATGGAAAGTATATGCAGCTACATTGTAATTCAAAGTGGTCCCCCCTGATCAACACCACCTTCCCACAGATGACCAGCAATTGATTGTTGATACTCTTGGTTAGCAATGGCTTGACAAAGAGTGGTATTTGTGATGGATGCATACATCATTGCCTTCTTCTCATCTGCAGTAACAGTGTGCACCATAAATGCACCTACCTCAACCAGTAGCAAGGAGTCCTCAGTGGACAGAAGGGTCAATGCCTTGGAAAGGTGGTCAACAGAACTGGTGCAGCAGCTCCATGCTGGATGGTGGGGGCAGGGGCAGGGGCAGGTGAGGCAGCACTTGCATTTGCACTGTCATGGTATATCAAACTGAGGAGATCAGTCATGTGGTTGACAGCACTAGTCAGACCAAACACTGTGGTCCCAGCTGAGAGTTTGGGTGGAATTGGCTGTTGATTCCTAGGAGGACCAAAGGACCGGGCAGACAACTGACCAGACCCACAAGATGGTTTACATGATGGGGGCAGGGTAGAAGTGTATGAAGTTGGATAGGGCCCAGAAGAAAATGTGCATCTCCCCTTACCAGTCCTACTGACACTCCCTGAAGATGTGCCCAGCCCCTTCATTGGGAAGGGAGGGTATGCTGGGATGCTGGCTGACAGTGTGCCCACCCCCTGAGTCAGGACCACAATGGGTGCTGAGACACTGGGCAATGCAGATGGAATCAGTGGATTGGGGTGCAAAGGGTTGGGAAAAAATGTGGGAAATTCAGCCATGAAGTCAATATACAAGGGATCAGGAGCTGGGTTCATGCCACCAATGTTACTGTTGGAAGGCTCATCAAAGTTACCTGGCCACATTTCTTGATCTTCATCCTTGAGCCAATTTGGGGGCCAGTTGGATGAGGGGGCCTCTGATGGTGCATACACATTAGCACCTTGTGCCCCTCCTGATGGGGTGATCTGTGCCATCTTTGTGTAAAATGGCCATCCCATATTTTTATAGGGCAGGATACATCATCCACTCCAATGTATTCATGTTAGATGAACTGATATGCTCAATGATAGGGGACAATGTACATTGGTTGCAACATAGCTATTCCATACATTCTCTTCAGCTGGTGTGATGATATTGGCACCAAAATGTTCATCCCATGAGCCAGACCCAGAGCATTGAATGAAGCCTTCAATGGAATTATAGATCCCTTTCAACTAATAATGATATCAGTCAAGGCTATCAGTGTGAGGAGGATGTGCTTACCCATTGCCATTTATTTTGAATCTGCTGAGCAGTTCTTGTGCAGGGCAAGTTAGGTGGAGCAATCACAGCAGTGGCACTAGAAAATACACTTGATTTGAAGTTGCCTGTATCACCTTGTTCCAACCAGTGTTCAATGAGGTAGTCAAGGAGAGCATGAGTCTCTGAATTGGTCCACTTGTGACTACTCATCATTTCTGGCTCCTGATCTGATTCTAAAAGAACAAGGAGTCCAGCAACATGTACAATGCAAAGCATAGCAGAAGCAATATGAGCAATAATGGGTTTGAGGTCATCATATCAACAAGTGATCATCATTGTATAGTTGGAAGGAAGGTTGAAACTCTGCCTTGTAGTTCATGGAGCATCCTGGGCATGTTAACCAACACATGTGTTGGCAATGGGTTGTACACCGGTTTCCGAACTGGCTCTTACTGATGTAGTTTCATGTGACCTGAGTCCAATGGGATCAACAATCTGACATTGTTATGGTCACGGACGACTCGGAGTACTACTGGTTGGCACATTATCCGAATTCACCATCAGTGATAGAGTTCCTCTCTTCGATTCAGACGGGTTGCCCTCCACTCGGGCCATGGCAGGAAGTCCAGCACAAAACATGTAAGCTGTTGTGAGCAGCGACTGGTTGGCAACTTATGTCTCTCCCTGTAGCCAAGGGCCATTCTTTATCGGGCTGACCGTCAACATCTTCTTGTATGGTGTCCTCACCACCCAAGTGTACTTATACTTCACCGCGTATAAAAAGTGCGTGTCAGATTTAGAACTTATCTCGTGCAACCCCTCAACGACTTTTTTTTTTTTGCGTATAGAGATAGACCTTGGCTCAAGATGCTGTCAGCCCCATTTCCTGTTTCCTATATAATGCGCTCATTTTCACAAAACCCAGTGTAGTGATTTTGTACATCGCAGATATGTTCAACTGTATCATCAGTATTTATTATATCTATGATGCTCTGGTCTCTCATTTCGGTGTGCCTTCTTGTTAGCGTTCACACAACGAGCTCAAGTAGATGCATATTTGGGATGTAGGTGATGAGGCGAACCTTCTGAGGGCCAGCTGGGGTCAGTCCCTGATTTTTCCATGAAAACTAGGCTAACTAACTTCTCTTGGCAGCATTTGCAACTGGTACGTGATATTCTTATATTCCCCAGTTTAACGAAGGCTTCCGCGATTACGGATGCGGTCTTGACGGTGCGCTTTCATTTTCTTTGCTCCAGTCCCCGTGATAACCTGCGAAAGGGCACGATTGGAGCGGTGGTGCAACATTTCTTTGCATGGCGGGTATACATGATGACCAAAAAGGTGTTCATTGTGTTGGCCGTCATCCTATGTAGCCTAGTCAACCTGACAGGCTCACCCGGTGCCACTATCCGCGTTGCCGTCAACCCCAATCTTTCTGAGTTGCCGCGTCCTGCAGTGGAGGTTACGATGTGGTTGGTTGGGGCAGTCCTCGCTGATATGATCATTGCCGTTTCTCTCATATGGCACCTGGTAAATATTTATTCTTGGTCTCTTGTCGCGTTTCCTCGTTAAAACCATGTAGCGAAGATACAAACATTTTTACCCTGCATTGACCAGCATCATTAATCGCATCCTCAGGAGTGAGTCGTGCAATATGTAGTCGGATTCAGATTTGCTGACGTCCGTTAATCCAGTGACTGTACAGACCGGAGTCCTGACGACCATCGTAAGTTGTGTTTCTCCGCCAATGCAATCAATGACACGGGCAGTACACTTACTTAGTTGGTCTATAGAATTCTGGCATGTAAGTATTTCCCTTTACCTGCTACAATGACGCTTCTCGAGCGATGCCCCTCCAAGCCACCTAATATTCAACATCCCACTCTCAGAACTACACACGAACTGCATGTTATCCAGCCTGAATGCTCGCAGAGCACGGAAATACGATGGATCGTTAGAGCAAGAACTGAGTTGTGGGGGTGTTGGCACTCATCAAGTGAGTGCTCTTGCGAGAGCTATTTCGTCACGACGTCTATCTTATTTCCCCTGATCAGTCGATTGTGTCTCAATCACAAACTACACAGCCGGAGGTGCGTAAACCATCTACTGTTGGCCCCTTATTGAGATAGTAACCGATGCATTCTGTATGGATTGTCATGCACGTCGAATCACGCCAGATGATCGACGTGGACGGTGAGAGACGAGACAGTCTTTTCCATCACTACGGTACCCCCAAACACGTATGCAATGGTGAAGAAGATAGCCCGAGCATCACCGCAACAATCTCTGAATAACTATGCACATTGTATCATAGCATGGAATTGTAGGTGTAGATATGGATAACTGAATGCAACCTTTTCAAACCTACTGCCTGATATGCTAGGCCCGAAACATTCATGCCATCCGAGTCTCGGTACGAAGTATCACGAACACAGTTTTAGTAGACCCCGATATCAAGCAGCTACAGAGAAGGTATGCATAATAAATCAACTCTCAGAAAGGTAGGAAATAGGTTCAACTCCACGGCAGCATAGACGGAGAGCTGGAGGTATGTATAACGCCGATCAATGTCATCAAAGCTTAGCATCCCGCTTCTTGCGAATCAACTGCTCCGGATTATGACCATCTCCGTCCTTTGCAACACGTTTCTTCATTTCCTGGAGTCCCTTCCGTGTACCTTCTTTTCCTTTCCTGATGCCTTCTCCTCTCCCTTTGCTACCGTCACTTCCTCGTTTCCTCCCCTCCTTCCCAATGCCCAACACACTCGCTGTACTCTCCACGTCCTCCTTGGGGATCACTGCCATCAATGCATTAAGATTGATCTGTCCATCACCCGTGCGCATCGCACCAAACTGCTTCTTGACTTCCTTCATCACTCTCGGATACGCCTTCCTTGCTTTCGCCAACTTCTCTTTGTCACCCACCAGTTCTTCCCTCCGCTTCTGCACCATATCCCGGATCTTGTCGAGGTACTCTTCAAGTTTCTTCATATCAGGTACGTCCGCATCCGGCGCGTCTCCAGCATCGCCGCTGTGTTCTGCGGGCTCTGCCTTGCCCTCGGCAGCTCGTTCCCTATATTGTTCAATCTTGACATTCAGCCTCCCCTCCTCGTTACTCTCGCTTTCCACGCGACTCTCGACATGTTTCGCAATACCATCTACTCGCCGCTGAAACCCTTCTGGAACGCCGTCCCTGAACCCTCCAGAAATCTTGCCATTCTCTGTACTACCAAACCCGTTGACCGGCGCCTTAACAGCAGGTGCGTCACGTGCGAATGCTATTCCTGGTCCTTCCATAAGTCGCTTCCAATCCCACCCAATCTTTTTCCACTCAGCCATGTGCGGGGCGTTGAGAACCGGCGATGGACGTAGAATGCGGGCAGCCGTTTTATCAGCATCCACGCCTTCTCGGTCACAGGCGACACGAAGGGGGTTGTTTGGGGTCAGGAGAGCATATGCAATTTGTTGGGCGATTGTGGGTGCGTTCGGTGGTTGGACTTGGAACGTTGGTTCATGTCCGTACCCGACTGTTACTACACGGATGAGGATGTTTCTGTTCATAAAATACAGGGCCAGCCGTGGTCATGGGAATAGCCAAACATTAAATGGACGAGCCAACGAAGAACAACGAGAGGGAACATACGCCGTGAGCCCAAAGACGGGTTTGACGCCATCGGCTTCTCTCCCCGTGAGGAAGCTATGAACACGTATAGATCCGCCCTGACTCCATGGTATATCGACGTATGAGTAGTAAGGTTTAGACGAGTCGGCCGACGGTCGATCGGTTCGCAAGAAGGAAGCTAGAGGTTGTGCAAAGATCGAAGTTACTTCAGATTCATTCAGATTAGGCTGAGACAGGTACAGAGCGTAAGCATGACAACATGTGAAAAGCAGGGATTGATTGCGCACTTGAAGTGTCTTGTCGAGGATGAGGACGACTACACTAGGGCGAGACATAAGCGGTTGGGTCAGGTGTATACTGTTAGTGCAAGTGTAACCCACGGAGTGACTACAGTCTGGTTCCCGGCGAGGAAAGGTTCCATGACACATAAAAGTGGAACCCTTTCCGGGTCCTGAGGCAATCCGGTCTAACCCACACTCACAATTAGCAGTGATATTGTGCATTATGAGGACACCTATGCATTACCTCCTCGAACGCTTCGCGCCTCTACAAGATTACATGAGAGGACCATTGAGGCTAAAAGGTAGAAACCCGTACCGCCGTATCCTCCACAGTGACATCCCGAGGGTCCACCTTTCCTCCCGGCAAGGCAGTGTCACCGGCATATTCACGCAGAACGGACGATCGTCTACACAAAGTCGTATAACAGCGTGATTGATGAGTACAAGTTACAATTGACCGCCCGTGTAGCTCGCGAAGCAAAAGACAAACCTGCTCAATATAACGTAGACATCCCCAGCACGACCGATGAACAACGGCACGAGAACAGCAGCGCTTTGAGCACGAGGAAACCGAGCGTGGGTACGGGGAGCACGGTAATTTAAGAGGTTTTGGATACACCTTCGCGTTAAAAGTCAGCTATTATGGTGATGTATTCCAACACGGACTCCAAAACGATACATACCGTCTGGACTCCTCCTTGAGTGTTGTTAGCGTCGTTTCAAAGAGTTCCGAGATAGGTCGGGGGTATCGCATAACGTTGGTGGGTTGCGGACTGGGACGGGGAGCTGACGATCGGGAGTCATCGGAGGTCATCTGTATGGACGCTAGGATGTGAATTAAAGGCGATCAGTTGGGTTTACCTGGGCCTAAAACGGTGGACCCGAGTGATTTAATGATACAAGGGCCAGCGTCCGTCGTCGAGCAGGCTCATGGCTGTGCAAAATCATATCAAACCTTTACACTAGCTGATCATCGATCACTGTCAACCAAAAGACATGTTCCAAGAGAGCACCGGGACAATCACTGGGTGCCAAGTACGTTGAGAAATAGGGACGAACGGTGTGAGTACCATCAACTACCCTAATTGTCGACATCGACCACCGCATAGTATCGAACAACGTGCACCTAGTTTGGGACCCCCTCGACATGTGCCTAGTCATACTTTCAGAGAGTACCAGCGTGTAAGTATGGAATTGCACAGCCCAGAAGTCACTGTCAAGCTACAAACCTCTTGGTGTGAGCCAGCGAACGCGACGAGTTACCCCACCGTTGCTCACGCTCACAGCAGCCGACATGACAGGGGGCGGCAAGCTGCGAACGTCACTCTCCTACGATCCCATCGTCCTTAGCATGTCTGCAAACGCATCTATCTCTGCCTTTTTATCTACTTTCGCCTGCTGACGGTGGGCCGCTACATCCTGTTGCTACCCGGTGCATGCTTCGCATCAAAAGTCACTACATTCGTGTAGATACCGACTTACTTCGGAGTCGTGTTGCAAGCGTTGCGAGGTGCTCCCCATCTTTCTTGAAAAGTCTTCCCATGTGCTTGTATATTTGCACACCAGGACGTCGACTCTATCTGGAGGGTCTACCCTCATCCCACCGTAGGGCACTCTGACCCATTTCTTACTCGCCTTTCCCTTTCCACTAAATATCTCCCTCAGAACTTCTATGACGCTGTAGGCGAACCACGCGTTCGTGTGTTCTGCTGTAGACCCGATAGTGGACGTGGGCCCTCCATGTGTACTTATAGTGATAAGAAGGGCAGCGAGATGTGCGGCGGACGGTGCCTCGGATGGTTTCGAATACGTCAGTGTGTAGAGTTGGGCGTAGTCGAGACGCTGCGTGAGAGATTCCAAAGTGCCGTCGTACGACAAGCTGATTCTGTCGTGGTCATTATCGATCGGATTTGATGTCTCGCTGTGGAGGTTACTGATACTGAGCGGTAATACTGGAACAGACGGCGGCAATCGGGTCTCTCTCTCTACGCGTCCGATCGCCTCTCTCCCCGATGGATGTCTGATGTGCACGAGGAGAAATTCGTGATGGACAGACATTGAATCGATACCGATAACTTTACAATGGCATATTTTTCGAAGGCGACAACTCTTACTCTCGTCGAGTAATTGGATCGCGCCGGCCCATGTATGTATCGGTGCGGTAGTAGCTGCGAATTGGAAAGAGCACGGAAGGAAGGGATTGGTTGCTTTGGCGTTTCTTCCTTTTGAAACGAGATCTTAGGATGTTCATGGTGAGGACGCTGAGGAGCACCACATGGCTGGTACTGTGTTGGCGACCCCCCATCGGAGGGGTCGTAAGCCATCTGTCTACCCCCAAGTACTACCGTAGCAAATGCTCACCCAGGCCACGCTACGATGTTGCTCGACGTATCCGTGAGTACGACTTGGATTTGGCCTTAGTATGCTTTTCTAAATTAGATGGATCAGCGCAAGTTGTTCTCGCGTTCAGACCGAGTCAAAGGCACCGACTTTCACCCCACCGAACCATGGCTGCTCACAGGCCTCTACAACGGTACCGTCAACATCTACAACCACGAAACAGGCGCACTCGCCAAAACATTCGAAGTATCCACAGTCCCAGTCCGTTGCGTCCGTTTTATCGCACGCAAGAACTGGTTCGTCGCTGGGTCAGACGACTTCCAGCTACGCGTGTTCAATTACAACACCCATGAAAAAGTCGCTTCCTTCGAGGCTCATCCAGATTATATTCGCTGTTTGGCCGTTCATCCGTCTGCAAGCATTGTTCTTACTGGAAGCGATGATATGACCATCAAGGCATGGGATTGGGACAAGCAGTGGAAATGCATACAGGTTCGTGCCCATCTCTCCCCACGTCTGTCCACATCCATGTCCACGCATAGGTCTATGAAGGACATTCCCACTACGTCATGAACATCGCATTCAACCCCAAAGATGCCAACACATTTGCATCCGCATGCCTCGATCGCACAGTCAAAATGTGGTCCCTGGGATCCCCCCACCCCAATTTCACGATGGACGCACACGACAAGGGCGTCAACTACGTTGACTTCTATCCCGGCCCAGACCGTCCGTACATCGTCACCACCGGGGATGACAAGACTATCAAAGTCTGGGACTATCTCAGCAAGAGTTGTGTACAGACGATGGAGGGGCATATCAATAATCCCTCGTTTGCGGTCTTTCATCCGAATTTGCCGATCATTATTAGTGGCAGTGAAGACGGGACCGTCAAGTTTTGGAATAGCGGCACGTATAGATTGGAGAATACGTTGAGCTATGCCCTCGAGCGGGCTTGGTGTGTCGCGCTGCGCAAAGATGCCAACGAAATTGCCGTTGGCTATGACGAGGGTATCGTCGTTATAAAGGTATGTCCCTTCCCCCTATACTCCCACACCCCATCTCACGAGCGACGCTACCGCTGCCTTAGCTTGGCCGGGATGAACCAACATACAGCATGGACCCTTCCGGAAAACTCATCTACACCCGTAACCAACTCGTCCTGTCCGGTAATATCCAAACCCTCTCTCCCGATGACTCCTCACCCGAAGGCACGCGCATCCCACTCAGCATCAAAGAACTCGGTACGACGGAGATCTTTGGCAATGCTCTCTTACACAGCCCAAACGGTCGGTTCGTTACCGTCGTGGGCGATGGCGAGTATATCATCTACACAGCGTTGGCGTGGAGGAATAAGAGTTTTGGAGCGGGATTGTCCTTTGCATGGGCAGGTGATTCGAATACGTATGCCGTGCTGGAAAACAAGGTTAAGTTGCGCGTGTACAAAAATTTCAAGGAGAGAGGTGGGGTCGGGATGAAAGGATCAGGGAATTGGTCCGTCGATGCAATATTCGGAGGACCTGTGCTAGGTGCGCGTGGGAAAGGGTTCGTGGTCTTTTGGGATTGGGAGACGGGAGACGTGGTGAGGAGGGTTGATGTCGAAGCGAAAAGTGTGCGTGCATTCTCGTATTCGTGTGGTGTCCTAGATCGAGTCAGGTTGGATTCGGAGCGACGCTGACGCACTGTAGCTTATGACTGTTGACGCTGATACGAACCCTTCCACGACAGATCTACTGGTCGGGAACAGGCTCGTTTGTCGTTATCACCTCTGAGGACTCGTTCTATGTCCTCCGCTTCGATCGGGACGCATACAACGCAAAAGTAGAGCAAAGTGTGGAGATCACTGATGAAGGAGTCGAGGAAGCGCTTGACGTCGTCGCTGAGATCTCCGATAGGTGCGTTCATGTCCGTATTCCTGACATATCTGACTTGTGTGGTGGTGATATAGTGTCAAGACAGCGAAATGGGTCGGGGATTGTTTCATTTATACGACGGGGAGTAACAGGATCAACTATTTCGTCGGAACGGAGTCGTATACAATCAGCCCATCAGATATGTACGTCGACACGTCTGACTGCCTTTGTTCTCGTTTCGCTAATGTGTATACCTTTTATGTTGCTGACCCTCGCCGCAGTCCATTGTACATTCTCGGATATGTCCCCGCCCACAATCGCGTCTACCTAGCTGACAAGGACATGAACATATATGCATACACCCTTTCCCTCAGTGTTGTGGAGTACCAGACAGCGGTGTTACGCGGAGACATGGACTCCGCAGCCGAGATTCTGCCCTCTGTGCCAAAAGAACAGTTGAATAAGGTGGCTCGGTTTTTAGAAGCTCGCGGTATGTTTCTTCCCTCGTCGTTTTGTCCGCTTCAAAAAAAGATTATAATACACCATGCTCCATTAGGCATGAAAGAACTTGCGCTTCAAATATCCACCGACCCTGATCACAGATTCGACCTTGCACTGCAGCTCGACGATCTAGACGTCGCGACAGACATCACGCGATCTGTGCCGGAAGCTGAGGCAGAATCAAAGTGGAAAGCGCTCGGGGATCGTGCACTAGCAGTTTGGAGATTCGACTTGGCAAAAGAGGCGTTCGAGAGAGCAGGGGATTTGAGTTCGTTGATGCTCTTGTTACTGGCTGTTGGGGATGGGGATGGGCTGAGGAAAGTGGGTGGCCTGGCTGGTATGTGTTCGCATTTTCAGCCCTTGTCTCCCTTGTATTTTGGTTTATTGTCGTGTGGGGGAGTGTGTTGTGTGATTGGAAGATGACTGAAAGTGTTACAGAACAAAAAGGTGCCAACAATCTGGCGTTCGCGACTTTTTTCCAGCTAGGCGATACACAGGCATGTGTGGATTTGCTCGTGAAGACGAATCGTGCACCGGAGGCGGCGTTGTTCGCACGGACTTATGCACCGAGGTAATGTATCCCTTATGCAAACAAGGTGTGAGTGCATGATCGCTGACCTATGACGTCTGCGCACAGTCAAGTGCCTAAAGCGGTGGACGCATGGCGCACGGAACTGCGGATGAAGAACAGACCGAGGATCGCCGCGTCGATTGGCCACCCCTCTGAGCACGCGGAGCTGTTCGAGGAAGGATGGCAAGACGTTCTCTGTCGCGAGGCTGAATCGAGATAAGATCGGGGATGTGACGAGTTTTCGATTTGTCGGTGGATGTTGAGTGTGTTCCGCTCCCCAGTTGTGACTAGTGGAGTCAGTACGTGGTAAGTACAATAAATATAATTAGTGCAAATTCTAGACTTCGTTCTTGTGTGAACTTGCCTGTGAGGCTAAGGCCTAGTTGCCGAAAAACCATCTTCGGTTAATAGTTGGGTGAAGTGTTTTTCTTCCACCTACTTATGTAGAGAAATTGTTCTTGCTCACTGCTGACACGGGAGGAAATAATCTTACCTTGCAGAGCCATTAAACTGGCTTTCAACACTTACAATGAATTATCTTAGATGAGGAATGTTCACGTGGACATTAGGCTCTTCGAAAGCCGAGTTGACGCTCAGGACGCCATTCTTTGATCTCTCGTCGATGCAGAGGCAAACGTGCGTGCAGCACTAGAAACATATGACTCAGGGGTTCAGCTTCCCCCAAGCTCTCACAACCTCGCTAGTTTCATTACCGTGTTGCATTCCATCCCTACCCTCGTTGTCTTGCAGCTGCACTTGGTTGACCAGAGTGGAATCCTTCTCAGACACGGGGGACGCCGTGATTCTACTAGACATGAACGTCGGTTGATTGATGGTGCAACATGGGGTGCAGCAAGAATATCACAGCAAAATCTGTCATAACACCCATCCATGCACGAGGGAACAGGCCCAGACCTACCCCCATGATACTGAGCAGACTTTCAATGTGATACGCTTGACGGAGAGGACATCCCATACCCTGTCTTGTGCGACATATTGCTTTGCGTTTCGTACAGATAGTAAAAGCACACTTCAGCCCCCATTCTAGGTGACCTTGGATCCCCTTGCCGATGTCGTCACGGAACCGACTTGCCCGCAATAGTTGGGAGGTCTGGGGTCAGAAGGCGAGGACGGTCAGATGGAGGTGGACATGTACATGTTGTACATGTTCAGTTAGATACATCGTCCTCGTACTTGCCCGGAGCTCTGCTCATTACTCGTGAGGCTGCCCCACTACTCCACCACATCTCACTCTCACTGTCTGCTTCGTCAGAAGGTCTCCCCTGGTCCGGAAACAGACTATCCAGAGTGTTACTCAAGCGTGTCTCGACTCCTCTCATGACAGCTTTATCAATTGCACTTCTCTTGCCTTCCACTCTAGCACGTGCGTAAGAACAACCTGTAAAAGCCCAAGTGGCATCCGCACCGCCGTGAGAGGCACTCGTCAGCCATTGAGTATCGAACGTCCTATTGTACGCCCGGACCCACAATGTGCAGCATAGGCAGCTCCGTTTGCCACAGCCGATAGATTGTTGATGCTCATGATCCAAAGTATCAAGCGGGCTGCTGAGATCAAGCACGATCTGGATTTCGGCGTGAAGCTTTGACGGAACGACGGCTGCGCCACATCTCCTCCATTTTCGGGAACTCCGTACGCAGCGTAGCTAGAGTTTCCTCAGAGGGGCGGCTGCCGAGTGCACGTGACACAGCTTCCAAGTAGTCGTCGTCCAGAACAATTGTAGTCTCACCGGTGCCCGGAATAGCGTCGACCCAACGATGATTAATGCCCTGTGGGAAATAACGCCTGGCATACCTGATCAAGCTGTTAATTCCATAATAATACTGGGAAACCTTTTCGAGACGGTGTTTCAGTCTTTCCAACTCCAGTTCCCGGTCGAGATCCATAGAATTAGTGGCTTCGCAGAGCGAACGCAGGAGACGGGATCTTTTGAGAATGGGAATGTAGACCGCAAGGCCCTCGTAGAGGTCCTTTGCCGAAAGACTCTGGGAATTGAAATCCCGAGCCGTTCTTGCGATATCCGCTAAAAGATCACGCATCATTTGTGTGGATGAGATTTGTTTTCCACCATACTTTTTTTCACGATATACTCCGGATTTTGGAAACTCGTCCTCGATGGAGTCCAAGGGCTGGTAGTCCCTCAGGACCATATCGAGGTCATGCGAGAATGCGGTCACTGCGTCATGCATCTTCGTGACTCGCTTCTCCATATTCCGCCCACAACGAGAAAGCAGGAAAGGCAAAACATCATAAGCATCCTGAGTCTCTGGAGCAGTGATCGCGTTGAACAAGCAGCGAACAGCCCGATCATCCTCATCGGTGACACAGTCGTTCTTTGCTAACACAAGCGTGAGAGTGTTACGGCTGTCAAATGCAGCAGCGAAGGCCTCTCCCGGGCTGCCGGTTGTCAGTGAAACCGCAATGGTTTCGAGAATGCGAATAGTGCGGTTCCGCATGTTCTTGTTACTGTGCTTGCCAACGCCAAGGAACTTCTCGATGTTTGAGTAACCGAACTGATCGAGGAGCTGAAGCCGCTCCGAAAGGCAAGACTGGCCCTCCAGGTTGTCTGCCATATTACGTATGAATAGGAGTGTTTCACAATCTGCTTTTGGGGTGGGCTGGTCAGTGTCACCACAACCTCAGAATCAAGCCAATAGCCTACCAAGAATCTCCCTGAACCGTTCTCGACCAGTACAGGATCTGTTTCCGAAAGGTTCGTATCGCGTCTACAGCTGTCTCAGTGCCAGACGTTTTTGGGAAGGTGGTGGGAATCCGAGTGACGGCACCCCTTCACTGCGACCTCCCCAAAGCGATATATCGTATTAGATAATTTTATTCTCACGAACTTGCTGAGTCTGAGTCTGCGCGACAAACCATTTGCCATCCAGTGCCGTTGTGGTTAGGGTTTGTTTGTCGCTACCACCTCTGAAAACTCATTCTATCCCTTCCTCCGATCGGGACGCATACGATGTAAATGTAGAGCAAAGGGTGGAGATCACTGATGAAGGGGTCGAGGAGGCACTTGACGCCGTCGCCGAGGTCTGATAAGTGTGGAGGCGTGTCTGACTTGTGTGATGGTCGTGGTGTACTGTCAAGACAGCAAAATGGGTCGGGGGTAATAGGATTAACTATTTCGTTGGGACGGAGTCGTATACGATCAGTCCATTAGATATGTACGTCGACATGTCTGACTACCCCCGTTCTCGTTTCCCCGATGTGTGTACTTTTTCTGCTTGCTGACCCTCGCTGCAGCCCACTGCACATTCTCGGATACGTCCCCATCCACAATCGCGTCCACCTGGCGGACGAGGACATGAACATATATATGCATACACCCTTTCTCTCAATGCCGTGGAGTACCGGACAGCGGTGTTACGCGGAGACATGGACTCCGCGGCCGAGATTCTGCCCTCTATACCGAAAGAACAGTTGAATAAGGTGGCTCGGTTTTCAGAAGCTCGCGGTATGTTTCCCCCCTCGTCGTTTTGTCCGCTACAAAAAATATTATAATAAACCATGCTCCATCAGGCATGAAAGAACTTGCGCTTTAAATATCCACCGACCCCGATCATAGGTTTGATCGCCCTGAGGCTCGACGATCTAGACATCACGCGATCTGTGCCGGAAGCTGAGGCAGAGTCAAAGTGGAAAGCGCTCGGGGATCGTGCATTGGCAGTCTGGAGATTTGACTTGGCAAAACAGGCGTTCGAGAGAGCAGGGGATTTTAGTTCATTGATGTTTTTGTTGCTGGCTGTTGGGGATGTGGATGGGCTGAGGGCCTAACTGGTACGTGTTCTTTTTTTTCCATCCCTTGTCTCCCTTGTGTTGTGATTTATTTTCGTGAGGGGAGTGTGTTATGTGATTGGAAGGTGACTGATAGTGATCCAGAACAAAAGGGTGCCAACGGTCTGGCGTTCGCAACTTTTTTTCAGCTAGGTGATAAATAAGCATGCTGTGGATTTGCTCGTGAAGACGAATCGTGCACCAGAGGCGGCGTTGTTCGCACGGACTCCAGCACCGAGGTAATGTATTCCCCACGCAAACAAGGTGATGATCACTGGCTTCTGACGTCTGCACACCGTCGCGAGGCTGAATCAAGATAAGATCGGGGATGTGATGAGTTTTCGATTTGTCGGTGAATGTTGAGTGTGTTCCGTTCCCCGGTTGTGATTGGTGGAGTCAGTGGTTGGTAAGTATGATAAATATAATTAGTACAAATTCTGGACTTCGTTCCCGTGTGAATTTGGCTGTGAGACTATAATGCCTTGCCGAGAGACCATCTTCGGTTAATAGCTGGGTAGAGTCTTTTTCTTCCACCTACACAAACCGACTCTTTCCTTCATTTTCGTTCGTTTCGTCAAATAAAACCAGGTTGGACGACTTGAGTTTGCCCTGACACGACGAATGGCGTCGACGTCGACTCACGCCGTCAGTTCCGGCAACCTCGTCGATCTTGTCTCGACATCCCACTCAGCCACCGTGTATCCTACCGACGACGCCATCTTGGCCGTCCTCAACACCCGCTTCCGCTCTGATTTACCCTACACGAGAATAAGCACGACACAGCTCGTCGCAATTAATCCTTCCAAGATTCTTTCGAATGCAGATGATACCACCGCACGGGAGTATGAAGAACGCTGTTATAGGGATACCAGTCTGTCGCCGCAGAGTGCCAGTGTCTTGCAGCCACATATATACCAGCTTGCTACCCAGATGTATCTGCTCATGCGACGGAGGAAAGAGTCTCAGTCACTGGTGATGCGGTGCGTCAGATCTTTCAGGCGGCACCGAGTTTACTGACGGTGGTTGTGGTTGGACGGAATGCAGTGGGATGACGTGTTCTGGGAAGACGTATAACGCGCGTCTCCTAGTGAACCAAATCCTTCGTCTCTCTGCCCATTCCAAGAAGGAGCACAAGGTGGCGAGCCAGATTAAAGCACTACACACCCTTCTCGATGCATTCGGAAACTCCAAAACTTCTCTCAATCCAAATGCATCCCGACATGGTCGCTACCTGGAACTTCACTTCAACGACCGCGGTCGAATCGAGTCCGCAAAGGTTCTCGCCTTTGCGCTCGACAAGTCCCGTCTTACTCGGCTCACGCACGAGGAGCGCACCTATCATATCTTTTATCAATTCCTTGCTGGCGCCGCACCCCAGGAACGCGACCATTTTGCACTTGAGGATCCTTCCGATTATACTTTGCTAGCGTCGTCAGGATGCTACCGTCTCCCGAGTGGCCCGTTCAGTGATGACGCCATCGCGATGGAAGACGTCCGCGTAGCGATGCGCGCCCTCGGTTTCAAACCTAAATCTCTATCCTCCATCTTTTCCATATTATCTACCATCCTCCTTTTGAGCAATATTCAGTTCGTTGAAGCAGATGCCAAGGACGTGTCTGCTTCCGTTTCCAACATGCCAGTCCTAGAACAAGTGGCACGCCTTTTAGGCGTCCCACCCGAGGATCTTGCGCAGGTCCTGACTAACAAGTCAAATTATGTCCGCAAAGAACTGTACACCGTCCTTCTCAATGTCGAACAGAGCATGGCGCAGCGCGACCATTTCATGCGAGATCTGTATGCGATCCTATTCGCGTATGTCGTGGAGACGGTGAATCACAAGATCTGTCTTAGCAGTCGGGAAACTTCTCCGACAACACAGATCATTGTTGTTGATCAGCCTGGGTACCAGTCCCGGGGGCCTGCGGCTACGGGGTCCATGATGCTAACGGGGAATGCACCTCTCGTGTCGGCATACGGCCAGAATGGATTCGACGAATTCTGTATCAACTTTGCCAACGAACTCATACATTCATACATTCTTCGGCACACGTTCGAGGATGCGGTTGGTTACAACGGACATATAACGGGCGACGGTGTTGCCTTGCCTTCGATCGTGACGGTAGACAACAGTCCATGTGTCGAGCTTCTTCGTGGTGCACAGATTAGCGAGCAGGCGGCTCGCAAACCAGGTGGTTTGCTCGGTATCATGAACAAAGCGTGCTTGGCCTATAAATCCGGTAAGGCAGGGGATAAACAGGTTGAAGATATGCTGCAGGATTTCGTCGCCAAATTTGGAGTCCACACGTCCTTTGTCACGAGTCCCAGCCAAGCAGGCGCTAGCGAGCGCAATCTGTTCGGTATCAATCATTACAGTGGGTCTTGTGTCTACGATGTGACCCATTTCATCGAAAAGGATGCGGACATGCTCGATGTTGCGCTGGTAACGCTCCTCCGGTCTTCCACGGATCCGTTCGTGGCCAAGCTCGTTTCAGGACCATCACTTGCTACTGAACAGCATTCCAAGGATGAATCGATCTCCGTACAGGCACAAGTGTCGTCCCGTCCGCTTCGACAGCCCACACCCATGGCCTCATCCGCTACCGGCGACGACCAATCGCAGTTAGGACCCTACGAAGATCTACCCCGTGTCTACCCAACTGAACTTTACCCTTTCAGAGTTGCTTGCTCCGCTGGATTGGACACGTCTCTGGGCAGTATCTTGTATTCGTCCCAACGATTCAGGTTCTCCAAATTCCTTTGACAAACGTCGGGTCAAAGCCCAAATTCGGTCCCTTCTCATTCCCGACATCGTGGCACGCCGCAGCGTTGAGTATGTCGTTGACTATGCGCAAAACGAGTTCTGCGAGCGGTACGTCCCAACAATGCGGGGATCAGATACGGAGCGAATCCGGCAGTGTGCTGCTTCCCACGGGTGGAAAGAAGGTTCGGAGTATGCGCTTGGGCATCGATCGATTTGGCTTGCTTATGACGCATGGAAGACCGTCGAAGATGGGTTGCGCGCGACTGAGAAGGAGCAGAAGAAGCAGGGCATTGATGGCGGTGCCCAGGAGGACGATGAAAGTATGGTGGCAGATGACGGGACAGAGTATACACATGCGGATGCTGCGGTTGAGAACGAGAGTCGCGATAATTTGCTCATTGCACGTGTGGGGTCGCATGGGTCGCGATATCAGGATCCTAATCAAGTTATGTCATATGGAGGGTCGGGGTTACTTTCTCCCAACGTCGTTGCGCCTGCTTACACGGACGAAGGAGATGGCTGGGGGTCGGAATGGGGCAAGAAAGGTGCCAGTGCAGGGGCGTCGGTACCGGCTTCGAAGGAAGGCGCCGGCGGCATCGTTATTAGTCATGCGCCCGCGGCGGTGGAAGAGGTGCCAACTAGTCCGCTCTCGTCGCTGGTGGTTGTTCATCGTGTGGACTCTCACGGGTTTGATACCTTCCTTCGTTCCTTCGTCTCGTCGGAAGGATGAAGCGGCCCGATGTCCGACTAGCATGGCGAGAAAAGTTGACTATTTTCGTGCTGATCTTCATACTCAATGCGGTCGTCATCTTTTATATCGTCGAGTTTGGGCGGTTGCTGTGTCCCGATTACGACAAGGTGTGGGATTCGAGCGAGGTCGCTGAACATACTGGCGACAACGATTGGTGGGTCTCAATCCAAGGCTGGGTCTACGACATGTCGAACTTTATCCATGGAGACCACAGCGATATCTCCGGTATCGCAAGCAATGCGCAGAGTAACCTCGATCTACTGGTTGGACAGGACCTCACGGATTACTTCCCTCCTCCATTAGCGCTGGCGTGTAACGGCTTGGTCACCGAAGCATCTCTCGAGCTGACATATAAGAATTTTACGGCTACAGTCCCGACTGCGATGCATAATTCCGGAGCAACCCAGTCAGCTTCGGGTACTGCGTTGGACAATTCGGACTGGTACACGGCCACGTTTTTACCGAAGATCAAGCAGTACAGGAAAGGCGCGCTTGTATGGGACACGAATGAGATTGCCTCTCAGGCTAGTGATCAGAACATCCAACGGTATGTTCCATACATTATCTTTGTTTATGGTGACTTGACACTTCGCCACCCTTGACGTTGTAGGATATGGGCTATTTGGGAAGGCGGTATTTACGATCTCACAGACTACGTCAATACCGTGTCGATCAACCAAGGCGCTACGGACGTCTACCAGTTTTTGAACACGGATATCACAGACGTCTTCAAGCAACAAGCCGGCCAGGACATTACCTCGAGCCTCAACAAAGTCCTGGCTACGTTGGACTCGTCAACTGTGTCTTCAAACATGAACTGTATCCAGAACGCGTTCTACCTCGGCCAGACAGATTTCCGGAAGACAGCACGGTGCCAAGTCCAAAACTACATGTTGTTGGTCTTCACGAGTATCGTTTGCGCGTCCATCGTATTGAAATGTGAGTTGGGAGATGTCCATTGTTTTATAGGACTGCGTGTTCATGAACTACTAGTCCTTTCTGCTCTTCAGCTCAGTCCTAAACGCCATCCAGAACTGCAAGACAAGTTCGTGCTCTGTCAAATCCCATGTTATACCGAAGGCGAGGACTCCCTTCGACGCACCATCGATTCCCTTGCATCTATGAACTACGACGATAAACGCAAGCTTCTCTTTATTATATGTGACGGAAACATCATCGGCAGCGGTAATGACAGGACTACCCCCCGTATCGTTCTTGACATCCTTGGTATTGACCCAAAGGTCGATCCGGAGCCTCTAATGTTCCGATCCATAGGAGAGGGTTCTAAGCAGCTCAATTATGGCAAGGTATACTCCGGTTTGTACGAGTTCGAGGGCCATGTTGTCCCGTGAGTGCACTTTTCGCGTTCATGCGTTATCGTAGTCGCTGCAACGATGAGTTGCAGGTATATGGTTGTAGTGAAAGTCGGGAAACCAACAGAGCGGTCTAAACCTGGGAACCGTGGCAAACGTGACAGTCAAATTCTCTTGATGCACTTCCTTAATCGCGTCCATTTCGATGCTCCGATGTCGCCATTGGAATTGGAGATATACCACCAGATGAGAAATGTTATTGGGATCGACCCCGCATTCTACGAATACATATTCACAGTTGACGCGGATACCGTATGTTCTGTTCTTGTTGGTTGATCTATTAGAAGCTAACGTCCGTTTTAGCAAGTAACGCCAGATTCGCTGAACCGTTTGGTAGCGTCCGCCGCGGATGATTCCAGTATTATCGGTATCTGCGGAGAGACGAAACTAACAAATGAAGAAGGATCTTGGTGGACGATGATTCAGGTGCGCGATAACGTTGTTTTGGTTATATATGTGCTCATCCAGCTTCTCTGACAGGTCTACGAGTATTATATATCTCACCATCTGTCGAAAGCGTTCGAAAGCCTTTTTGGTTCAGTCTCGTGTCTACCAGGATGTTTCTCGCTCTACCGGATCCGAACCGCCGACAAGGGGAGACCCATCATCATCTCCAATCGTATCATTGACGAGTATGCGGAAGGCCATATCGATACGCTGCACAAGAAGAATCTGTTCTCGCTCGGTGAAGATCGTTTCTTAACGACACTACTTCTCAAGCATTTCCCCACTTTCAAGACCAAATTTATTCCCGATGCCGTAGCTCATACCATGGCTCCTGAATCATGGCGTGTGTTGTTCTCGCAGCGACGTCGTTGGATCAACTCGACTATCCACAACTTGTTGGAACTCGTAGTCTTACCCGAGTTGTGTGGCTTCTGCTGTTTCTCGATGCGATTCTTCGTTTTCATCGACTTGTTGGGTACCCTGGTGTGTACAACGTTTTATGACCTTGGGGATGGCTGCTAATCTGGGTTAACATTAGATTTTACCTGCTACAGTGGTATATGTGAGCATCCAACATCGTTTCGTTCCATTTCTGCCGCTAACGTTTCTCATAGCTATTCTACTTGATTATCGTCGTCGCTACTGGGCAAGCCGCTGTCCCCATTATATCCATTATTATGTTGGCAGTAACGTATGGTTTGCAAGTAAGTTTAAAATCTCGTCGCTACAGTTTGGCCTGCTGACTTGATGTGCCAGGCGTTGATCTTTATTATCAAGCGAGAGTTCATGCTTGTCGGTTGGTTGGTAGTTTATTTACTTTCGTATGTGTGCGTTTTATGTTTGGTCGGGGAGGTTCTGACGTCCGCTAGATATCCTGTTTATGGCTTTTTCTTGCCTGTTTACTCGTTCTGGTGTATGGACGACTTTTCTTGGGGTAACACTCGTGTCGTCATCGGCGAAGGTGGTAACAAGAAGATCCTCATGAACGAAGAGGAACGTTTCGACGAGTCCGTGATTCCCTTGAAGAAGTTCGGTGGTACGTGAGATCTTGAACTGTTAAAATAGTTGAGTTATTGATTTCCACATGTAGAGTACGAAGCCGAAACTTGGGAGCGTGGTTCCCACCGTTCAGACGAAACCGGATATACGAAACCCCAATCCCAGAGGCGTTTCGTGCAGTCACGTCCAAGCTCCCCACAGTCACTCCACCAGTCGATGGCAGGCGATTATTATCGAAACACGAATGCCATGAACAATTCTACCAGCAATGTTCGTGGACCTGCTTCCCACCAGAGCCACGGGTCACGACAAGGATCCATGTACGACGGACGCCAGCGCACTATCTCCCAATTCACAACGCCGCAGTTACCTTTCATGCCTTTCGGCGGTGGGCCGGGATCGGTGACGGGATCTGACCATGGCGGATTGATGCAACCACAGCTATTACCCTTCGGGTACCAACATACTGGTAGTGTGTATGGGATGATGCCGGCCGACCCACGCGCCACAATGATGTCTAACATGAATATGCTTACGGGCTCGGGGTCGCAACCTGGCGGGTTTGGATTATTGCCCCCCACTCTTGGGGATGCGCGTCCGATGTCAACGTTCTCGATGGCCACTTCGGTTAATGCGTTCGCTGCGCCCAGTCTTAATCCCAATCCTACTGACGAAGAGCTGTACAATGCATTGCGGACATACCTCAGTACCCAGGACCTGATGACAGTCACGAAAAAGTAAGTGACCGAGTGGACTAAACATAGTCGATGCTGACTTTCAGTAGAACTGCTCGAGAAGCGATCATGGCCAAGTTCCCTAAAGCAGATCTGACGTCGCGCAAAGAGTTTTTGAACCAGTCCATTGACACTATCCTCTCTGGCCCACCGACCTCGATATAGATTGTTATGCAAACGCTCATGCGATGCCTGCGAGCGGATAAACCGATTTTCCACATTCTCTTCTTGCACAATTTTCCGTCAACATGGACTTTGATATTTGTCCTTGAAGGGCAATTAGCACCGTTGTGTAGTCTGCCTTGCACTGCCCGTTCGCATAGTTATGGACAATCAATCGTAGTAGTAGTAACGGTACTCCTTACATAATCCTATTTCTCGATCAAAAGTCTCCTATGCGGTTCCAAACCGATATTGTTGGTGCACTGGAGGAAAACATACAGTCATCGCTGTCATCACCAGGCCAAGGCCGAAAAGTTCGCATTACTGTAAAACCGGATGGACTGCGTCGTGACATATCATCTTGCATATAGAATTCGTGACCAAGCTCTGAGGAATGAATATATGTACACATATCGGTGATGCGCGGGGAGTGCGACCTAGCCTCCTATCTAATTTTTATGTTTCAGTCGGTTATGTGTCAAATACCGTTCTGGAAACCATGTAGGGCAACTCCATTGAGTGCCTGTCAACTCTGCAACTATCATTTGCACGACAATTTCCGCGCTTGATCCCGAGAGTAAGCATCCGATAGCGTGGTGAGCGCAAATTCTACCTACCATGCAAACGCACGAGGCATTCCGTGCCCCGTGTAGCCAGCTGCAATGTATTGCCTTTCGTAGTCTTCCCTCTCTCCGGTGGAGAAATCGAACACAGGTCCAACCTGGCATAGGCTAGTGAGTGCTGAAATCGCCCCACAATATACCGAAGAAATGTACAAATGGGTTGCCTGTGGTCGTGTATCCCATGATACCAGTCTTGATCAAAGAATCATCAACAGAGGATAACATGAATCCACAAGAATACCTTACCCATTCCATCTCTGGTCCGGTCCCGTGCTCGAACTTACCTTGAAAAACTGTCGGAAGGAAATCTCTCAACTCGTTACCTACGACGGGATTTGTACCCGAGTCGTCATCTACGTAAAGCTCGAATTGGGGACCGGAGGCTTCACGTCCCCCTCCGAGGACGATCAAGGGCCTTTCTTCACCAGGTCCGAGCGGGCGGGGGAACCAGTATTCATACCCCTATGATAGCAAAGAGTCAGGCATATTGTAATGCCCAAGGCTGGGGAAAAATCACCTGATTTCCGGACCAGCTATTTGTTCTAATCAAGGCTTTCCCTACGGATGCCCTAGTAGCAATAATCTGACCGCGCGTTGGTATGATGCCATCTGGACCAGCGAGGGATGGCAGCAAATGGGAAGTGTACGCGTTCGTTGCATGCACCACGCGCAAGCACGAAATAGGCCCACGCGACGTAGAAAGGATGTACTTTAGATTCGCATTCGAGCCCTCACTTTGCGATCGCGTTATTGAGGTTACTGGTGTGTGAGTGTGCATCCTCAAATCGAAACGTTCGCCAGTGCGTTGTTTTGCGTGTTGGTACAACATTGTGACGAGTTTAAGAGGCCAGATATTGTGCCCTGGTAGCTTAACGGCAGAATAGGGGGTTCCGTAAGTCTGAAGCCATCCCTTAGATCAGTGTACGAGATAGGGACATGAAGTCCCTACATTCTGTACTTCGTCTCTAGTCAGCCATTGCACGTTGTCCAGGTTTATGCCTGCATGCTTGGCACGCTCGAAATCGGCCCTGGTTTCCCTCTCTTCGTCTTCTGTGAAAAGAAGGCGGACATTGCCACCGTTGACTAAGTCTACATCTTCAGACCAGCCGTTTCTTTCGATGATGCTGACAAGTGATGACGCTGTGTATTCTTCCAGAGCAGACGATCGTATAGCTTCATCGGCACCGAACTTGTCCTGTCTCGCAGCGAAACTGTAGAACGTGTGGGGTGTAAGGTGACCACCATTTCGCCCTAGTAGTGCACCAGTGACCACACAGCGTCAATCGCAAGGCCTACTCCAGGTAACAAGAGTCAATCACACCTGTCGCGCCGCCGCCTGTGATCGATCAGCTAAGGCACTCAAAACTAGGACGCGTCACTGACAGAAATCCCTTGCCTCCAGTATGACCACACGCAGTGGAACGTCCAAATCGATGGTTTGATTTCCGACCGCCTCCGCAAGATGGTACGCAACACTGATACCAGTGATTCCTGAACCGATGATGCAGATATCAGCATCGGTTGTCAGAGGGCCGTAACTTCCTTCGCGTGCGAGGGGATTGGCATTGGACGACGAATGTGTCCAGAAGGAACGAGTGGGGTTGGCAGAAGGCAGATTAGCGGGTCGGCACAGATGGCCCAAGATTGAACCAGCTGCGTTGAGTGTTGCCCGGGCATCTTTCCCTCTCTCGAAAGCACGGGTGACAGACCATCCGGGCATCTGATAGATAACAAGCTTTACTTAAGGGCGAAAGTGCGATTAGAGGGAGAACCTTCACATCCACTTGGCTTGATGGATGCCACATATGACATAACGTGGTACTAACCGATCACTCCTGCTTATTACTACTGACTACGTAAGGTGAATGGTCCTAACCAAGCGGCTCAGCGGGCTACGTCACACAGTTGGCATCGACGAACTTCGAGCGTATATTTCGTTAGTAGGTGTGAGAGGTCTTCTGCAATCCATGTCACTTGCCGCGGCAGCGAAGATTCCTCTAACAAGATCACTACATCCTCGAGTCTCCATTAGGCCAAGAAGTGGTCTCGCCCGCCTTGCGCTCGGCGCAACATGCGCTACCCCGGCGTTGCCCTTACAGCTCCGCGTTCAGCGTACATTCCGGCCTACTTTCTCGCATGCATATTCGACGAAACACCCAGGAGGGGGGAATGCTGGGGGTGGATTCCCCGGGTTTGCGTTCCAACAACCACATCAGAAGGGCGATGCTTTGAAGGAATATGTGCGTGGTCAGCTCTTCGTCTTCTTCCACAATGCATGACTATAGTGCAGAGTGTCGACCTTACGGAAATGGCGCGAAACGGAAAACTTGATCCTGTCATTGGGAGGGACGAAGGTAAGGTTTATGCTGTCGTCATAAAATCTCATTGGCTGAGTATCTACCGTAAGAAATTCGGAGGACCATACAAAGTCAGTTCTTCTTCAATCTCATTGACCGATCACAGCTTGATAAGTTCCAGTTCTTTCTCGGAGAACAAAGTCAAACCCAGTGGTGCGTTGTTCCTTTCCTGGCTAACCTGTGGGACTCACCCGCTACTCAGCTCATCGGACCTCCTGGCGTTGGAAAAACCGCCATTATCGAGGGACTTGCAAGCCGTATCGTCGCAGGTGAGGTACCGGAGGTCAGTCAATTTACCTGTTCGATCTGTCAGACTGTCTCCATATTCTTGTAGTCTCTTCAAGACAAGAGAGTGCTTTCTCTCGATCTCTCTGCCATATTGGCTGGTTCGGGAATTCGTGGCCAATTTGAGGAGAAATTTAAGGCTCTAATACGAGATATAGAAGAGGAGGTGGGTTCCATCCGTCTTCTAAGTTCACACTGGCTACATTTATTATCAGGCCGGCAAAATCATATGTTTCATAGACGAAGTTCGTGAGTGGCTTTCATCGAAACCTTGTTGCATTGTCAATGATCGTGGTGCTGCAGATATGCTCTTTAATTTAGGAAAAGCAGAAGGAAGCGTAGACGGTGGGCAAATGATAAAGCCAGCGTTGGCACGCGGCCTGCGACTAGTCGGGGCTACTACTAGTGAGTGTTGTCACTGTATACACGTCCTCATCTGATGGATATACAGCGGATGAATATAGAAAGACGATAGGTAAAGACGCGGCTTTGGAACGTCGTTTCCAGCCTGTTCAGATCGACGAACCGACTGTCGAATCTACCGTCTCCATTCTCCGAGGTCTCAAGCCTCGGTACGAAGTCCACCACGGTGTGGAGATCGCCGACAGCGCACTAGTAACGGGTAAGTCTTTATCAGAGTCGGGTCGTATATCACTATTGCTCACCAACACAGCTGCCGTATACAGCGCACGATACATTTCCGACCGCTACCTCCCTGACAAAGCGATCGACTTGGTCGATGAGGCAGCGTCTGCACTTCGACTCGCTCAAGAATCCAAACCAGATGAACTCGAAGCCCTAGATCGCGAAATCATGACGCTTCAAATCGAGTTGGAGAGTCTGAAGAAAGAAACCGACGTCTTCAGCGTTGAACGGAGAGCCAAACTTGAAAGCGATTTGCAACGGAAGAAAGGAGAGGCTGAAGAGTTGACTGCGATCTGGCAGAACGGTGATCATTTTGTGTCTTTGATGCGAATGTGTCAACTAACATTTTACTTTAGAACGTGCGAGACTTGACCGGATTAAGGACCTCAAGAAACGACTAGAAGATGCAAAGCACGAACTCGAGGTTGCCCAACGTCAAGGACAATACGAAAGAGCCTCCCAACTCCGATTCGGGATTATCCCTGATTTGGAACATCAACTTCCCAAGGATGGTGAACCACGAGAAGTAGATGAGGAAAGCCCACTCGCTATGTTACATGACAGAGTTACCAGCAATGATATTGCGAGAGTCGTTGCAAAAGCTACGGGAATACCTGTTCAGAACTTGCTAAAAGGCGAGCGGGAGAAATTAGTTCATGTAAGTTTCAGAAATCGGTCCTTTGACAAAACAAGCAGTAATGTCCTCTTAGATGGAGGAATCGCTGAAGCAACGGGTGGTCGGACAAGACCATGCCGTCGTGGCTGTAAGCGACGCCGTGCGGATATCTCGCGCCGGGCTGCAAGCACCGAACAGACCCGTCGCATCATTCCTTTTCCTTGGGCCCACCGGCGTTGGAAAGGTACTACCGTATGTCTAGAAGCATGGAACATCTTCTGAATGTCTGTGTCACTAGACGGAACTTTCGAAGGCTTTGGCGGGATTCCTGTTTAATGATGAGCAGCGAGGACTGTGAGTTGCGCTTGTTCCATTGGCTAGCCATTGACTGACGCTTCATAGTATCACTGTCAATATGTCTGAAGTATGCCAGTCTCCTTCTATACAATGTGTGCTAAAGCTGTGTCTATTTTTGGAATAGTTCCATGACCGACACACCGTCTCGCGTCTCATTGGTGCTGCTCCGGGATATGTAGGTTTCGAGGAAGGCGGTAAGGTTATCATGGAATGTTCTCGATGTTGGTTATTCACCATCCTTTCCAGGCCAACTAACGGAAGCTGTGCGGCGGAAGCCATATGGTAAGTTACCAGTGCAAGGTATTCCCTCAACAAGTAAATAATGCATGGGAAGCCGTCATCCTCCTTGACGAACTCGAGAAAGCTCACAAGGTTTTGTTTTTATTGTTACGTAAAATATCCATTGGTCTGATCCCAAAGCAGGACGTCTCCATGATCCTACTTCAAATTCTCGACGAGGGAAGCCTCACAGACAGTCAAGGACGGAAAGTCGATTTCAAGGTATTTGTCTAGAGTCTTTGTGGATCAGTTACTCATAAGGCATAGAATACAATTGTTTGCTTGACTAGTAACATCGGAAGCGACATACTAGCCCAAAGCACCTCGTGCGACGCGAATGGTACCGTGACTGATGAAGCGAAAGCACTCGTCATGAAACGCACCTCCGACTACTTCCCTCCCGAACTTCTTAACCGCCTTGACTCCATTCTAGTGTTTAATAAGCTTTCGCCCAAGTCGATTCTGGATATCGTCTCATTGCGGTTGAGGGATGTCGCTTCTCGACTCAGAGATCGACGGATTACGCTGGATGTCGATGATGCGACTAAGCATTGGCTCGCTAAGAAGGGTTATTCAGAGGTCTATGGTGCTCGCGCTATTGCTCGAGTCGTACGGTCGGACGTGCTTTTCCCCCTGGCACAGAAATTGCTGAAGGGAACCATTCGGTACGCTTTTTATTTATTTATTTACCTTTTTCTGGGTTGACATGTTATCGCTACCCGCAGCAACGGCGATACGGTTCACATTAGGGCGATGGAGGGCCACGACAACCTTCAAATCCAAGACAACCATCCTGCTGACCCTAGCATCGCCGAAAAGGAAGAACCCAGCATTGTCTAACATTATTTCTATCACTTGAATCGTAGTCCCACTCAGTTCCCATAACACTATCATATATCTCACACGCTTGTATAAAAGATATCTCTCGGTGACGGTCTATAACTTTAGTGGTGAAGACGAGTTGGTGATGATGTGCCTTAACATAAACGGTATTGTCGTTTTTCGGTTTAGTAATCAACAAGTTTTTGCACTGGTTCAGTGATTTTGGTGGTATACATCGTTCCTTCCAGTTGGGTCGAAGCATCCCAATAATCCGCAGGCCACAGTGGAGGCCTCAGACAGATTTGATTTTCTCTTGGTTAGGTCAACGTTTACAAATCCTAATAGCGGTTGGCGATTTATCTGCCTCGTGTTCGAGTCGAAGCTCCGGCGGCGGGCTCAGCGGTAGTTCCAAACGTACCCACACTCTTCCTTTGCTTCTCGACGAGTCAGCAACAGTTAACGTCTATCACGTTACCATCGCTATCACCTGAACGGGTGACGGCTGGAGCGATCGTCTCTTATACCCTTCGATCAACCATCGCCACTGCAAACAATTTTTCGCTCCGTCTCTCTACCAAAGTACGGCGTCTGCATTCCAACACCAAAGCATGTCAGCAAACAAAAGTCCAAACCCATATAACGGCGCTCCTCCGAAGTAAAATCCATCATTCCTTTGCCTGTGAAGTCGCGGATTGATCGGCTCACCAAACTAACAGGTACTTGAACGACTTCAGCAAAGCCCTCGCCGGCGAAGTCAGAATTCTTCTCGCCGAGGTGGGGAAGTTGAGGGATGAGCGTAGACAGTTGCAATTGTGAGTACTTCCAGATCTGATCTTCCTGTCCTCCCAAGGCGATCGGGCGTCCTCTTACTCCATCTTCTCCCTTGGCTTTCTGGCCTTTTGATATCATTGAATGGGAACGGACAAATGCGCACAGTGAAATAGCTGAACTGATGGCTGTGAAGTCCAAACATGGCGCTGGAGGGGAGTATACGCCTGATTGGAGACCACATGTACGCAGTTCTTCCCCTTTCTTTCGTGTCAAATTAATGTTGATTCATTTTTTCTTCACACAAGCCCCAGGAACCCATACCACCCCCTCCTGCAGCAGCGACGCCACCACCTGTTGACGATGGTCCCCCTGTTCAAGCTCGTCCCGCGTGGCGTGTCGTTCATAAACCAACCCGACGTGAGAAAGCGCCTAAAGGTCTTCCCGCTCCTGCTCCTGCCCCAGTACCACAAATTGAAGCGCCTAACCCTGTCTCGAACACGAACATGCCAGCTTGGGCGCAGTGGAGGCGTAAGTCGCATTTGCTTTCTTTTTGGCGGCCATGTAGTTCAGACTAACCTGATATGTTATCTTGCACTGATTGCTCGTGCAGCAAATCCCGCCCTTATGCCTTCTATGGTACCGAGTGGTCCGGTATCTCCCAGGCCTGCTACGCCTCCCTCACGTCCTGGTTTGTTTGGTGAGTTTTGTCTGTGTTGTTTTAACTTGGGAAGAGAATGGTCTTACGCTGCCCAGGCCCCCCTACTCCGCCCCCCAAGTAGAAGGTGGCATGTAAGTCTTAGTCCCCACAGACGTGGGAGCCATGGTATTTCGCATGTTTTCCACTCTCACTTCCTGTCTTTCATCTATGTCTCATCTTTGTTCTCTCGCTTTATACTCCTGCTGTTCATTTACCCATGCTCCTCCCCTTTACTACTGTATCCAGAGGTTGGGCCGTACTTATCGCCAATCGTATCCATAATATGTTTGCTTCAGTTCAAAACGCACCCATTTCGCGTCTATTACTGCAAAGCCTTGACAGGAAAGGCGAGGATAACGTTCCAGCTCCTACACTATTGTAAATTCCTTCGAGAATTCCCTCGGAATTTGAGGGTCTTTGCCATTGGGGTAAAAACTACACGAGTCTGCGGTCCCTTCGTGAAAGCACCACGCACTATCTACGTATTGCCTGGGGTAACTTGCGACGTAAACAGGCAAGCACGGCAGTCCAACCCTCCGGTACCTGTTCCACATCTACATTATCATCCACCTCGCAAGGTTCTTTTGGGTGGCATAAATCAGCTTCACAGGCATGTGGATGGTGAAAAAGTTCCTCGAACATCAATATTCTGTAAGGGACAAGGAGACGCTCGCAGAGCCATTTCGCAAGCGACAACTGGCTCGATTCCAACCTCAGAGGACACGTTCTGGCAAATTTAATGCAACGATTCATATCTTCGACGTTAACCACTAGAAGATAGGGCCGTCGGCGACAGCAGGCACCAGAACTCACAGGACCTCCACCATGACTATTATTTACATGCCAGATTTCGACATCTAAGGTTTGCATTGTTTCTTTTCTAGCTATCTGAAAAATTATAGCGGAACATCGAAGGCAAGTCAGCTTTTCAGTCGTCATATGTATTGTGCTCCAAATGGCAGGCCGCCATAGCTAAGATGAGTCAATTTTGTCAAACTTGATGCAGTGGTTTTTCGTTTGCCGCTGGCCGACGCACTGTGTGCGACTCGAGCCACGTTCATTGGTTAATTTGCACGTGCGCAGATTACGTAAGACAGACTCACATTCCGAGCCCCGTAATTTCCACCGAGTCATGACGATGCTGGGCCTCAACAGCACTCAGCCGTTATCTTGTCAGTGCACGCTACCGCTCAAATTACCCTGCAGTCGCGCCACTTTTTGTAATTTAAGCACGCCACTAGACCGACTAGTATTCTGGAAAGTCAGCCGGTTACTCGCGTTTTATCGGCCCCGAAGGTTCGATTGGACTCCAGCGGTCAGGAAGGTCACTCCGTGTGTTTCCTTTCGGACTACGAAGTCCAGCTTCTTCTCTAGTGCTGCATGACACTGCTTCATGTATACTTCCATCTGCGCAACCAAAGGGCGTTTCAGCGACTCCTGGAACGAGACCGTTCCGGACCTTCCGGGTCAGCCGGTCCTCGCACTGGTGCTGGGAAGTCATCTCCAGAGAAATCATGGTCCCGCAAGTTGGTCGCCCCAGCACTGGAAGTAAATGCGTTTGACGATCTTGGTCGCTCTGTCCTTCACCTTGTGTGTTCGTCAACAGATACTTCCAGTACCGAGTATGCACGCATGCTGCTTTCGCATCCCAACATCAATGTCAATCTACTAGACAAGGAGAATCATTGGACGCCCCTCCACAGGGCCTTGTATTCCGGAAACACTGAGACTGCGTGAGTTTTCCTCCCTTTTCTCTGCTGACCTTCGTGTTCGGCCCGGTTCTTTTCTTTCGTTTGTGATATTCTCACCAGGGTGACATGCTTCACTTATTACTTCTTATTTGCAGAATCCTTTTGTTGAAGCATCCGGATGTTAACACGTCCGTCAAGGACTTTGAAGGATACTCAGCCTTTGATTTGTACAACTTGACGGTTCGGAACGCGAAACCACAGCCTTGTGACGGACAGGTACTTGCTGACCTTCTCACATGGGGTGCGAATCGGTGGGTTTCTTTCTTTATATTTCAACCTTCATTTGCGGGCCGACCCTGGCTGGAAAATTCAATTTTCATGACTAAAGTTTTGTATATACGTTGTATTTGGACACGAGCTCACGCTGTACCTTCCTTGCAACTCTGGTGCTGCAGGAATGCTGCACTTGGACACGGCGATGCGAGTGACCGTACTTTTCCTGATTCTGTCGCCCTTCCCACGAAAAACGCAGCAGACGCCCGAAACCATTCGTTGGAAGATCGTTTTGCGGCGGTCAATGTATGCGACGTTAAGATGTCGAAATTACACACAGGTGAGTTTCAAAATGGTTCTTTCTGATGGAGAAATCTGGCGACTTGTGAATTCCTTCGGCGAGTCGTGCAGGGTCTTTCGTCGCACACCATGCCGGAACGTCCGCGTTGATCAATGTAATTTTCAGCTATTCTCACGAATGAACCCCGTGACAATCTGCGTTTATGCGGCTTTGGGAGTGGTGGACGGTAGGTTGTTACACTATGTGACATATGTCTTGTTGAAGGTCGCCTTAAGGCTCGGGCCCTCCTCCCATACTGTGTATACTCCTACCCCACTAACTCTTCCGACGAGGTGCGCTATTGTCAGCGTTGCTCTTGGTCAAGATCATACCCTTGCCGTCACCAATGCAGGAGAAATCCTGAGTTGGGGCCTCAACAGGTTTTCGCAGTTGGGATATGTAGTGGAAACCAGTCAAGGAGGCTTTGTTCAGGAAGCCGTCCAATCGACCCCACGTAAGATCAGTCATCTTAAGAAGGAATTTATAAAGGGTGTCGCCGCATGCAAGAGCGCAAGTGCTTGTTGGTCACACTCTCAAGTGTGGACATGGGGAACTAATAATGGACAATTGGGTGAGCCATTGAGTTAATGTCCTCGTCTTCTTGTAATCTACTTGGGCTCTAACACTGGGAGCATGTGTGAACTTTTTTGACGTATATGCTGGCAGGGTACGACAAGACCTCGACGTCAGTGCAAGTTTATCCTCGTCAGGTATCTGTCATTACAGAGCCCATATTTGGTATGGCAATGTCGGTGAGTACCATCGTGCCCTCTGGCCCGTACTGCTTGAAACGTGCACATGAAATTAGGAAACTGCTACTGCATGCCTTTTCACGAGTGGTGATGTGGTATGTATATGGCATGGAGGGGTGTCCAAGGTGAAGTAAGTGTACAGTGCCTGTCCTGACATTGAACCCTGCTGAATGTGAAGTAGCTTCCCAACCCATTCCTTCCCATCTGAAATGTCCGTATATCGCCCTCCGCAAGCTGTTAGGGGTGCTGCGATCACAAAAGTTGTCAGCTGCGAAAACTCGTTTGCAGCGTTGTCCTCTAATGGCGAAGTGTTCACATTCTCTGCCCCAATGGTCTTAGAATCGGATGGACTCGGTCTATCCGGGAAAAAGGAGAAACTGGTAAAGCCCCAACGAGTGTGGGCTTTGAGGTCCCAGGCGAGTAGTGTCCAGGTGCGTGGATAATCTGTCCTTTCTGTTCCGCCACTGTGGCGCTGACATCTTAGCGGTTATACAGGACGTCGACATTGGAGGCGATGGTACTCTCATCGTGTGCACGCGATCTGGACATGTCTACGTACGTTCCCGGAATCTGAAGAGCAGCGCGGCCAGTGGCGGGAATAAGTCATTCAAGTTTCAACGCGTCCCCTATATTCAGAGGGTGGTTGCGGTGTGCACAAATAGCACCGGTGCGTTTGGGGCGTTACACGCCGAATACAAACCGCCGCCAATTCAAGTCGTGGGGAGACCGTTTGAAGGGGACATGGCTGCAATTATACCGTTTCTGCCCGAGGTGGAGCCAGCTCCTGGTCGGGCAAGTACTACCGGTGGGAACCACGTCCCAACCGACGATGAGATGGAGGACGCTGTAATCTTGGATGACATTGCCTCGTTGGAGAGGCTGATAGATGCGTTGCGAAAGACCTCAACGAGTTCCTCTCGACGAAGGGACGGCCGCCATGGCCTCCTCGCATGACGCTGACATCATAGTTCGTGTGGAAAAGAATTTCGCTTTTCACGCTCACAGACTTGTGCTCGCCGCGCGTTGCAAGCCACTGCGGACAGTTTTATATGGAAACGAGATCTTAAAGGACAAGCACATTCAAATGACAATCAATTTTCTTCCCTTCCCAGTATCGCCAATACTCGGTCATCTGCACGTGACAAGAGTCAATCCGCTTTCAGTGCTCATCCTCCTCTACTATCTTTACTCTGATAACTTGCTGGCGTTATGGGACCGTCGAGTCGGGCTCGCTTTGGCGGAGCAGTGCAAGGCACTCGGTATCTTGCCGATGCAGGTCAAGTACGAACTCGTAGTTCTCGCTGGGATTTTAGAGCTCCCTCAACTTGCTCAAGCCCTCCAATCCGTTGTCAAATGTGCACCCACACCCACAGCACGCGTGCAATATGGACAACTCTTCGATTACGTGCAATCCGTCACAGAACCGCCCAGGTCAGATGCCCATACGGACCCGCTGGCACCTGACGTGGCTTTACACTTACGTGACAAGGTCGTTTATGCGCATTCGATTGTTCTTCGTGCACGGTGTCCTTTCTTCTCGGCATTCTTTGGAGATAAAGATTGGACCTCTCGTAGGCGAGACCAATTTGGTGTCATCGATGTTCAGATGGATCATTTCGAGTGGACGGTGATGCAGTTTGTCCTGCGCTTTATCTGTTTTGGGGAGGAGAAACTGTTCGACGCACTTGGTAGGTGTCTCCCTCCGTTCTTGACCCGGATTAGTTTTGACTTCGTCTCAGACTTTTTGGAGAGTATTGATGACGTCGTCGAGTTCATGTTTCGCATGGTGGCTGCGGCGGTAGGTGGCACATTCACCCGAAAGTGTTCGTTACTCAACTAAAGGTGTCAGAACGAACTATTGCTTGATGGTCTCGTGCTCCTTTGCTCAAAAGTCATCCTGGGACTCCTCAGTCCTTACAATGCTTGCTATATCCTTACTGACGCTATTCATTACAATGCGGTTGACCTCGTGAAGAGCATTGAGAGTTACATAACCGCTAACTTGGAAATGTTTTTGGAATTGGAGATTTTGGATGACCTGGAGACCTTGGCAGTGCGACATCTGGCTGGGTTTATACGCTCACAGCAGGCGGAAAAGACGCCTCTCATGCGATCGAATAGGCTTGCCAAGGAGGCAGTGGGAAGGCATCAAGAGTGGTTGGCCAACCAGGATATTCCTGAACCCTTTGTACCGATTCCGAGGGTTTCGCAGGTTCAAAAAGATTCCCCTGGAACCTCTAAACCTCGGGCGCGACCTATTCTTCATTCCCCTTCCTTAAGTCCGTCGTTAATGCCGTCTCTACCATCGAAGTCGGGGTCTCGAGATATAGTTGGGGACGAGTTGTTTGTGATGGACGATTCGGATGCGGTGCCCACGCTGGATTTGAATGTGCCACAACCCGGTTTTCCGACTTCGCCCATGAACCAGTACGCCACGACTACTCCTCGGCCGGTATGGAAGACGACTCCATTCGTGCCTCGGTATGTACAGCAATCGTCTTCCTTCCATTGCTATTGCGAATGATTTATAGGGTGGACCTCAAAGTTATCATGGTGGAAGCTGAAGCGAGGAAAATTGCACCGTCTTCTCCTGTTTCAAGGTTTTCAAAGACTCCAGATAAACCCAGGAAGACGAGCGAGCAGTTTGCAACACGTGTCCCGACCATGCCTAATTCATCAGGGCTGCAATCCAAAGCGTCGCCACTCAATCAACTGCAGTCTGTACCGGCCACGCCTTCCAAACTAACGAATGCGAGTTTGCCGCCGGCATTAGGTCCAAAGATCACTCCAGTGAGGCAAGCAGTTCCTATCCCCTCTGGGTCACCAAGACCGCGAAAAGTACAGTGGGTTATATGCTACTTGCATTCGTTGCGTTGTCACTGATCGTAATTCTGCTGCGTCACGTACCCAGACCTGCTTGGACTTTCCATCCTGTACAAGCTAGTGTACAGCCAGGCATACAGGATGGAGTGCCGTCATTCGCCGAGATTCAGTTACTGCAACAAACACAGAGTGCATCCGCAGCCCAAGACAAGCGATCGTTGTTAGATATCCAAGAGGAAGAGCGTGCGAGAAAGCAGGAAGAGGATTTCCTCCAGTGGTGGGCAGCTGAGGAAGAACGTGTGAAACAGGAGCTTTCTGAACAGGATAGACTGCTTTCACCGGCCGCCACTGCTAACACACTACCCGCCGGGAATCCTGTCAGAGGAAATGCCAAAGGTAGGAGGACGCGACCGACCGAAGGTGAATCATTTCCCACGTTGAAGGGCCAAGGCGAGTCATGCGCGAGTTCGGCTAGTTCTCGGGCTGCGAAGAGTCGTAAATCACGAGCTTAGAACCCAATCATCAGCAACGAAGAGTATAATGTACTGTTTTCAGTTTTCAGGCTATTATGGCTTTTTATGCTCCTCTGACAGGACCAAATAATTAGGAAGCCAGAATCATCAACCATCTTTCAATATTGCAATACATCTTCAATCTATGTGCTCGGACGCGCTCCTATTGCATTGCATAGGCTGTTGCAACTCAGGTGCACGCCACGCCTTGATTATGTGTAGCAGGCAACACGAACATTTGTGCCCGACAACCCAGCTACGGTAGAGATCCCGCCTTCACCCGAAACATCTACAGTGAATCAGAAGGAAATTCATTCCGCACCACCCTCTCAATTCTCCCCAGTGACGGACTCATCTGCCCATCTCGGGTTTCAGAAACCGAATAGACGGAGATACGCTGGCACTCGGGCACTCCCATGTGAGAGCACCACGGGTTACGCATCCGAACCGCTTCCATCACTCCTACGGCCGTCGCCATCCGATCCATCGCTTCCGACCCCAGACACTTTCTCGTAGTCCAAGAACGGGTTGAGAGCCCCATCAGGGGGGGAAACACAAGGCCATATTCTCCATCCTCCCCTCGTTATCATCTTCACCATCACTCTGTGGTTGACAAGAAATCTACATCTCCGTCGGGACACCGAAGAGACTGAGTGTGCGATAGAATGTGGAGGGAGTGTAATTATCTAGTTGCTGTGCATAAACTAGTTCGCGTGTCTTATCATCTACAATTCCACAATAAGTATGATACAATAAAGCACGGCTCTCGAACTTCGCTAGCATTCGTGCATGTCAGTCATCTCCTGCGATCCAACCTGCATGAACACCTATAACAATGCATCGGTTCCTCTCCGGATAATGGAACAACCGAGTATAACTCACGTACCTCCAACTATGTACTCTGCATCCAGAACACGACCACCTACCTAATCACGGGACATAAGATATTCCAATAAAGCGCCTCCGGAGGTTGAAAGTGCTTACCCTAGAATGATTACACCCGCCATGGCTTAAGTACTATGGTACAATAGGCACATCTTTGCAGACATCGCCAATGCTCGAGCCATCTTCCTTACGACTCCATACATGTTTAGAAGTACCGCAGTGATGGGAGAGACTGTCATGCGGTTTATCGTCCGTGACGGCCATCCAGTACGGTTCGACGCACACGGAAACCTATAGAGAACGCATCGGTTGCTATCCGGATGGGGACCAATAGTAGATAGTTCACGCACCTCCGGTTGTGTATGCTGTATTTGAAATGCGGAAAACTGATCAGGGAATGTAAGACAGGCATTACGACCAAGTAGCTCTCTTCAGGATGCTCACCCGACTACTAATGCCCCCAAGGCTCGGTTCCTCTGCCGATCCATCGTATTTCCACTCCTTACGCGCATTTAAGCTGGATAACATACAATTTGTGTAGAGTTTTGAGAGTGGGATGTTAAATATCAGGTGACTGGGCGAAAAGTTTGAGAAGTCTCATGTAACGGGTAAAGAGAAATTCTTACATGCCCGAACTCTATAGACCAACTCAGATGAGTGCACCGTTCACTTGATCGCACTGACGGAGAGCGTGACTTACGATGGTCAGGTAGCACGTCAAGTCTACGATAGCAACGATGGTCGTCAAGACTCCGGTCTGTACAGTCGCTGCATTAACCTTACGGTCAGCAAATCTGAGTGCATACAACACTACATTGCGCGACTCACTCCTGAGGATCCGATTAATGGTGCTGGTCAGTGCAGGGTAAAGATGTCTGTATCTTCTCTAAGCACGTGGGCTTAAGGATGGGACGTGACGAGAAATCAAAAGTGAATATCTACCAGATGCCATACGAGCGAAACGGCGATGATCGTGTCGGCAAGGACCGCCCCGACCAACCACATCGTGACTTCAACTGTAAGACGTGGCAACAGTAAAAGATTGGGATTGAGGGCGACACCGACAGTGGCACCAAGTGAGCCTGCCAGGTTGACTAGGCTACAAAGAACGATAGCCAGCACAACGAACGCCTTTTCGGTCATCACGTATACCCGCCATGCAAAGAAGTGTTGCACCGCCCCTCCAATTGCACCCTTTAGCGAGTTATTACTGGGAACTGGAGCAAGGAGAATAAAAGCGTACTGTCAAGACGGCATCTATAGTTGTGGAAGTCTCCGTTAAACCAGGTGATATATGATTATTAGACATGGATTCGTTACCAGCTGCGAAAGCTGTCCAAGCGCGGTAAATAGCCTGGTTTTCATAAAATTAATGATGGACTGACCCCAGTTGGCAATCGAAAGGTTCGCCTCATCGCCTATTCCAACATATGCACCTACTTAAGCTCGTTGCGCTGACGTTAACAAGAAGACGCACCGAAATGAGTGACTAGAACATCGTAGATGTAATATATACTGATCATACAGTTGAACGTATCTGCGATGTACAAAAGTATTATTCTGGGTTTTAGGTGAGTGAGCGCCTTACGAAGGAAGTAGAAAATGAGACCAACAGCATCTTAAGCCAAAGTCTATCGCTACGCAAAAAAAAAAAAAAGCTGAGCGATCGCACAAGGGAAGTGTCAAGCGTGACACTCACTTGTTATGTGTGGTAAAATATAAGTATACTTGAGTGGTAAGGACACCGTGTAAGAGGATGTTGATGATCAGCCCGATGAAGAACGGTCCTTGGCTACAAGGGGAGACATGAGTTACTAGACAGTCACCGCTCACCACAGCTTACACGATTTGTGCTGGACTTCCCGCCATATCCTTTGACGTCTCCTAGAGAACGCAGGATGTCAAACTATGAGGGAATTCTCGCCGGGGGCGGAGGAGGGTAATCCGTCCTTCAGATCGAAGAGAGGAACTTTATTACGGGCGGTCAGACCGTTTGCATTGGGCGTCATCATATGCAAACTTAGCCTATTAGTACATTCCTGTAGGTGTGGCTCGCGTCAGCGCCGAGGCTGGCGGGTGAGAAGCTCAACTATTTGATGTTGCTTAACCTAACCTATTACCCAAGTAGTCCGAGACCCTGACCAAACCTAACCACCTAACGTGAGTTTGCAATCCCATCAAACTGTGTTAATTGCGAGCGGGGCAGGGTTACTTCACACAAATTAGTTGTATACGTACATCAAATCAAACTCTGTCTTTGTATTATCTGCAAGGCGATTAGGGCGACTGCGACCACGGGAGCCCAAAAGTGACTGTCGCGTCCCGAATATACACAGGTTGGATAGGGTTTGGCCACCTTTAAGAGCAATCCTTTCAGACAAAGATCCTCATTTCCTTGCAGCCGAGTTACCTCGCTGTTCAGCCTTGCCGTTAAAGGCCCGACAAGTTCCGCCTTGCTTAAACCTTAAAACCCCTCATTAAACCCTGCGAAGCTCCGCTGGGAGTATTACATAACATAGTGAATGTATACCTGAGCGTGAGCCCCGTCCCTGCCATTGAGTTCAAAGTCTATGTGGATCCCTGCCCAACTTTATTTTAAACCTTCTTAGGCAAGATCAGACTCATAGTATCCACTAGTGCTCCTTGACACGTTACAGGCGTAGTCTTGTACCCAGACAACTTGGAACCTAAGGGAACCTTCCGTAGAACAGATGGACCCGAGACCATTGCAGGACCGTATCTTGAACCAAAGTCAGAAAAATTGCCTGACGATTTCGGTGAACTCTTGCCCAGCCATCCGGCCAAAGTATCTGCTTTGTATGCAATTCTGTGCAAGGGAGTATTTTGAGCTGGGAAAAAGACTTGACAAATTTGGAGAGATCCTTGATGGGTTGGTTTAGGTTAAGGCATTGGTGGCGATGATACCGCACGGTTTAGAGGTACTGAAGTGGGCCAGGTTGAGTTCTTGAAAGATGATAGGAGAGATATATTGGTGGATGCTAGCCAATGTCTTGGCCCAGTGGTGCAGCCAAACTTGAGGGACCCGGACATCAGCATTGGTCGTGGTTGAAGAGAAAGATTCTTGTCAGCGTCGATCAACGCTTGCAGCTCGTACACACTGTGCCAGAAGCTCACGCCTCCAGTGCAATAAACACTAATTTTTCTAACTTCAGTGGTTTTATGCTGTATATCTTCTTTTTGACTCATCAGACTTGCGAAGGTAAGTACACGACAGAGGAGGAAAAGAGACCAACGATGATCAAAGTCTGTCTATGCGCAGAGCTGTTGTGGTCGTGGTCGCCCTGGAAAGGTTTCTTAATGTGCCACCCACCTGTTGCACGCAGAAAAATAAAGGTACACCCGGACGTGATGCCCTACGTAAAAGATTGACAGTCACCCCGAGAAGAAACAGTCCCAGATTGCAGGAAGACAAGTCAGTACTAGGGAGTGCCAGTGGGGGTGCTAGGCACAACTGCAATTGATAAAACCTCCGCTGGACCTCCAGATACGGTAGGACGTCAACTTGTGAGGAAATTCGGGTTAAGATGATGGTGACGGTGGCGGGAAATCAGCCCAGAAAACCTTAAGGGAAAAAAAGGGTAGGGAGGACTCGGAGCCGCCTAGGGTCAGTCCTCAGGACCCTTGCGCGAACCATCTGATTGTAAGAACACCCAGCCATTATTGTTGCATTACTTGCCTGCAGGTTTTGTGTCAGCGGATGTCGACGAACCGACGAATCAACACATGTTACTTTCAAGCTGACTATTGATTATGTCGAGAGTAAACTGGGGCAGCTAAGATCTCGGTGGTTGCTTGTTCTTGGAACCTTTTTCGGAGAATTCCAGTTAGAATACCCGAGATGTCGCAAATTATTGAATTCCAACAGCTCGGACATTGTTGAGGGGTTTGAAATGAGTCGGCTCTTGTGACATGCGTTCGGAATATCAATTTGCTTCCAGGAGTGCAGTTATGTAAACGTGACCCTCACTTAGACGAGTCTGGCGGACAAGTCCGCGATTTGAATACAGAACGCGAATACTATACAGTCCATATGCTAATCGGGGTCAAGCCCTTTACTGAACCCTCCCAAAACACCTGCCTTTTCTTTGCACCTTGGGTCTGTGACGCATCGTCTGTTTCCAGGTGTTTGGTCACTAACCTGGCACAGTTGGATCGATGTCTAGTAGAAAAAAATGCAAGCACCACCCGACCTATTTGTTTCAGCCCACCAGTTCTATTTATGGGCTATTGGCTTTTGAAACTGCTACTGCTGCTATGCACCCACTTCCAGCTCCAGTGCTGTCTGGTAGAGCCACCGCAGTCTTCACTCAGATTTCTCACCGACCCATCACTAACAGCAACCTCCGCACCTCAGTCTGGACTCTGCACCCGGCAAACCACAACCCGAAGAACCTGAACCTCCCTCGAACTCCAAACCTCAGCCTCCTATCAAGCCCCAGCTACCTTGTGGGTTCTATCGGAGCACCGGCTACTCCATCGACTCCACTGGTGACCGTCGATGACACAACATGGACCGTACTAGAGGTTGGACCTGTGTATGATCTGTTTACTGATCTTAAGGTACCAGCCCATGGCGGTGATACCCAATGCCAACTTTTGCAGCCCTGTTTGTCATTGAAATGATCCATGCGCCTGCTAGAGCCGTTAAACTAGCGCATCTGATGTACCGAACAGTTGGTAGGCTAGTTGCTTCTTATTTGCCCAGGGACTATGCTGTGTTCCAGTGGCGGAATCTCCTGGGATGCTCCTCCAATATCCACAGGGTGCCTAATAGAGTTGGTTCTGTACCGTATATGACCAAGACGGGATTAGGTTGCTGCCCAGAACTTTTGATCAACTTTCTGGATGTGATCTCGGCGCAAGTTGAAGCGATCCATTGAACCGCTTCGGTAGAGATCAGGAGTAAGTCTTACGCTTTCTTCTCGTGGTGCCCTCCACCTATTTGCCACCGCTTTTCTCCTCGAACCTATTTTATCGCAGTGAGCGTCATCTGCCACTTCCCTCTTCACCCCCTTCGCGCCCCCCATTCACCTGTTCCTTCTAAGATTACCCAAACGGCCCAGTGCGAATGTCTACGCTCAGAATGTCTACGATTAAATGGTCGCATGCTGGCGGCGGCTGGAATCGAATCTGTTCTTCTATCATTGCACTTGAGAAGTCCTGATAAATGCGCAACAACGAATTTCGATGTGGCTGATGTGGATCATAGATATAAGTGGGTTTGTGCCGATGTACTTCCTCCGCAAACGTTTATCCATTAATCTGGTCCCTACATTGACAGGCATAGACGACGATCCCACATCGAAGTGCATCTCGCGTATGCCCTCTTTCCAGAGGACCCATGGTAATTGATGTTGGACAGATCAGTTGTGTACTCCCTCACATGCGAACCAGGTTCATTTTAGTCAGGATGTGTTCCAGGAATCGAGACTGCTCGGTAGTGCTAATGATGTTTCTCTTCGGTCTGGTCCGTCTTGTATTTTTCCAAATAAGCAGTCGGGCCTTTTTATACCCGTACAGTAAAATGTTCACTTGCGTCTCAGCGAGTTATCGTTTATCCTGATTGACCGCATGCTCTCATGCGCATGGATTATTGTCGCTGTCACCATTGACATGAGGGTTATTTCAAGCCACACAGGGTGCTTTCCGCATGATATCGACCCTAATTCTGCGCATGGCGGTCGAAGGACCCATTGATATACATCATGTGCCCAGGTACCCAGCTAGCTATCCAGACAGGAATGGAAGACACTTTGACGTAAAGAAGAGGGTCAGTGTGCTCCCCTTGTTTTCTTTCTTGATTCCTTCATTTCCTTTCTTCTACCTCCTTTCTGGCTACCTACTGACGTGGTCCGCGGTCACCCAATCTGGTACAGTGAAGCACGAGCTATACTTTGCTAGCATTCGTATTGTCTTCCTCGTCATTCCACCCATGTTTAGAAATATCGTTTACTGTGTGATGATTTGTCATCCATGTCGGTCATCTCGTGCGATTCTACATGCACGGAAACCTATACAGAAGGTATCAGTTACTATCCGGATGGGGAATTAATAGAGCACAGTTCACGCACTCCCGGCTGCGTACTCCGCGCCTGGAACACAATCACCTAGTCATGGAACGTGAGACATCGCAACTGGAGCAGCTCTAGACGACTCAAAATGCTCACCTCAGGATGACTGCTCCTGACATGGCTTATTTCGTCCTCTGACGATCCATCATATCTCCATGTACCACGAGCATTTAATGTGGATAGCATGCAATTTACGTATAGCTTTGACACTGTCAAGCTGAATGTCATATAGCTGGGCGAAGCGGCACGTGAGAAGGTCCTGTTGTGGTGTGTAGGAGAAAAATTACGTGTTCAAACTCTGGAAACCAATTAATGTGAGCGTATGAATGGATTGGGAGAGAACGTGACTTACGTCGGTCAGGTAGCATGCCAAGTCTATGATAGCAACGATGGTTGTCACGACTCCAGTCTGTACAGTCACTGGATTGGACATACGGTCAGTAATAAATCCGTACAACACTATATATCGTACGACTCACTCCTGAGGAGCCGGTTGATGGTGCTGTTCAGCGCAGGGTACAGATGTTTGTGTCTTCCCTGAACACGCAGCTTTAAAAAATGGAACCGCGACGAGAAATGATGCACGAATACCCACCAGATGCCATACGAGCGAAACGGCAATGATTGTATCAGCGAGGACAGCACCAACCAACCATACCGTGACCTCAATTTGTAGGTTTGAACGTCGGAAATCACCGGGGTTGACGGCCAGACTGACGCTGACGCCGAGCGACCCTGCTAAGTTGGCCAGGCTACATAGAACGATAGCCATCACGATGAACACGTTATTGGTCAACATATATACCCGCCACGCAAAGAAATGTTGTACTGCCACGCTGACGGCGCCCTGTAGCGAGTTGTTAGGTGAGAGGCCGGTGCACAGAGAATGAAGGCGCACCGTCGAGGCGGTACCTGTGGTTGCGAATGTCCTTGTTGAGCTGGGGGTGTAGAAGTACTAGGAACGGATTCGTACCAGCTACGAATGCTGCCAAGGGGTGTTAGATAACCCAGTTTTCATTTAACTCCATAGACTGACCCCAGGAGCCACTCGCAAGGTTCGCCTCATCGCCTACGCTCCGAACAGGCATCTACCTCAACTCAATACGTGAACGTTAAACAAGGGGACGCACCAAAGTTCGTGACTAGAGCATCGTAGATGTAATAAATGCTGACGACACAGTTGAACGTATCCACCAAGTACAAAACCACTATGCTGAGTTTTGCGAGGGTAAACACATAACATAGAAGAAAGAAATAAGACCGACAGTGACTTAAGCCAAAATCTATCTCTGCGAGCAATAGTTTGATTAATCGCTCTAGGTAGATGCTGGACCGACACGCACTTTTTGTATATTGTGAGATACAAGTACACCTGCGTGGTGGCCAGACCGTGCAGGAAGATGTTTATAACCAGTCCTATGAGGAACGACCCTTGGCTATAGGAAGAAACTTGAAAGTCACCAACGAGTCGCCGATTGCCGCAACTGACTCACAAGACTTGTGGTGCACTCGCCGCCATGCCTTCCGACGTCTTCGAAAGTGCAGGAAGACAATCGATACGATGAAGTCTTGTCGAGCGACACGAAGCAATGGACGAGGGCGAAAAGAGGGAAAAACGAACTTTATCACATGTTGAAAAGAGTTGGTATTTTATGCACTGTCAGGACCAGAGTTAGTATACATAAAACCACCCCTGTGTTTCTGGAATAAACCCAGTGACACCTTCAGTTAGTACTTAACGTTAACGTTTACCTCGGGTGCGATATTGCCCCTGCTTACATAATCAACTTAGATCTCAGCTGACTTATGTATTTGCAAAATCAATACTCTAGGCTCGACATCGATCGACTGTTAGGGCGACCACGAAACCTCACATAACAGCCATGTTTCACTCAGCACCAATTGGTATTAGGTTCAATCTGGAATAACACCACGCACATATATTCTCGTCGGGGGCGCAAACATGGACACGAGCATGTGGTAACTACTGTCGAAGTGAATATCACTCGTTCATATGTCTGCAATATCACCAGCTGGATGCAGATTCGGATCTAATAAGTAATCTCAGATACATACATATGACTGCATCTGGGCGGATGACAGCGGCCCTTGGAAAAAATTATTTGGTATCTTCTGAGTATATGCTTGGGTCACTGGATTCGGTAAAGTTGGGCGTGTCAATAGGCCAAAGCAGGCTGGCAGCTCACCTGGGCCATGATTGGCGTCTTCGGCGGTGTACGGGGGCGTAGAAAGGGGACGGGTGCATTTCTACAGTGTATTCTTCCTATTGCACCAGGCTGTAGATCTGAGTTTTGTAGCAGGTAACCATGTGAAGCAAATGTCATTATGGAGGCAGAATGATGAATCGCAATCGGATGACATGGCCCACGGCGGACATCTGGGCCTCCGCCGGGAGGCATCATACCACCCAGAATTGATACTTAGCAAGGCACCGAAAAGCTTTGATGAGGCTAATCGACACTCATGCCCCCCCGCCTTGCGCCTTACTGCCATGGATATAGAGGCTATGCAAACGTTCCGTTACTGTAAATGAGGATGCGGGTTCTATTATCCACCATTATAATCTTGCAATTATGGTACATTAATAAAGCACAGCTCTCAGACTTTGCCAGCATGCGTACTGTCCTCCTCATCGTTCCATCCATGTTTGGAAGGATCGCCCTGACGAAAAGTACCGTACGGCAGATCGTCTCCCATGTCGATCATCTGGTGCGATTCGACCTGCACGAAAACCTATAAAGAATGCGTCGGTTACTACCCGGATAATGGGCCAATATACTGTAGTGCATTTCGCGCACCTCCGGCTGCGTACTCTGCGCCTGGAACACAACTGACTGTTCGCGCAACGTGAGACATGGCGACAAAGCGGGTTGGATGAAAGTCCTTACCTCATGTCTCCTGCCATGGCTTACTTCGTCCTCTGACGATCCGTTATATTTCCATGCTGCACGAGCGTTTAGGGTGGATAACATGCAGTTTGTATATAACTTTGATAGTGTCATGCTGAATATCAGATGGCTGGGCCAAGTGTCGAGTGAGAAGTCGGTCCCGTCGCGCATAGGTTATGGAGGAAAAAAACTTACATGCCGGCACTCTATAAACCAATTGGGGTGAGAATATTGCATTGGCAGAGAACGCGACTTACGATGGCCAGGTAGCACGCCAAGTCAATGATAGCAACGATCATCGTCAGGAATCCAGTCTGTACGGTCACTAGAATGGCCACACGGTCAACAACGAGTCCGTGCACCACTATACATTGCGCGACTCACACCTGAGAATCCGATTGATGGTGCTAGTCAGTGCAGGGTAAAGGTGTTTGTGTCTTTGCTAAACATGCGGCTTTAAAAGGACGAAAGGCGACGAGAAGTGAATATCCACCAGATGCCATACAAGCGAACCGGCGATGATCATATCAGCGAGGACTCCCCCAACCAACCATACCGTAACTTGAATGTCGAGGTTTGGCAACACGGAAAGACTGGGGCTGGCGGCCATTCTGACAGTGGCAGCGACCGAGCCTGCCAGGTTGGCTAGGCTACATAGAACGATAGCCGCCACGATAAACACGTTCTTGGTCAATATATATACCCGCCACGCAAAGAAATGTTGGACCGCCCCACTGATAGCGCCCTGCAGCGACTCATTAGGTGAGAAGGAGAGAAGGAGAATGAAGACGTGCAGTCAAGACGGCACCTGTGGTTGTGGAAGTCATTGTTAAGCTGGTGGATATAAGGATATCAGGCATGGATTCGTACCGCCTGTAAATGCTGCCCGAGGGTGTCAGATAGTCTAGCTTTCATTAAAAAATTATGGACTTACCCCAATCACTACTCAGAAGGTTTGCCGCATCGCCTACGCCCCATACATGCCATCTACTTCAGCTCAATGCGCAAACGCTAAACAAGAAGACGTACCAAAGTGAGTGACTAGAACATTGTAGATATAATAGATACTGATGGTGCAGTTGAGCGTATCCGCCAAGTATAAAATCACTATGCTGGGTTTTGCGAGGGTAAACGCATTGCATGAAGAAAAAAATAAGACCAACAGTGACTTCAACAACAATGGATCTCTATGCACAGAAGTTGACTGGTTGCTCCAAGGTGATTCTAAGGGGACACGCACTTTTTATACGTTGAAAAATATAAGTAGATCTGCGTGGTGATGACACCGTAGAGGAAGATGTTTATGGTTAGCCCAATGAGGAATGGGCCTTGGCTACAGGCGTGAAAGCATCAGCCGCCAACCACTCGCCCATTTCCCATTTGTAACAACTTACATATATTGTGCTGGGTTCGCCGCCATGCCTTTCGAGGTCTTCGAAAGTGCAGGACGACGATCGGTATGAGGGAATTCTTGTTGCAACGATGGGCGAGAACGAAGAGTCGGTCTGAAAACTGCTAGAGGAAGGAACTTACTCACAAGTCGAAAAGATTTTTCCCTGACTCCCCGGTCTCTTGCATTATTCCCAGCAGGTTGAGCGTGGGCGCCCTGACCCATTGAAATGGATGATAAGCGCAAACGTTAATCTGATTTAAGGTTGTTTCGACGACTGGACGCACGCTGCGTGCCTACCGGTTCGGAGGCAATCACCGTAAGCACTGAGCTCTGTGCCTCGGAGAGCGAAACGTTTGAAAGCACTGAGGAGTCGCGTTTCTGAGCGTGGTTTTGTCGGGTTTCCCTGAGGCCGACTGTGCTTGCTGTCAAATGTAGTTTACCGTAAAAGGATAAGTCTACACTACATGTCGTAATCTCCGTAACGCCTTTAGCACGTATTTGCTAATGTTTGTACATACCTCCCCAAACCCTTCCCTGATTTGGTTCCGACACTATACATATCAAGCACTTGAAGTACTTGGACACACCCAACGGTTTGTAGCAGCAGAACTACGTGTATATACGCCCAACATTCCAATAGATCTCACCTTCATCGTACACCGTCACCAAAAAAAACATCCAAACGGAAACAGAGTTTACATAATCCACAATGCCATCCAAGTTCCCTCCAATGACAAACCAATTTTACAATCGAGACGGACGGAGGGCGCTGTGCTCAGTGCAACTCAGCACTCCCATGTGAGCCCCACGACCCATCCGAACCACTCTCATCACTTCGATGATCATCGCCGTCCGATCCATCGCTTCCGACCTCAAAGACTTCTTCGTGGTCCAAGAATGGGTTGTAAGCCCTGTCAGGGAGGGGAACACGTGAAGTCGTATTCTTCATCCTCCCCTCGTCATCATCTTCACCATCACTGTCTGCCGCAGACAAGAAATCTATATCTCTGTCGTCCGAAACCGCAGAGACAGTGCGCACGACAGATGCGGGCGTGGCAAACGACGCAAACGATGCAAACGAGGTCGTGGGCGAGGATGGTATGGGTGAAGACCCTTCCAACCCTGATCTTGGTTCGGCCGTCGAGGGTTTTGGGACACGTAAAGTTGATGCGGACGAGCTTAATCCTGCTACAACCGACGCCGACCCGGGTAGGGAAGATGACGGAATCGCCACAGGCGACGAGGGCACCAACACTGGCGAAGTTGACCCAGAGGATAGTACCAGCTCAGGCGACGCAAACACAGGTGAGGATGCCCATTCAGGCGACACCGATCCCTTCGACGACAAACTCGATAGCGACCTCAGCTCCTCTGAGGTGGGCGGGGACATCGAACTCCGAGGAGAAGACGGACTGGACCATGACCTTACACCCTCCGACGGGGGTGGGGATACCATCACTGGCGACGTCGGTGGTACAGGGTACCGTAGGGACAGAGAGGCGACGCTACTGTTAGGATCAGTATAGTCGGGGTCCAATGGTTGTACTACCGTGTTGGGGGCTTGGCGTCCTGGGCTTGAGTTATGGCGTGGACTACGGATGGGACTGTGGACGGGCGTGCTGCCGCGGCCGGGTTGGGCATTATTGTTGGATAAAGGACTTTCAATGTTGGCTGTGGTACCATTTTCTTCTGCACGGGAAATTTCATGTACAAGTGCGCTTCCCCTCCGTCCAAAAGAAGAACCCCTTGAAAATGGGGGAGCGTTGGCGATCTCAATGCCTGGCGCCGTGGGCGACGACGCAGACCCCGGCAATCTAACAATCGGGGAGAAGGGCCTGCCAGCGTACAGAGCTGGGCTTGATCGAGGCGTATCAGGAAGAAGTGGTCCAAATGGAGAATCATCGTCTCGTTCTACGGTGGTGTAACCTGGGCATGATCGCAGTACAGGTGGCGAACCGAAAGCACTCGGAGGGGTGGCGATTGGAGGGATCGTGATCAGACGCGGAGAGGTGAGTGACGACGGTGGGAGAGTGTCTGTATCGGGTTCGGTGGTTTCATCAGGCGACTTTGGCAACACAACAACAGAAGGAGACAAAGATGTCGCCAAGGTCTCGGTCCGTTGGGAGGCGTGGAGCTCTTGTCCCTGTATGGCAGTAGCGGTGATGGTCGTAGTTGAGCCTGACCTGTTTCTGATGCTCAGGTTGGCGGGTGCTGGAGAGTGCGGGACTGATGGAAGGGACAACGTATCGGAAGAGATAGGTGAGGATACATTGGAGATAACGTGTGTGGGGGCGATGGGTGTATGCGTAAGTTCCGTGAATGACTGTCGGTGCCAATCATGAACCACGAGGACGTTGGTATTAGTACACGCATACGAGGACAAGCAAACGGTCGGCGACATACCTCGTCGAGTGTCGTGCTCATATGATCGAAGTCATGATCGCTAGGATTGTTCATTCGTCCACCAAGCCCGAATCCACGACGACGGCGTAACCCAGCCTCGCCCTGACTGCGCCTAACCTCGTTCCTCCACTCCTCTACATCGTTAGCAATGAGACCTTCTAGCTCGTAAGATTCAGCATCGTCGAAACTTCGACCGGTTCTGCCACGAGTTCTAGTAGTCCTACGGGTAGCTCTACGAGTACGGGTGGCAGATGGGTCGACCCGGGGTGACCCGTGAGCGCCTGATGTAGCAGGAGATGAATTGCGGGAGTTCGGTGACGACGAGGACGAGGGTGAGTGCTGTCGTCGTCGTCGTCGCCGTCGGGTAGGAGTAGGAATGGGAACAGCGCCTCGTGCAGCGCGTCTGCGGGCGACGAAATCTTCCGCCCATGCTTCGAGAGTAGGTGCGATGTGAGGTTCGTAGACAAACTGTGTGAAGTTGAGCTCCAAGCTACTTAAAATTGAACTGGACTTACATGATGGAAAGCAGCTAGCGCTGCTACACCGGCGACGACGGCAACAACCACAGCGGCGGCGTGAGCTGGCATGTGCGCTGGTCGTTGCAGTGAGAGAACAACGATTGTGTGGGGAGGACACGCACATGTAGGGGGGATTGTTACGTAATCCAACCCCCCTTACTTGTCTACTACATGCACATGCATGGATGATATCAGTTTGTACTAAGGTACTGATGACTCAATCTAGAAGTCTGTTTTGCCCGCATCCCCGCATCTGCGCCCCTTGTCTTCAGCCTATCACTGCGGCGACCATTGCCCGCCTGCACGGGCCTGACTGCACCCGAGTGCAATAATCTATGTGCTTCTTTTCCGTGCTTCGTTGTCCTGGATCTGACATATTGGCGTGCTCGATGATATCCTGATAATACTTTCCACCATCAATCCATATCTTTTTGTTTTCTCTTCATTATCTCGGGAATCGAAAGTAAATAGCGTTACAAAATCCTAAGACACCCACGGCAAAACTTATTGGTCTGCCACTTATAAAACCTCGAGCGGGTTCCGCAGCTGTGGTCTCTGACAGTATTCCGTGTAAGCTTTTCAGATTTGTTGGGATAGAGAGCATAAACGCGGAGATGGGACGAGTCGAGAGGTATAAAACGCAATGATGCTGTGGACATTGCAGCTAGCTCACGGGCCAAATTGACCCACTAGCACTATCTTCTGCAGACGGACTATATCAGAACTCTGTACCCCGTCCGAGCCTCCAGATTCGAAAATGGAGGCGTGCAGCCGTTCTGAGAGGGCAAAAGGCAAACCACATGTCAGGCTGATTACGTGCATGGAAAATGTACCAGAGAACATGCACCCGTTTCCGAAACTTTCACGATTCTCTTCCCTGCTACATAGAGACGGCGTACGACCCGTATGAGTGAGCATGTCCTTGTTGACGCAGAGATCAGCCATGCATATGCAGTATAGTGATCGGTACTTCCTCTCTCCTCACTCCGCGTCACTTCCACTTTTCCCTCCACCCCTGGCGCCCATGATTAGGCTTCAGTAGCTTCAGTAATAGATTGTGAGCTTGAACGCGCTGTGGAACGATTGTCAACCAGGGTATCCAGCATGTCAGACTTCAGCAAATGTTAACGGCACGCCTAACTTCATCGATCATCCACGTTAGGCCTCGCAGAGTTTCAAAGATCTTGTCCTAACTTAAATAAATGGCAACATTGTGGAGAGAGGGTTTGGACAGAACGTCTCGGAAAATGCGAAAGTTTATAGCCACACACCTGGCGGAACAACCTCTGCCCGGTCCACGACCCTTGTTAAGTTCTCTGATCACCGATGAGGCAAAGAATGGGCTTGGCGAATGACAACCACCCTGGAGGACCGGTTCGATAGAGCTCAACACAATATGTTGCACATTGACCACATCATCCAATTTTGACATGGTTGATCTTGTGGGACAAAGTTCTAATGCAACACGGTGAAAGCCTGATTTGGAGGCTATCACGCTGCACCGTGCAGCATTAGAACTCCGGCCAACAGTTGTGGCAACCCAAGCTAGTTATTTTGCCTTGTGGATAGATTGGCTGACACAAACAAAGTACGTTTATTCCGGAAAATTCGCAGGTGGCTGTGCGTGTGAACTGCAAATTTTGAGTCGGCCACTCAGCCACAGCGGCACAACTGCTTTTAGAGGCTGGTTCATCAAGAGATCCAAGGGTTACAGATGCAGGGGCAGGACAGGCGACGGTAGACACGAATTCAGGCGAGAAAACTGGCCTTCCCTTGACCGAATACTACGACCGGGTCATAGTTCGAAGGCAGCATAATCATTGCCCCCAATTGGCAACCTGCCATAAAGGACATGTTTCATGTGTGGATAAGGGCGTCTGCGAATTTAACACATGCTCTTGCCTGGGACAGTAAGATATGAAGTGTGAACCTTCGCATCCTCCTGGGAGATAGCAGCGTTTAATGAAGAATCTTTATCGTTCATGCGGGAGCTGATACCCATGAGAGGTTAAGACACCTTGAAACGAGTGGTTTGTGCGACATTGAATGAGTACCACCAGCCAAGTTTACAGAATGGCGAGGAATGAATACGAGGCGCTTGTGACCGAGGAGTCCGTCTTGTCGAGTGGAAGATCGATTAGGTTTCTAGGAGGAGCGGTGTAGCTGAATTAGGACGGAACATGGAGCCTGTGGGACAAAGGGAAGCGAAGAGCAACATTTGCGGGTGTCTCCCGTCTTTTTTTTTTTCAGGAAGAATGGAACGCAGCGGCGGTCATCCTGAACGACATCGTGACCCACGAGACTTGAGCTCCGTACCGGTAAAAAAAAGTTAGTACTAAGTGCAAAGCGATTTGTGGCGAACACGTTGCAGTCCGCAGCGACGGATGATATCGGACGGGCATCGAACAAACGAGGCAAGTCGAACTACTTACACAACCAACAGTGCCCCCGACACAGCCTTTTTTGGAAACGCCCTCAGACGTCCCCAGAATTTGGATAGGGATTAAGGGTCAGATGTCGACTGACCTTGATCGATGCCAGAGGACTTGCACTGGGTATGGAATCTGACTCCATGCAACACTGCAACCTACAAGGTAAAATCCATCCTGTCATGATGGTGTTACTGCCTTCCTGCGGACAGAATGAACAATAGTGACGTAGTTAGGTTCGTTGTCGCATGGTCTAGATGTCCTGGTCACCAAGCTAGTGGTTGCCAATCATACTCCGAGTCGGCCTTTCCGTCTTGCTGCCATTGATGTGGAGGTATCTTGTTTACAGTATAAATTAGTACGCATGCTCATTGTCCACATCTTCAATTTGCGTAACGTCGAGTCTGGCGAAGTAGCCCTCGACGGGACGCCTGAATGGGGTCAATTTGATTCGCTGGTACATAGGAAGAATGCAGGACATTATTTCGTGCTCGTTGCATGGAACGCGTTTAGGGTCTAACGAAAACATTGGGATGTGGGTATTAAAAACTCACTTTCCCAATGTCCGTGAGTTAAACACGGCACTCACTGACTTAATAACGACTTGCTCCGCTGTGGATAGGCAAAACATTTTATGTTGATCCGAAGACCAGTGCGTCTTCGACACAATATTGATCGTATGGAAAAATCTTAGCACGGACATATCCAACCACCTCTGGGAGCCTATCACTCTTTTGAAAGTTGTGTACCAACCAGTGTGTGTATACATACCTAGTTGGTCGTAAATCGAAACATGACATTTGACAGGAGGCCTGTTAGAATGTTCTGTGACACGCTTCCTGGCACAGTCACTGTGCCCTTAGATATGCACACCGGTCCGGCGCCCATACTTACTATTAGACCAGCAGTGAGGGTGCAGCACGGGGCCCGCGATTGCTCCGAGTTCGGCAACCCTTCGAGTCATTCGATGCAGTGGGCCCACCTTCTACATACTCGCAGGGACAGCTGAGTGCCGCACTGCCTCATCGACGTCACGCACCTGTGCCACTAGACTTATGTAAGTAAAAATCCCCCCTGAATTCCTCCAAGGCCTATATATATGTACATCCAAGATATACCTGTGGGCCAGAAACAACCCCAATTGAGTGGATGGTCATGCCAGAAGATGTACCCCCACCCATCTACACTGAACATGCAAATTTCACCACGGAGACTAGAATGCCAACGCAACCGCGCCTTACTGATCCCATATTACCCCCACTGACGCCCAGCAATAACACCCGTATCAACCCAGCAAATGGACGGAGTCATCGGACACAGAGAAAAATATATCTCGTGACCCCCTCCCAACTCAAAGGTCATCTGGCGCTCCTACATGCGTTTCATGAGTTGAGGAAGAAAGTACAAGAAGGCGCGGATAACAGGTTCCCACAACGTACGCGAACTTTGGATGGGGAGCGGAGATGGACCTGGTTTGTGTCGTTGGCTGTTGAGAGGTAGGTTTGATAGTCCAATTGTTGTCGATTTCTCGTGTTGGCCGATCGTAACTTGGACGGGACTAACGACCTCGTGTAGGTTCGAGCGGTGGTGCACCTCGATCAGGGACACGGATGAGGAATGGATGGGTCTGCCACCTATCGATGTTGTAATGGTGTGGCATGCCTATCTTCTCAATCCTAGGCAAGTTCTTCATTCCATGTCGTTATTCCCTCACCCTCGGATCCTTTATCGTACACGCTCGTGACGAGGCGTTTACGCCAGGTATCGCCTTATCATCAAGCCGCTTCCAATCCTCGTTCCTTCCTTCACAGGAATGTAGTCATCGCTAACATGATTTCCTTCGCATGTATCCAGCTGGTACGCCGAAGACACCACTCGGATTCTTGCCCTGGAGACGCTCGCTAAGTATAGCCGGGCTATGGCGGTCTGTCTCGTACGTCTTTCCGTGCCCTCTTACCGCTGTCCGTCTCAATATGTCTCGGATATCCTTGCAGGATTGTCCCGTGCTCCTGACGACCCAAACGCCGCATGCTGCACGCGTTCAGACATGGCAAACACGCACTGGCACGCCGTACGACCCGTTCGATGCCATGGGTGTGTTGACACAGAAACCAGTGAAGTGCCCAAAGTGTGAAAGCACTTTCTCCGTTGGTGCGTATTCGCTTTTATGCTTCTCTTCGTTCTGCGGTGACGGCGGCGACGTGCAGCCTTTCATGATTCCTCGGGAAGAGGTTATACCCAAAGCTGCTTCAAGGCATTATGTTCCTGCGGATTGAGTATCACTAAGGACATGCTAGGCATGGCTAAGTTCCTCAGGAACGTTCTAGAGCCAATGGCTCCCGGAAAATATCTCGCGTATGTCTTTCCAGTTTCTTTTTTGGCATGTATGATGAAACAGTGTGACTGGCGACGCGGGTAGTGGTACATTGCATACCCCTCAAGATGCTTGCGATACAGTACGCGCCGAGAAGATCAGACAAATGATTTTGGGTTCTGCAGCTCTTGCCAAATTCTTTAACAATTCTTCCGCTTCTGGTGCACGACCAACCGGTGGATCTATGCCAACCGTTCAGGATATTATGGGGGTGAACAAGTGGGAAGCGGTGAAATTGAGGAGGGAGATATTGGAGAGTGTTCGTGTAAAGACGATGTACGCGGTCTTTTTTTCTCTCTCGAGAAGGTATTCGACTAAGGAATTGCTAACGTTGCGGATGGATAGAACGAGAAGGGTTTTGGGCGCCTATACAGACGATAGAATGTTTTCTATAGATCTCGTTGGAGCTGTGAGTTGTATTTACCCCCTAGGAGCGACTGATCGGTGGGTTGACCAACCTTCAACTTTATTTTTGTGCGCAGGTTATCCGGCAATCCTCTTTCACGCAGAAAATGTACGATTTAGGGTGGACGAACCCTGGATTCTTCGATTCAGAGGAGGATGCTGTGGTGCTGAAGCATTGTATTGCTCGGTACAAGGGGTGCGTATCCCCCTACTTTACACGTCACATATGACAACCGAACGTACACAGCTTCCTGGGCCTCATGACTGAATCGCCAGGCTCATTCTTTGTCCCCACACTCGATATAGATCTTGCGTGGCATACCCACCAGCTGACTGCGCGGAGGTATGAAGAAGAGTGTATGGAGCTAGTAGGGCGGTATGTCAACCAGTACGTCGTCGATGCCGCCGGGTGCTGCATCGGTTTGAGTGACTGATGCATACCACCGCAGTGATGATAAAGTGGAAGAGGATAGGCTGGCTACGTCGTTTGATGTGACTTGTCGTGCCTGGCAGGTGCGTAGTCAAGTTTCGGGCGATGATACGATTTCAAGTCTGATGTACTATTTCTAGGACCGGTATGGTTTACCTTATATGTTCTGTGGATGTGCCCTACCCGGAGAAACGATTGGACAGCGTCTTCGGCGTGCGTTTGGGTGTCTGCAGGTCAACGATGGCGAGGGCAGTGGTGGCCACGATTACAGATCATTTGTTCCAGACGCTGGGACGGGAGCTGCAGCTACACACCCAAGTGATCACAATTCGGTGTTCTTGATGCACAAGAGGCACCAAGGAACGCTCGCGCGGAGGAAGCGACGGGCGAAGATTGAAGGAAGACGTGCAAGAGAGTTGAAGCAGATGGAAGATGAGGAGAAAGAGGACTCAGCTGGTATTGAGGGCAAGACGAAGTTCAGGCTTAATGCGAGGGAGAAGAAGGCGTTGTGGAGGTCAGACCACGAGCCGGCATTCTTGATGCCTGTACCGTTGCTCATATACGCGCCTGATGGGTGTGTCGCTGCGACCTCGAATGCAGTGGATGGTGTGGTGTGTGGAGGGTGTGGTGCTGGGGGATGTGGGTCGGGATGTGCGGCCGGGATGGGAGGGTGTTCTGGGAGTGCCTGCGGTGGGGGGTGTAGTGGAGGTGGATGCGGAGGGGGTGGATGTGGCGGGGGTGGATGTGGCGGGGGTGGAGGGTGTGGTGGTGGAGGTGGGTGCGGCGGCGGAGGATGTTGACATGTGTCGTCGTTGTTGCTTTTGTAGGTTCTTCGACTCGACCACCTCTCGGGAGGATGTGGTAGCAGATTATCAGATTACTGTAATCAATCCAGGGACTCTGTATTTGTATACAAGTATGTATGTCTCTCTCCACCTGACAGATTGGCTCCACAGGAATACTTTGGTGTTTCATTTCCCATGCACGTTTCGGTGCACTCCACTCAGGAAGGAGCGTCTCCATGGATGCGATTGGCCCGTTAATTCATGCTTATCGTCGGTTTGAAACGACGGATGCTTTATGTTTTTTCTATGAACCGCCATGCGTTGTTTTCGCTCGTCTCTCCTCGGACAAAGCAGCATGCGAGTTTGATGGACTGATGGCACCCAAATATGGAAGGTGGTGGGGGTAATAATAACGAGGGTCTGTGAGTTCCGTTTGCCTCTGCTTTTTCGTTCCTCTCCCTGTCGAGTACTGTAGTAGTACTGCTAGTGATGACCTGGTCAGACACGCCAGTCTCAGTCGACGCCGTCATAGACGGTGCGCTGTATATCGGAAAGTAAGCCTTGAGCTTGAACTTTGGCGTAGCGGCTCTGGCTTATGTCCGATCCCGCCCACCGTAGTCTTGCAGCAGCCCTCTCCCAGGATATACGCAAGAAGCTCGGCATCACACACGTCCTGTCTGTCTGTACAGAACACACCTTCGAACCACAACACAACTGGCTCACCGTCGCAGTTCAAGACTCCGAATACGAAGATCTCCTCATACACCTCCCACGCACATGTGCGTTCATACAGTCCGCTCTCGACAGCGGCGGGCGCGTCCTCGTTCATTGCATGATGGGCATATCTCGCAGTGCGACCGTTGTGTGTGCTTACCGTGAGTTCTCTCCCCAGTGCCCCAACATTTTAGTCCGGTATTTCTAATCCCCCTTTTGCCGCTCACCATTCTTATCTTTCGGCTCTCTCCCAAAGTAATGGTGTCACAGCGTCTATCTGCCCATGCTGCCATTCGATTCCTTGAGAGACGTGAGTATCCCCTTTTCAACATCCCCTTTGACTCACGCTCTCCTCGCATGTGAACGTGTGATGTGTATCAGGCCGTCCTCAGGTGCACCCCAATTACGGCTTTAGGAAACAACTGCAAGCGTTCGCAGACTGCCGATTCAATCCATCCTGCACGAATGCCGAATACATCGCTTGGAAACGTCGCCAGAAGCGGGACGCTACTAAGTATATCAACCTTGTCACAGACACGATCCCTGTTATACCCGACCAGCTATACATCAACAGGTAAGCGCTCATTCACCCACCTCATCACGTGTTGGAACTCCTTCTCTTGTACCAGTGAATTCCCGAGCGACCCAGACACTGCGGAATGCTTACTCTTAGATCTCGGCACAACACACCTACTCTCCATATCCTCTGCTCAACTTCCCAAACCGAATTTACCACCCACCTTCGAACACTGTTTCATCGACATCCCGAATAGCGCACGGGAGTCGCTCTTGCTCGAGTTACCTACCGCATGCAGGTTCATAAGCGATGCTATACAGAAGGGGAAACAGGTCCTCATACAGTGTCGTGTCGAATTGAGAGCGTGTATTGTTGCTTGTGCTTATCGTAAGTCTTTCCTTCCGCTTCTTCCCTTAGTTGATCCTCTTTCCACATTGTACCTCCCTTCAAATGTTGCCTTCCCATTTGTCCTACCCTCATTTGATGATATTGATGATACCGATGGGTCGACGATTAGTCATGACCACTCGCAAACTGACACCTCGACAAGCCCACGGCGTCCTCGAATCCGGTAAGTCCAGTTCTCCATCTCGTCGTTCCGCTTTTCGTTTACCTCTCCCCCACCGCTCAACATTTGTGGGTCGCTCGCGTCAACCAGCCCTCCCACTCTACAACCCAACTTCGACATTCTATCGTCACCTCGACCTCTTCGCGGCGTGTGAATATGCGCCAACACAAAATCATCCATTGGTGAGAGCGTGGATTGCCGACCGGCAGCAGGGATCATCAACTAGTGGGTCGAAAACAGGCGGGAATTCGAGTGGGGTGGAGAAGCCCTACAGGGGTGTTTCTGTATCCGTGCCCGGCTCAACTACCGAAACTCAGACCCATCAGAATCAAAGTCGGTGTTTGAAATCGGGCGGGATAACATCCGCTATGATGCTGTCGTCTTCGATGCCATCAGGATCGAGTTTACCATCATCATCGTGTCCGGTGTTCCAGAAATCGGCGGCTTTGTCGTGCCAGAAGATGCCATCTCCTTCGTCTTCGATATTGTCGTCATCGCATCTATCCTGGACCTCGACGTCATCACCGTCATCGCAGATACCATCGCAGAAGGGGTCACCAGTGTCATTATCATCATCGCCACCGTATGCTCAGTCTGCGACGACGTACGCACACCCACACATACACTCATATGCTCTCTCTCAGGCTGTTCCTCTGACGAACTCATCTGGCGCTAGCGCCGTTCGAACCCGTCAGCGGGGAGGACCTATATCCTTGTAGCCCTCGTGTTACACTGTCGGAGTCGGTGGGGGGTGGACGCATATTTCCACATTAGCCTGTTAGTGCCGACTAGGATTGGGGATCATCCCGGTTTCAAGATGGTGGAGACGGTAGTGAGTCGGGTGTGTTGATCATCATGCGATGACGATGACCGGGGGGTCGCTGTGATGGACGGGTGGGGCTGATAACCCCTCGATAGATGGCACATGGCTCCAGTGATGCGATAGTTCGGGTGATTTAAACGCGGACTCGATATGCGACTCGGCGCAATCGACGACCCAAGGAACTGGATTCGGTGTTAAATGCAATGACAACAAATTTGACCATTCGGACGTGTTCATATCCGATCCGACCCGGTCAACCACTCGCCCGCCTTATCATTGTACGCGTATTTGTTGGAATTAGTCTTCTATTTATTTTCGGCGCGTTGCGCAGCTCCGAATGGTGTATCGTGGGCTTGTCGTGGAGTCGCCGATCAAGTTGTAGTGAGTTGCCGGGCGCTGAAGTGGAGTGCGCGCCGCTCACTAGGGTCGTCCGACCCCGCTCGTCTAATCTTTGGTCCAAGGCTCGGCCTTGACAATTGCCCGCTGCCCTCTGTCTTCATATCATCTCTTCTCTTGACTAGAACGTTCATTCAAGTCACGGGACTTTTGCTCCTCTAATTCTGTAGGTTCGCCATTGGACCTCGCTTTTAATCATCATTCTGTCTTCCTTTCATTAACCCCTCCCTGTCTTCTTCCATCCATCCTTCCCAGCTACCCGATCCCGTCTCCGCCTCACTATCATGCTCACCACACATCTGCTCTTGTCTGTTACTTACCTACTGACCTTTTCCCGCGCTCTGTCCGATCGGGGGAGACCATTAGGTACACGTCCCCATATTACCCCTGCACTGTGATACCCACACCACTAGCTTTGTAAGTTGGTACGTGTATGCATCATATTGCTCGGCTTGTATGCTGTGGGCTACTTTCTGAAGTTGGCGTGTGTGTATATTGACCTGCCGGACGTGTTAGGCGTCGTTTCTTGAATCCTTTTGCGTCGTTGAGGCGCTCAGAAGCCTACCAAAGCCGACTCCAACTGTCTTTGAGGTGCGGGTGCTGGAATTTGTGTGCAATCTTCTCTGCGTTGAAGAAGGCCAACCAACGCTGTCCCTTACTTTACCAGCAGCACTACACTCCCATCTCATCGGCATCGCGATTATACTCCTCGTATCACGACACTACGTACCACCGTCGATATTGATGCCGTTCAGCCGACATACGTATTTTTTTTTCAAAAGTCCACTAGCGGACCGAGTACTCAGTTCGTCTGGAGACGTTCACCTGATTCTGATCCCGTGTGGAATACAAAATTTCTGCCTGTTCCGTCTCGGGGCTGGAACTTGTGGAGCAGAAAAGATCGGTTTATTTCCCTCTTTTTCGCCCCTTCGAGTGCAACGGAGAGAGCATGTACATTTCAGTACTTGTGGGCGACTTTTAGTAAGGCCAAAACTACCCCTCAGCTGCAAGGCTGCGAGGGAGGCTTACCAGAGACCGACGACGGACTCTGCTTCGGCTGACTTTGAATGGCGCCATGTGGCGGACGAGTGCGATACCTCAGTGCTCAGCACCGACGGAGAAGACTCTGGAGGGAGGAGAGACAGACAACCAAGGGCACCGTGGGCCAGATGGGGGTCGAGTGGTCTGATAGTCCGACATGGGTAGTCAGACGCACGGAACTATAAACTGACTTCCCTGTGCGGGTACAGCTGTGGTGTTGCAAAGTCCTAGGCTCATCGCTATTAATGGTCTAAGCTACTTCCATGATCATTAACACCACCTGTATATGACGAGAATGTGAAAGATACGAGCACCTCCCATTCGTGAGTTTTTTTTGGCAGTCCGCTGTTCGACGACCGGCTTCTGGTCTGATTTGTCAAATCTGCTTTTATCATACCAGGAAATATGTACGATGTTTAAATGTGAAGTGGAAGGGGATGACAGTAGTGTGTTGACAACATCCGGCTTTATTTTTGTTTAGTCTTAATATCGTGACGCGAGGCCTGTCGCAAACAATTGCGTTCTTACATTCTGGAATGGAAAAGTTGGGACTAATATCTGTTTGATGCTGACCTCCCGGCACAGGATCCGTAACAGCTAGCTGCTAGCGCGAGCGAGCGTGCTGGTGTCGGTGCTCGCCAAGAAAACATGCGACTCGTTCATCTGAATCATGAGAATTCCGTTGCATCACGCAGGGACGTGTCGCAACGTGTAGAAGGCGGGGAAGATCGCATCATTCAATGCTACCCGGGTCTGTTCACGTTTAACGCATGCTTCATTCCGACACGATATGTAATGGCTATGCGCACGCAGCGTATTGATGGTTCCCTGCGGTGGTGGTAGCCACATTCACGCCGGTACGTCACGGTGATCTTCATATACTACAGTACCAGGGGCACACAGTCCACCGCACCGTATCCTGCCCGCCACACCATCCAACGTCCCTTCAGTTTTTCAGTAAATCAGCGCCGTCTACGGTAGGTAGTCAAAGTATATTATCTACATGGCAGACGACGCATTGGCCGCACTGCACTGACACGTGTTGGCCTCGCGGCTGCGTGAATACCACGCGATTATCTGCCCTCTATATCGCAATCAGGAAATGCCGTCTGCGATGACGAACAAGGACCCTCCTGTCTCCTCGTGCGTGGTCACCTCGTCGAAACCGCCAGGCGTACCTCACTTCTATAGATAAACCTTTCTCTTCCTTCTCTTCGCCACGTCGTTGTACTGACATTCTCTCTTCTCATACCCTGTTGTCTAACGCAGGACGCTTCTTCTGGTCAGATATCCTTATCTACATTTCTGAAAAGCACCCTCTTTTACGACAATGGCCACCGGTTCGTCTCCCCAGAAGAAGTCCACCTTTCGCTCGCGCGTTGGGACTGTGATGCGTCGCTCGTCGACGGCCTTCAATCTCCCTGGTTTACCTGGTCGTGCCGGTTCAGCGACACCCCCACCTCCCGACTCTGACACTGCGTCTATTGCTGGTTCAGTGTCTAGCAAACATGAACGCGAGGACTCGTCTTCTTCGCTAAACAAGCTTCTAACAACATCACCACCTGCCGTTTCGACTCCCAGTCCCATTCCAGAGTCGCCAGCCCGTGAAGCCGCTGCCCTTACTGCGGAACCTCTCCCTGTCTCGACTAAGGAGCCTTCTCCCCTCTCTGGTCAGGTCATCACAGTCGACTCGGCTCCCGCAGCTCCGGCAGCCGAAGCCTCCGCATCTCAACCCGCACCCCAGAGTACCCAGCCACCCTCCGAGCCCCCCGAGTCCACCGAGCCAAAGTCTAGCGAACTAGCTCCGTCTATCGTTGTCAAAGACTCGTCGGAGAGCGCGCCGGAGATTGCACCTGTCTTTACGGACGAACCTGAGGAAATCCCGTCTGCTCCACCACCAGCACCCCCTTCTGCGCCGGCTTCTGTAGCCGCATCCAAACCATCCACTCCACCTCCACGTGTACCTACCAATCCGTCAGTACCTGCCACACCCCCTGCGAAGCCAGATACGTCATCAGGGTACTTCGATATCCCCCGCCGTGCGTCGGCTACCGCTGATGCTGAGAACGTGACCAATGTATGGGCTGATAACTCGACGGAAAATGTGAGTAACCCACAAGGCCAACGCATCGTGTCGCAGAAACAATCTTTATCATCCCTCGGTCGGCCTGGATCTTCTTCGTCGAATGTTGTTGGAGCACCGGCGCTCCAGAGCAGGAAAGCCAGTCGCGGGTCATTCCAACCTCGCGAGCGAGATATTGCAGGGAGCACGTATACATGGAGCAACTCGAGTGCGATAGGGTTCAAGTCCACCGGGTACGTCCACCTTCTGTGGTTCTTGTGCGGGAATGGAAATCTGACGCAGATTGTGATTTCAAGGGCTTTTGATGATCCGTTTGCTGATCCAAGACCGGCGGTGCGACCTCAACAGCAGACGGTAATCCCGGCACAAGCCGTTGCTGCCGTGTCCCCCGCTGAGACCATCCATGTACCAGAGTGAGTGGTTCGGCCTAAACTGTTTCCAATGTACTAAATGAGTTAGTTCGTTCGATCCTCGTTCGCCAAGGGATGATGCGATGGTTCCGGCCGCGGAACCTGCTGCGATAGCCCTCCCACTCATGCATGAAGTCATATCCTCGCAGTGAGTACCTGCTCCTTGGGAGTACATGTGGTATTGATGTCGACCAGACCTTCTCGTCAACCTTCTGGATATAATCTCGGCGCAGGCGGAAACGATTCAATGGATTACTTTGGAAGAAGTCAGGAGTAAGTCTGCCTTCTACTTCTTTAAACATCCCTCGATTCTGTCTCGCTTTCTGACCAAAACATTTCCTTACAGCGAACGTCGTCCTCTTCTTAATTCACGTCCATCCACACCCCCAATTATCACCACTTTCCTGGGGCACATGGCGTCCGACTCGGTCGCGCAATCATACCGTGCCTCTAGGGCTGCGCACCCACCAGCAGTCGCACAGCCCACACCCCAATGGGCACGACCAGCTCGATTTGATGTCAACGGCTCAGCTCGAAATAACTACGATTACGGTTCTGTGAGACGACCTTACGCGGATAGCGGGTGGTTCGAATATGTGCTACCTCATGGGATTCGGTATTTCGGAAACCCCGAAAAACGCGCTACGACAGATTTGGATCTGAGGAGTCACGCAAGGTTAGAGGAGGTGGAGAGAGTTATGGAGAGTGCCATGGAAAACGTGGCCGACCGACAAGTTCCAGACGGGTGTGAGATGTGGATTCGGAGGAGTCACAAGGTGTCGGCGTGGAGTAGAAAGAAGGGCGTAGCTATGGGAGACTTGGTCGTATTTTGGGTAGATCATAGGTATAGGCGGATTCTGACTGACGCACCCACCGATGATGGGGGAGTTTCGGGAGAGGATGACCGTGAGTCGTACTCGTTCTCCTCTAGTGTTTGCGCGCTGACCCGGTTCATTGGCAGGCCTGGACGACGAGTACAGGTACTGGTCCTATGTCGAAATGCATCCTGCCCATGTCGTTCTCTCTCAAGGGTCCCGGCAGGAGGCTGCGGACGCACTGCATTGGTCCTATACAGATCGGCTGCTCGCCCATCCCCAACCGATTCAGCCGCCTTTTAGTCAGGAGGAGTGTCAGGAACTGTTGAGACTACTCAATGGTGAGGCTGGGACAATTCCATTCAGTTCTACTTGTTTGATTTTTTTCTTCGACAGATCCGAGTCAACAATCCACTCTTTCGTACACACGCATGGTTGCCCGTGTTCTTCTACGTGCCGGTGAGTTTTTGCACCATACCCCCGCTGGCGGTATGTTCTTACAGGCTAACGTTCTCCATCAGCTCACTGGCGTCAGGTCAATTTCAGGCCGCACAAACCCCTCCCGCGAGACATTATCGCCGCACACACATCAAGGCAGACCCCAATGCTACGCACGGCGGTCGAGATATTGATCAGTATACTGTGCCTTGGCATCCCATTCTTGTTCGTGGATCGAGCGAGATATAGTGGCCATTTTGATGTGGAGGGGAATGCAAGCACACAGAGTAGTGCGCCGCTGTTTGTTGTCGGTGCTTGTACCTGTCTCGTGGTGAGGGTTAATCGTTATGATGATAGTCGTACTCATTCCTAACTTCTTTTCCTTCCCTGCTTTCTGCTTGCGCAGTCTGCAATTATCCTCAGCGCCTCTGTCACGCTTATCTCGTTCCCGGGGCTGGATGGTATCGCACGCATTGGAGGTCTGGTTGCCATTTCATGCTCCGTTCTGAGCATGGTCACATCTTTCCTGTCTATTTTCCGGTATAAAGCAGAGATGACGCAGGGCTCTGCAGCTGTTCATCATGCTGCTGCTGCTGCCCGTGAAGGATTCGTATTTCTTCCTGTGAGTTCGAAGTTCCTAATTCACCATCGTTCCTATCCCTAACTTTCCTCAAACTACCTACAGCGCCGAAGCATTCTGCTTTCCCTTCCGCTAGTTTTTCTCACGTATTCCGTGGCTGGGTTCATCACTGGCGTCGTCGTCTACTCTTTCCGAACTGCGACAATCAACCTCGCGCATGCTGGTATGCCGTCTGTTGCTATCAAGTTTGACGAGTATGCCAGGTGGATGGTGGTAGGCGTACTTGGGGCATTGACGGGTGTGTTGATCGCTTCTGCCGTGGTGTCTAGGAGATAAAGATTGGTCGTAACTGTTTGTATCGGGTTTTGATCAAAGCTGGTGTATGTGATTCAGTAGGTTTACTGCGAGTGTGGTGTACGTGTGTGTGGGATTTGTACTTTATTGTCACCATCTTCATTCTTCCACCGAATATTTACCAAGTCTATTACTTGGCTGGTGCCCAGCAAAAAAAAACCATTCCAGTCAACAACTTGTGAATGCAATACAACAGTGAAAACTCGCGAAACAATAAAGTATTGGAGAAGACATTAAATGAAATCGAGGGGTTTAAGAGACTTCGCTCGCCCACTCCTCGTCTCTCGCTAAGTCAACCGAAGGTATCCTTTCAAGCGCCCTAGAAACCCGAACCTCCCTGTCGCCTGAAAGGATCATGGTCATGGACGTGGTCTTGTCGAAGACAACATCACGAGCCATAGTCGGACATTGGAAAAACCTAATGTCCATGTGGACGTGCGTCATCCATTCTGATTCAAGGTAGGCTTTATATGCCATCTTAATCGCCGTGCGAGTAAGCTTCTTTGTCCTCATCTCAGCTGTGAGTGAAAACAGTATTTCCAGTACGTGTGTCAAATCAACGATGTAAGCCATGAACTTCGTGGGAACGCCTTGTCTGAAAGGTCGGGAATCATCTGATGCTGAAAGCAACACCAAAGTGCTACGTACAGTCGCTGGGATGTTGCAAGAGCCCACTTGCCAAGGCTGAAGATTGATGGCAGCATCACAGGAGCTAGAGTGATGAGAGGGACCCCCCTTGGCACGCAGCGATTCTTTTTGAGTTTGACACACAACGAGTTCCAACAACAGCACTTGCCCGGTAAATGTGTCAGTGCGAGAGAGGGAATTTGGCTCGGCCGGTGCATCAACTCTCTCAACCATGCACATCATCACCCTTAGGAATTCCTCACTATTCAAGTACTACAAGGGAGATGTCACTACATTATAGTAAGGCTCGCCACTAGGGCGACAATGCTCACTTGGCAAGGATCATAAAAGTTCCAGACCGCCACGATGTCAGTATGTATGACATGAAAGCAGTCCTGAATTGTATGACCAGGGAAATTTGCCAGCGCACTCCAGTATTCTTGTAAAAAGGTCAGCCTCTAATAAAGTGTTGCATAAATTCAGACTTACTTCGCCTTCCTACGCTGTGTAACAAGTCAAAATACATGCACTGTCGTAATGATTGACACTTACGCGATTGATAAGTCAACCTTCAGAGTCATATAGGCAACATTCGTTGTGCTCCTGCAGCTGCCAGAGGCACTGGCGATACTTGGTTCTCCGGGGAGGTGAAACTCATAGATATCATGTCCTGAGTAAGGCTTATCAGCTCCTCAAGCCCCTGCTCATACCTGGGCTTCGCTGGTGGTCTCTGGGCTGAGTGGTAGAACGGAATCGAAGGAGTAACACCCACAGCTGACTACAACATGTGCAATATTCTCTCTAGTAAAGTCTTCGATTTTCTGGACGCATTCCTCTTGCAGATATCGTTGCCCTGCTTCAGGATCGCCTGGCATTCTCTGCCGCATGAAACTCACGAGCCGGTCATATTTCGTGAATACGACTATCGTCGGCGCTGAATGCGGTTGGTATACTGGAGATTAAACAACGATATAATTGCTCACTATTCCCTAGGACTTCCTTCCTTATTTCTAAAAACGCTTCTGCAGCGCCCTCCAAAAGTGGTTCACCGTGCGTCGGAATGGGTATTTGCAAACACAACCTATCATATGGATCCTTTCGTCAAAACCTTCAAGGTAGTTGTCTCAGAACTACGTACCAGACCGCGTGAAGCTGATCTTTGATCCCGGGTTCTCTCTTCCTCTCTACTATGAATGACTTCACGACTTCATAGTTACCAGCGTCGCCCGCCTCAAAACTTCTGCTATCATGCAAAATGAGCCAGTTGTTCTCTGGCGAAGTGAATTCCTGTTCAATTTCTGCATTCCCTGGTCTATCCTTTGCTACATTCTATGGCCATCATCAACGCCAGGTGGGGACACAGAATTTGAACCACTCAACGGCACAATCCACGCCAAAGATTCGATTTATCAAAGTAGATTTTCCAACGCCTGACTGTAATGATGTTAGAACCGAGGCGAGTGGCAGCATGCAAGTTCAAGTTACCTTTCCAACTAATAAGACTCGGAAACTATTACATAGTGATAAGTGAGACACTGACAAGTGTGAAATTAAGACTCACCGAGGACACTGCTGAATGAGATCATCAGTGGTCGGTCGTAAATCTTTGCGATTGGGAGGTGCAAGTGCGTTGGGAGGTGAAAGTGTGTTGGCAGGTGCAGGTATGTCAGCGGCTACACGTGTACCTGCACTTCGAACTGCATCCTGCTAGTCGCCATCTATCAGCATATGTCCAGTACCGCCTGCTTCCCACGTACAACCGATGTGGAATGAGTGGCGATTGGTTGCTCAGTGGTTGATTGTGAAGCCGCAGGGTTTCCAGGTACATTCGGAGCCAAAACCTGTAAACCCTCCCTTAGCACTCATCGTGTAACGCGTGCTGTTTGCATACGCCAGGCTGTGTTTGGGGTACGAAGCCGAGCTTGACGGGTGCTTTGCCCCGTACGTGCAGAAATCTGCGCAAATTTCAGGACTCCAAAGGATGACATATAGTCCAAAGTTTACCGTAGACCTTTGATAATACTCTTCTTGCTAGCTGCGGGAGGGGCAGATGGTAGACTATTGTCATTCAGGTCTGGTACGAGTCAAAGCACTCACTCCTTCGCGTTCCGGGCCTGTAGGTTCCAGGGACCGCAGTATCAGAAGCCCGGTCGTACATAACCGTTTCCATAGCTGTACTGCCTTCCAACGCTTGATCTGTCGTAGCATCCCGCCTAACGACCTCATCGACCAGTGTCTCTCTGTCAGTAGGAGTAGCGGAAGTTCAGATAAGCATCGATACCACAGGAGTATAAAGCGGACATGTAGAGTTAGTATATCTGTACATTGGCGCTCCAGGGATTCCGACTCACCGTGGTATCTGGTAACTTTCTGGCTCTTTCGAGGTTGGATGTCCAGAGGCAGCCGCTTCGGGTGGCATTGCAGTAGGTCCAGCTTGGTGCTACAAAGTGCGGTCAAAGGATGAATAGCACTCTGAAAGGGTTACAACAGACGATGGCTGCCTTGATCTTTTCTATGATATCCTCTATTGTGGGCCGTGATGAAGGATCACGTCTCCAGCATGTCGTGCAAATTTCCCACCACGCATCCGATAGACGGAATTGTGTCGACTCCCCAACAGGGCGAGTTGGCGGTTTCCCCTCTGTTATCCTACGTGTGACACTTCCCATATTTCGACAGTCACGGAAAGGTATTGATCGAGTGAACAACTCCTAGTGATACAATGAACACCACACCGAGGAACAAATCAAAGGCATACCAAAATCGTCATCCCCAAGGCCCACGCGTCGCTTTCTTTTGATGGAGGGTAGTCATCTAGAAGCTCTGGGGCCATCCAATGCAATGAGCCCCCGCCGCGGAGAGCATCGACAGTCATGCTGAAGGTGGATATATTTACAGTGGAAAGACCGAAGTCACTCAGTAGCGCGCGGCGATCACTGGACACCAGCACATTTACCTATAGGACGCGTCAACCACAATATTTACAAACCGAGCATCCTTACACCCTTCAGATCTCCGTGGACTATCGGATCCGGTGGACTAACGTAGTTATGGAGATAGCATAGTCCGCTAGCAATGTCTTCGAGCTAAATGAGAATGTCAAGTAATGTGAAGACAAACGACACGCCTTTTTGACTGACCAACGACCGCGGATCATTTTCTATGCTTTGGACATAGTTGTGCGCGTTTCCCAATGACATCCATTCAGATATTATGGAAACTGTGGAATCGAATTCGGTAGAGATCCCGAGCATGCGAACGACATTTTCATGACGTAGCTTCGACCATATATGTACCTCTCGAAAGATACGCTAGACGGGAAAGGTTCAGCTCGAGCCGAGATGGTCATAGTACATAAAACCTGCCAATACCTTGAATGCATCTGCATCCCCCGAGTGCGTGCAATGGAAGGTTTTGATTGCCACTTCGGTGCCATCCGGGGTCAAAGTACCGTGGTGTACGCCGGCGGTACCACCGCGCAGAGCACTCCTTCCCGAGGTACGACGGACTCGACCGTTGAGATTGATGCTGAATCCGGATGCCCGACAACAGAGCTCGTCTAACACAATGGATAAGTCCATCCCTTGTTCTCGACGGGTGGTATCTGAAACCGGTCGCTGAGGAAAAGAGTTACATGTGAAGTGTAGTCTACCGTACAGAGCATGTGCTGCACGTGTACAGGGTGCATCCTAGATCCTATTTCTCGTGTATTGAAACCCCTAACCCTCACCACACCTCAATGAGCGGCACAGCATCAGGAAATTAACACTTTACTATTTTTGACCTTTTTGTGACTTTTTTTGACATTTTTGTGACTATTGTGACTATTTGTGACTTTTTGGGAAGGAACCTACTATCTGTACTTTTTTTCTGACCATATACAGCATTTTGAAGAATAAAAAGAGAACAGAAACTATTGAGACAACTAAGTGATGATATATCTAAGCCAAGAAGACTAGAAAATGTCTGAAAATTCAGAGATATTGAGCCATTGGTGTAATGCACGCTGTCAGAGAAAAATCACAATATCTCTTTGGAACCTCCATCAATTTGAATGTATGTGGTATCTACTGAAAGCTATGAATTAGGTGGTTTGAACAAGACCAAAATCAGCAAGAAAAGTGCAGCCATGCCTGCAGGACATGGGTAATGATAGTAGATTCCTTCCCAAAAAGTCACATTAGTCACAAAAAGTCAAAAATAGTAAAGTGTTATTTTCCTGATGAGCCCGCACGGACCACAGTCGACTCGGTTCCTGCAATTCCAGCTTCCGCATCTCAACCTGCACCCCAAAGTACCTAGCCATCCTCCGAACCCTCCGAGTCCACCGAGCCAAAGCCTGGCCAATAGCTCCATCTATCGTTGCCAAACACTCGTCGGAGAGCGCGCTCGAGATTGCACCCGTCTTTGCGGACGAACCTGAGGAAATCTCATCTGCTCCACCACCGCCGGCATGTGTACCTGCATCCAAACCGTCCACTCCACCTGCACGCGTGTACCTACCAATCCGTCAGCACTTGCCACACCCCTGCGAAGCCAGTTACGTCATCAGAGTACTTCGATATCCCCCGCCCTGCGTCGGCTACCGCTAACGCTGAGAACGTGACCAATGTATGGGCTGATAACTCGACGGAGAATGTGAGCAGCCCACAAGGCCAACGCATCGTATCGCAGAAACAATCTTTATCATCCCTCGGCCGGCCTAGATCTTCTTCGTCGAACGGCGCTCCAGGCAGGAAAGCCAGTTGCGGGTCATTCCAACTTCGCGAGCGAGATATTGCAGGGAGCACGTATACATGGATCAACTCGAGCACGATAGGGTTCAAGCTCACCGGGTACGTCCCACCTTCCGTGGTTCTTGCGCAGGAATGGAAATCTGAACCAAACTGTGATTTCAGGGGTTTTTGACGATCCGTTTGTTGATCCAAAACCGGTGGTGCAATCCCAACACCTAGCGGTAATCCCGGCACAAGCCGTTGCCGCTGTATCCCCCGCTGAGACCATGCGTATGATCCAATAAAGCGCAGCATTTCTACTGGGAGTGACAGGATAGTGGCAAAAAACGTTACTGTGCGGGCTTCTGGCGACAACTCTTCTCGGTTGTTTCTACGTCGACCTGAAGGCCTATCACTTCCAAACAACCGACAATTAGTGTTGTTACTGAAGGCGCTGTCCTGTCACCTTACTGACAAATGTCTTGTAACGTCAGTCGTGCGTGCCACAGCACTGAGCGGGCATTCACGTACACAACTTTGCTACCTCTCACAACTTCAAGTGTGGCGTCGGATACAAGTGACGAGCGGCGGGAACAGTTCAGGGAAATCCGGTGGGACTTTTCTAGCTGCTGTTGACGAGTGGCTGATTCCAATGTGGGGAACAGTTTTACACCTTGCTAAACTCGGTACGTTTCTGTGTTTGCCATCCCGCATGCTCTCAAACGTTGCATTTTCAGTCCCACCCTATCACATCAGCAGGTAACGGCCGATCGCCAGTGAGTTGGAGGCTTCAGTTCCTTGAGTATGCTCACAACTTTGCAACCAGAACAGTGAGATAGTAACAAAAGAGGCAATTAAGTACTTCTCGGCTATGTTTGGGATCGAACACCTTGAAAATTATGTACGTGCATACTTCCTGTACTTGAAACGTTACAGTCACTTTACCTTGGAACTTAGGTTGGGAGAATAACATTTTTCACGAAGCTTTCCACTGGAGAACTCGTTCCGGAAGCCCCCAAGGCTATGCATGGTTCTTCCGTCAACGCTTTAGTGAAGACATTGCGTAGAAGGATGGAACATAGAATTCATAGGCAGCCCATGAAAGTGGCACGGCGCGAGATTGCGTCCATATCAAACACTCTCGGCATTAAGGCATGTATTACTACCATTGACAGCAATACCGCATACTAAGCCCGGTGACCACTAGCTGCTTGAAGAAATGGCCGCTGTCTACACTCGAGCCTACCATGTACTTTGTCCACTGTTAGTATTCACGTACCCCCTACTTTCCATTCTAAAGCCCACCGCGCCATGGTTTAGAAAGGGTAATATGGACAGAAGCTGCATGGGATGTGACATGTCCGAACCGATTACCAAGTTTATTAGTAATCTCCCCCCACAAACCACGACATCAAGACGCGACAGTATTCATACCATGGTGCAAGACATCAAGACTCGCCAGACGGCACTTGATGCCACAGAGAATGTCGATGAACAACTTGCCCTTGAAGAAGATATCACCGGAAGGGTAAGGTTGGGCTCGTGTTCGCTGGCTTTTGAATCGACCTGGAACAGATCTTGTGGACTTGCCATTCCGGCCTCCGTCCTGCGGTGGAACATATACCAGCCAAGGTAAGCTGCTCGTGTAGGCAATCCCACGAACGTCTTGTGACCTTGATCAGGTGCTGCACAGTATTCTAAAAAATGACAAGATATGCAACCTGGTGGATCGAGTCGAGGTGAGTAACTGGATGCACACACGAACTAAAGTTATTGAATCACAGGCCGACTAGTTCTTCGAGGAAATCTCCCGGGTCTTCAACGACGCACTAGCTAAATTGCCGACCGATGATCAGGCTCACTTACGACGGTGAGATCGTGATTTGGCGTGTACATTAACACAAATACTGAGTCCACCCCCAGAATTATGGCCGACGCAGAGGCAGGTACCTCAAAATATCAGATGCTCCTAGATGAGCGAGCACGTGAATAGAGTAGCAGGCGCTAGAACAAACCAGAACTTGACGCGTGCCGTTCCGTGGAGTGGTATTGGAGTATTCGATTCTGTAAATTAGCGAGACTTGTATCTACACAGCTCTCTCGAGCAAACTCCATTTTGCTAATCCACTGGATGAACAACCAAGTATTGTCCATACCAAAGATGGCAAAATAAGTGTTCCACACTCTTGCTTGTTTCTCTGATCATTAAGTCCCTTCGCCTCGTTGAGTCGTTGCCTGGTCATCCTTGCACAACACTGTGTCGGAAGGCATGCCCATGATCATTAAGCTCGTTGGACTTACCTCGGATAAAATCCTCTATTTTCTACCAAGGAGTGGAGCCACACTTTGTCATGACGCAGGCAAAGTTCACGTTTGAGTTATTTCTTGACGACATTCAGTATACATGTCTGTCATGTATCAGTACTACTTCTGTACTACATACTGCTCTTGTGGCCCAAAAGGAATCCACTCTGACTTGACCAACGTGCAAGCGCAACTGCAAGACAATAGAGGAGCGATGTGGAACCCACCACAGTAGGGGTGAGCACACTCAGGACAAATCGCAACAAGACAGAACGTGGACAGGCGTGTGGGATTGAACAACCGAGCGTACTCTCTGATACAGGATGATAGAGAGAGAAAGGAAGAGGGAAAAGAAGATATCCCTGTGCATACATGTAGCACCGATATATATACCCCCAGGATCCAAACAGTGCAACACAGCGAGAGGGATCCGCATGCCCAGACAAGGAGATAGGAGACGTGAGACAGGAGATGTGACAGCGTGAAGCAGTAGCGTGAGCGTGAGTGACGCGTGAGTGGTAAGTGTACGCTTACACGATGACACGATGACTACAAGATAACAGTGAAAACCGGAGAAATCATGAAAACTTCAAGGGGAACGCCGAGTGGAAACACAGGCTTCAGCGACCTTGCTGACCATCGTCCCACTCTTCATCTATCTCCGAGTCAAATGGTGGAAGTCCTTCTGTTGCCGCACGCACGTTGGCTTCCGCGTCGGCGGAAGAGATCAAGAATGTGATCTTCTCAAGAATGGGGTCTTGAGCACCAGTTCGCCCTTCAAAAAGCCTAATGTCTGCGTGGACGTTCCTCCTCCACGACGATTCATAGTAAGCTTTGAAAGCCAACTTAATCGCTCTGCGGGTAAGCTTCTTTCCCCTCGCCTCGGCGGTGTGCAAGAACAGTATCTCTAGAACATGTGTCAAATCAACGATGTAAGCCATAAACTTTTGGTGAGCTTTTTGCCTGGCAAAACATGTATCATTTGACGCCCTGAGCAAGGTAAAAGTTCCACATACAATCGTTGATATGTTTCATAAGCCCATGTGACCAGGATTACGCAGGCAGCGAATGGCAGGACCACAGGCGCAAGAGTCAGAAGTGGCATGGGGTCGCTTGGAGTGGGACACCTTCCTTGAGCTTGTCACGTAGCAATTAGCACAATAGCACTCACATAGCAAACGTGTCACTACGTCCAGGAGGAGGAGGTTCAGCTGTTGACCTGGTGGCGGTATCAACAGTCTCAACCATGCTCATCATCAGATTCCGAAATTCTTTGCTATTCAGATACTACGCGGAAGATGTGAGTATGTCCTATAGAGCTCAGTAATAAGGTCACACGGCTCACATCGTCAAGATCATAAAAATTCCAAACTAGTACAATGTCGGTGTGTATGACACGAAGGCAGTTCAGCATGGTATAGCCCTGGAAATTTGCGCTGGAGGCCAATGCCCTCCAGTATCCTTGTAGGTAGAAGGGATTGAATAATCTGATACGTTGCTTTATACGCCAAGACTTACTCTGCTTTCCTACTCTAAATGGGAATCAATTTAGACCAGATGTCATGATCGCCATGAACGAGGCTTACTCGATGGACAACTTGACCTTCAATGTTGGTAATATTCGTTGTGCCCCTACAGCCGCCAAATGCACTGGCGATACTGCATTCCCCGGGGAGGCGAAATTCTTAGATACCTTTTCCTGAGTGAGGTTTATCAGCTCCTTGAGCCCTCGCTCGCACTTGTGTTTCGCTAGTGATGTCTGAGCTGAATGGTAGCAAGGAATCAATGAAATGATACCCACAGCTAGTTGCAACATGCGAGATGTTCGTGCCTCCCGTGAAGCCTTGAATCGGTTCGATGCAATACGTTTGCAAATATCGTTTCGCCTCTGCTTCAGGGTCTGATGACTTCCCCTTTCGCACGAAACTTACGAGCCTGTCGTACTTGGTAAATACCAACATGATCGGGACTAGCAATAGTCGGTAAACAGGAGATGCCAAGAGAATAGTTCTGCTCACTGTTCCCTAAGGTTTCCTTCGCTTCGCTCAGGAACGCTTCCACACCGTCCTCCAGCAGCCGTTCTTCGTAGTTTAGAATTGGTACCTGGAAACATAACCTATCGTGTACATCAGCTGTCGGGACCTTCAAATGTCTATCTCAGAAGGACGTACCAGACCGCATGAAGCTGATCTTTGACATCTGGCATTCTCTTCCTCTCTTCTATGAATGACTTCACGACGTCATAGTTGCTGCCTTCGGCTGGTTCGAAACCCCGGCTATCGTGCGAGATGATTCTGCTGTTCTCCTGTGAAATGAGTTCTTTCTCGATAGCTGCTTGCCCTGGTCGATCTTTTGCGACGTGCTATAGGGTTCGTTAATGCAAAGTAAGAGTGAAAACCTTCAGTCACTCAACCGCAACTTCCAGACCGAATATTCGATTGATCAGAGTCGACTTCCCTACACCCGACTACAAGGATCTTTATTGAGATCTGCTCGAGTGACGAGTGAAGCCGAGATTACCTTTCCAACTACTAAGACTCGAAAGCTATTGCACATAGATGAATCAACTGTCCAAACGTGGGGATTTGGTACTCACCGAGGACAAATGTCGATCAGTTCCTGAGTGGTAGGCTGTAAACCTTCGGAGTCTGACGGCTCAGATGTGCCTGTACTGCCAACTGCAATATCCTGCAAGCCCTCCATATCAGGACTCGTCTCGCAGCGCTTGATTCTTCACTTACGGCTGGTACGCTTCCCACTGCGACCAACTGCTCGGTATTTGGTTGTAGACTCTCGGCATTTGCAGGGGAAGATGGGTTTGGGTTCGGAACTCCACTCTGCAGGCCCCCTGTCAAGACCCATTCAGTGGCATCTATTATTTACGTACGGCTATTTGGGTTTGGGATGCGAATCCGAGGGTGATGAGCAACTCGCCCCGTTTCTGCTGAAACACTGCACGAGTCTCAGGAGTCGAAGGAAAGATGTATACGGTAGAATATACCATGTCCTTCCAATCTGGAGAGAACATCGCCCGAACCAATCGTGAAGGTTTCAACAGGCGGCTGGTGCCCGAAACGGAGACGCGACTGCTTTCGGCGTACGGAAATGGAGAGCTGCCCCGCAGAGAGCGTTCTACGGTGAGTCAGCCAAGAGCTTGAGGACGTGCAGTTCAAAAGAGGCTGACAAAGGTTCATCGAAGTCTTTGCGAAAACTGTCACTCCGCTGTTGGCTTCGGGGGATAAGGTATACCGTGCCATTGACAACGAACTCTACGGATTTGACATCTTTTGCGTCTTCCAATGCGATATCTGCCCATAAAGTTAGTCCAGTAAAGATGTTAACGGCAATCTTAAAGCCGCACAGGATAATTGTAGAGGCAAAGACACGGTTGGCCGTAGACCCCCGCGGTTGGCAGGAGTTGGTATGCCTGCGCTGTCCTGCTAGTTGCCATCTATCAGCATTTGTCCAGTACCCCCTGCTTCCCACGTACGACCGCGTGAGCACGAAAGGCTAGTTGCGTAGCAGTTGCTTGTCGAGCCTCAGGGTTCGCATGCACACTCGGAGTAGTAACCTGTAAATCTTCCATCAGCACCGAATGAGGACAGAGGATGATCGGGACCAGCAGCCCCAAACTCACGGCGGATTTGGTTTGCAATATAATTCCAAGGGTGACGGATAAAACTCCGAGGGTGATGGTCACCCTGCCACGATTTTTGTTGACCCCTGTGCATGTTTCAGAAGTAATCCAATAAACAACTTATGTTCTGGATAGTACCTTTCCCTTGGAATCTGGAAAGAATCTCAACGGAGCTGATCGAGATTAATTCAGAGACTGTATCGGAGGAACGGGAAAGACCGAAGGGTGACTTCCTTCTTCCGACTGAGAGAGAGAGTTTCTCAGTTGGAAACATTCTGCAGTCAATTAGTCAAGTAGACGATAACGAGGATCGGCAGTTCTAATGGAGACTGACAATGGTTCATCGAAACCTCGCGAAAAAACACCCCTCCCTCGTTCAGGGATGTCATGGTGTCGACCATCATCTAGAATGAGTTCAACAGATTCGATGTTTTGTGCGTTCCGCAACCCGATATCTTCCCGTAAACGTTTCACATCGATTAGTCTTCTGAAGATTGTAAGTAGTGATATCAGACGTCTTACAGGACAACCGGAAAGGCAGATCCATGGTAGCAGTACAAGGAACTTTGACCCACGAGGAGTCCTAGAATTGAACTAGCGCCTGCACCACCGTGCGTCACGCTGGCGACATGTGGCAGCCCAGTCTTGGCCCCGTCTGCCGAATAGGCAAGCCACTTCCCTGCTTTGCTCCCCCCCAAAAAAAAAACTCAAATCTTACTTTCCCGTCGAGAGGGGGTCTCCGGGCCTCCTTACACGACCTTGAAGCATTCGAACTCTTGGTAGTCCTACATCCACGGGCCGAGTGGTATGTACAAGTCATGCAACCACTCGCTTGTGTTATGATATATTTAAGCAGATGAGGCTTTTGGAAATAAAAGCCATTATCGACTGGGACAAGGACGTTAAGGAAGCTACATTCCAAACCCAAGTGTTGGAGGAACGCGATGACGCGGTGACAAGTTATGCAATATTGTCCCACCGCTGGCAGGATGGGCATGAGGTGGACTACAATGAGATGACCAATCTGATGAAGATGGACGAAGAGGAGAGGAAGAAGGTCAAGCAGCGTAACGGTTACAAGAAGATCTTGGCGAGTTGCGAGCAGGCCATGAGGGACGGCTTCGAGTGGCTGTGGGTGGATACTTGCTGCATTGACAAACGCAGCAGTTCGGAGCTATCTGAAGCCATCAATTCGATGTACCGATGGTACGAAAACTCGACCAAGTGCTACGCGTACCTCCATGATGTCGACAGCACCACCTTTCCCACCAAACAAAACTCCGGGCGATTTAGCAAGTGCAAGGGCTGGCCAGAGTGGTTCTCCCGTGGGTGGACCCTTCAGGAGCTGATAGCTCCGAGAGTCGTTCAATTCTTCAACAAGGAATGGGCGCCCATCGGCAACAAGCGAGACCTGGCAGACACCCTAGAGAAAATCACCTGCATTTCGAAAAATATTTTGATATCTGGCATGGATTCGGGTGTCCGCAGTGCGGCTCAGATCATGTCGTGGGCTGCTGATCGAGAGACAACTCGAGCGGAAGATCGGGCGTATTCATTGTTGGGGTTATTTGGGGTGCACATGCCAATGATGTACGGGGAAGGGAAGGGAGCCTTTCAACGTCTCCAGCTAGAAATCATTCGGTTATACAATGACCATAGCCTCTTTGCCTGGGACCCGGAAGGAAGGATGCGGCGGTGTGGTAGCATTCTGGCCGATGACCCAAGCTACTTTCGGGATTGCGACGGCATCTGGAGCATGGAGCCCAAGTGGTTCGTCTCGCAACTGAAATCTCATATGCGAGATCGTTCGGCTGGCGTCGTTGGGAAAGTCATGCCTGCAAACTTGATGAATTTTACTTTTCTGACAGTACGCGGACATGCTCTAATTAAAGAACTCAGTACATGTTCTGTTGGCAGTGGTGGTCTACAAATATCGCTGCCCATTGCACCCTATCCTAGCTCGAATTCGTCCCCGCCCCTATTTAGGGCCACGCTGGCATGTGTTGCCTCTTTAGCAGGTCCCCTGATGACAATTGACTTGGTATCCGACTCCACCCGCTATTACAGATTTTTTGGGGCAACAGGAGAACTCACGACGTTTCCCCGGGTCAAACAAGTCTTTCTTTCTTATTGCCAAGGCGAGTTACGGTCACGTCGTACACTCATACTTGATGATGGAACCGTCTCCTTCTACGGCTTCACGCGATGCGGTACCTTCCCGAGTGGTATTGTCGGAAACTCCGTGAAACTATCGGGAATGAACGACCTGATCGTCGTAATTTATGCCAACGACAAAGCTGATGTTCGTTTTGCAGTGGGATTTGGGTACTACCTTGGGAACCCATGGACCCATGTCATCTACGATGAAAGCCGCCTCACGCCGTGGAAAGATTATGCCAAGAAAGCATATGGTTCATTGTCGACCAGCCAGGCGGATCTCGCTCGTAATACATCAGATTACGACGTTACCACTTCTGACACTGCAAGCTTCATCAAGCATGCCCATCTCCCCCGATCGATTTGGGCTGCGAGGACGACGTGGGGCGTCTGGAACAGGGGCAATTGCACAGTCATCATTGATATCGTGGTCTGCACCGGTTGTTGCCGCGGTCCACTTGCATTGAAAACTTCGACCGTGAGGATCCTGTCCGTTATCTTGGTGCAGCGTCTGATGTCCATATCACCTCAGGCTGACTGGAGTGGCGTTGAAAATCCAGGATTTATGCAACAGGCCCTTTCAACGCCCCGAGTTTGGTGTCGGGATGCAATCGATGATAAGCGGCGGACACAGTTCAAAGAAATCCGGTGGGGCCTTTTCAACTGCTGTTGACGACTGGCTGATTCCAATGTAGGGAACGGTTTTACACCTTGCTAAATTGGGTAGATTTCTGTGCTTTTCGTCCCGCATGTCCTCAAACGTTGCTTTTTCAGTCCCGCCCTGCCACATCAGCAGGTAACAGCCGATCCCCAGTGAGTTGGAGGCTTCGGTTCCTTGAATATTTCACGACTTCGCAACCAGAACAGTAAGGTGGCAAGAAAAGAGACAATTAAGTACTTCTCGGCTATGTTCGGGATTGAGCACTTTGAAAATTATGTGCGCGCGCACTTCCTGCATTTGTAACGTTACACTCACTTTACCTTGGAATTTAGGTTGGGAAAATAACGTTTTTCAAGACCCTTTCCACTAGCTTAGAACTCAAACTGGAACCCCCTCGGGTTATGCAGGATCCGTCTATCAACGCCTTAGTGAAAACATTGCGTAAGAGGATGGGCCATGGAATTCCTAGGCGGCGAATGCAAGGAGTACAGAACGAGGTTACCGCCATATCAAACACTCTCGGCATTAAGGTATCTATTACTACCGTCGACAATAATACCGCATACTAGGCCCAGTGACCATTAGCTGCTAGAAGAAATGGCCACTATCTACACTCGATTCTACGATATACTTTGTCCATTGTGAGTATTCCATTGCTTCCCATTCTCTATTTTAAAGCCCACCGCGCCACGGGTTCAGAAAGGTGAAATTGGACAGAAGCTGCATGGAATATGATATGTCCAAACCGATTGCCGAGTTTATTAGTAGCTTTCCCCCACAGACTACGACATCAAGAGACGACAGTATTCATGACATGGTGCAAGAGATAAAGAGGCTTCAGACAACACTCGATACTACGGAGAATATCGATGAACAGTATGCCCTTGAAGAAGATATCACCGGACGGGTAAGGATGGCCTCGTGTTCACTGGCTTTTGAACTGACCTGGAACAGATCTTGTGGACGTGTCATTCTGGATTCCGCTCTGCGGTAGGACATATACCTGCCAAGGTAAGGTGCTCGTATAGGCAATCCCACGAACGTCTTGTGACCTTAATCAGGTGCTGCACAATATTCTAGAAAACGACAAGATGTGCAACCTAGTGGATCGAGTCAAGGTGAGTGACTGGATGCACACACGAACTAAAGTCGTTGAATCACAGGCCGACCAGTTCTTGGAGGAAATCTCCCGAGTCTTCAATGGCGCACTAGATAAATTGGCGACTGATAATCAGGCTCACTTACGACGGTGAGGCCGTGGTTCGCCTTGTACATTAACATAAATACTGAATCCACCCCCCGTATCTCTTTCAGAATTATGGCCGATGCAGAGGCAGGTACCTCAAAATATCAGCTACTCCTAGATGAGCGGGCACGTGAACAGAGAGTACCAGGCGCTATGCGCGAAGAACAAACCAGAACTTAACGCGTGCTGTTCCGCGGAGTGGTATTGGAGCATTCGATTCTGTATATTAGCGAGACTTGTATCCACACGGCTCGAGCAAACTCCATTTTGCTAATTCACTGGATGAACAACCAAGTATTAGGGCCGCTCAAAGTTAAATGTGGAAAAAACACGCGAGCAAACTCAAGTGTGATTGAGTTGTGAGTTTGTGGGCGAATATTTAATCTCCGACTGGAGGTTCAAACTCCGCGGAAAAAGCGCGTGACCGGGAAACGGTAGTTGTGTCGATAATGCTACTAACGCTCCGATTTAAAATTCAAACTCCGCCGAAAAGCGTGTATGCTTATCAACAGAGAGACCTAGCAAGTGATAATGAACCAATAACAAACAAACAAACATCCATATTCACATACTGCTACATACTATTGTAGATGTGAATACAGATGCAGATGTATACATGGGGGGGAGGGGGGGGAGACAGCAATACAACTAGGGGGGGGGGGGGGGGGGGAATGGGGATGCATACTAAATGATGATCAGTATTCTGTCATACACTGTTTCAAAGCAGATAAACATCTTGATTGCTAGACAAAGGGCCTTGATCCTCACTGCCATCTATGCCTTTTTGCAAGGCAAGGTTCTGAGCATGAAGTTCCTCCAACTTGATGGTGAGCTTCATCTTCTCCAACTCTTGAGCCACCATCATCTCCTCATGTGTGAACAGCTCACATTGCATAGTAAGTTGGTGTTCATGATTGGCTGAGAGAGCAGTGGCCTTCTGGTGAGTCCTCCAGTATCTGTACTCCAGCCAGTGACACTTGACCTCTGACCTATCCTGCCACACCTGTTGAAATTGCTTAATGAAAGTTAATGAAGCAGATGCAAGATCCAAAGAAAGCTTGTCAGCAGGGGTTTCCCATGCACACTTATGGGATGGCTTTGATGACAGCTTGGAATTGCTATCATCAGAGAGAGCAGTGATGCTGGAGGGGGAAGATGATGAGAGACAAAGGGCTGAGAACAAATTGGATGAAGCAATGTCAGAGTTGGAGGAGTCATCTGTATTTGGAGTGGAGGCTGACCAGTGTTTAAGGAGGGGTTGATCCTGCTTGAGGGACAGACATGCTGGCTGAAGTTTTGGACAATGGGATATGAAGGGAGGGGGGTCATCATTCAAGCTGATGGAATTAACTCTGTTAAAAGTAGAGGAGGGAGAAGAGATGACAGCAGACAACTCAGAGAAATTGAAGGATGGTGGGGTGCAAGCAAAAACTGCTCAGAATTAGCAGGGAGGGATGACAGCAACAACTGCTTAGATCCAGCAGAGGATGGAGAGGGTGATGGAATAATGGGTGGCAGCACTCACTCAGAGAAGAGCAGGGAGGGTGATGGTATGGGAAATGATGGCATCTTGATGTGTAAAAAGGGGGGGTCACCATCAACATTCATCAGTTCCAAATCATCTGCAAAAAAGTTGTCATTAGTATGAAAATCATCACCACCCTCCACTATTTCACCCTCTTCCAGCTGAGATGAATTCAGTGGGCCTGCAGCAGGATCAATGAAATCTCCAGATGGTGGGTTTGGCCACAGCTTGAAGAGTTCAACTGCACACCTAGTGAAATTCTGCCCACTATCAGCAGCACTCCAGGTACTGTTGTAGGCAGGATTTGTGCACCACCACCCATGCAATTCTCCCCACCAAGGAAACTCCCTCTCAATCATTGCTGATAACAATCAGTAAACCAATGTGTTTAGGAATGAAGTAGTCACATACCAATTATATTTTTTGTGCTGTTGCTGCATGCAAGATCCTCATAGGTGTGCCTGGCACCTGTCTGCCCAAGTAGTGCATTCTGCTTTTGGTACTTCATTTTTAAACTGTAGTAGTTGAGCAGCATCAGTAAACCACTTTGTGTGCTGGCAGTCCTAGGGAATCTGTCCAGTGCTGGACAGCTCTGGACAGCTCTGGCCAGCAAAAGTGATTTACTGATGAGTGAATTTTTGTTTAAAAGAAATTGATGTACACATCAAGCCAACTACAGATTGGAGCAGCAAAAACAGCTGGATTGTCTTGAGTGAGGACTTGGAATTCAGGGGACTCATTGACTGAGAAGATTGCCTTCACAATCTCAATGTATATCACATTCTTCCCATGTTGCAATTGTTGCTTACTCCTACCTTCCTCTTGAGCATCTTGTGTGGAGTCAGAAAACAACTTCTTCCACTCTGCTTCATGGGTCCTATACCACTCAATAAGATGATCAGTCTGTGCAGTGTAAGTCTTCTCCCATATAATGCAAGGGACCACTGCTTTTGTTGTTGATCTGGCACATAGTGTAGTCACATTTAGTCACAACACATGGGCAGCCTGTGTGCCAAAACACCAACACTTATATAGACCCCAAGACAGGCCTGCCTAAATAGATTAGCCAGTACACATGGACAGGCCCAAGGGACTAAAGTGAGAGCAACATATGTATGGGCCTGTAAGTGCATTACCACAACATATGGGAGGGCCTGTGGTGGGTAAGGATGTTGAAACATTTAGATGGGCCTGTGACCAATTAAGTATACTGAGTTGCTGTAAGACATGGACAGGCCTGTCCTGGTAGGTTACACCCCTGTTGCAACATCAAGGCAGGCCTGCCTATCATAACATGGAGAGGGTCACAACATAAGGACAGGCCCATCTATGATTAGAATACAAAGTTGGCAACATATGGATGGGCCTGGGAGTAATATCATTTATGGTGTCACAACATCTAGACAGGCCCATTCATAATAAGCCATACCCCTGTCACAACATATAGACAGGCCTGTCAACAGTAAGATGTACTGCTGTTGAAACATAAAGATGGGCCTGTCACTAGTATCATTTAATAGAGTCACAACATAAGGTTGGGCCTGTCAGTAGTATTATGCAACATATGGATGGGCCTGTCCACAGTAAGATGTACCTCTGATGAGACATAAAGACAGGCCCATCAGTAATCTCATGTATAGCATCACAACATATGGACAGGCCCTTCAGCAGTATTATTTATATTGTCACAACATATGGGTGGGCCTGACCCCAGTAAGATGTACCTTGTCAAAACATAAAGACAGGCCTGTCACTAATATCATTTAATAGAGTCACAACATATGGATGGGCCCTTCCTATGGATGGGCCCATCCACAGTGAGATGTACCTCTGATGAAACATAAAGATGGGCCCATCAGTAATCTCATGTATAGCATCACAACATATGGACAGGCCCTTCAGTAGTATTATTTATATTGTCACAACATATGGGCAGGCCTGGCCCCAGTAAGGTGTACCCTGTCAAAACATAAAGATGGGCTCATCAGTAATGCTGTTTAATAGCATCACAACATAAGGATGGGCCCTTCAGTAGTATTGTTTATATTGTCACAACATATGGATGGGCCTGTCAGTAATATCATTTAATAGTGTCACAACATAAGGACAGGCCCTTCAGTAGTATCATGTATATCATCACAACAAATGGATGGGCCCATCTAGCAAGATGCACCCCTGTTGCAACATAAGGATGAGTCTGTGTATGGTATTCTTAGGCAGCAGAAAGGGAGATCCAGGCTATCTACATAAGGACAGTCTGTGTAAGGCATTCTCAGGCAGCAGAAAGGGAGATCAAAGGGATCTATATAAGGATGGGCCCATCTATGGTATTCTCAGGCGGCAGATAAGGGAAAACAAAAACCAGTGTTACAACATAAGACAGGCCAATCCATCCATTGCAGGATTACAAACCCTTGGCACTGCATAAGATGGGCCAATCCATCATATCATAGATAGCTCACCACAAATGGACGGGCCTATCCATAATTGGGTTATCCCCCTGTCACAATATAAGACAGGCCCAGGAAGACAAGAAATGAAGAAAGTGGAACCTCTTGCACTATAGAGTATCTGAATTTCCCACTATAAATTGTGTTTCACATTGGACAATTTGCCTATTTAATTGGAATCTCAGGCACTGGTCTATGTAGCTGCAAGCCGGGCTCTGCCATTGGAGCAGATGGGAAACATGCAAAACAAACAGCAATGCTATTCCAGAACAATGCATCATATTTTTATCTGAGCCTCTGCTTCATATATGCATTCAGGATTATTGACTTGTACTGGTATTGCTGTCATGCCATGGGAATCATTCATAGGTGGGATAAAAAATGTGACATCTGTGTATCTTGTTGTCTGTCTTTAACCTCTGACTCTTCCACTCTCCAATCACCATCACCACTCTCACTGTCAAACTACTCCATTGTCTCATCATCAGAAACATGTTGTTGTCATCTTGCAAGCTCTTCAAGAAATTGCCTGAGCTCAATGCTGTGGCCAACTGCATCCTTCAAATTTACTTCAAGGATATTGCAGAAAGCAGCAAGCTGGGAAAGGTGGACAAGATTGTGAAGTGGAGAGGTGCCATCAAGGCAATAAATGATGAACTAGTGTGTCATAGCATCATCACATTTTTTTCACTAACTGATGCATTCAGGATGCTGTACATGACATCATCGCTAGGATGGATGAGATTCTGATGACCCTCATTGGCATCAACATGTTCTTAAAGTGGCATGAAGACCTTGGCTCAATCGAGCACCTGTGGCCTGAGTGGAAGACTGCCCTATCCCCTTCCAAAACCAATGTCACCAACCACAAGTGGCTTGACATTGTTGAGCATCAATACAAATACCACTGGTTGGGCCTCCCTATGCCCCACATGGTGCCAACACCAACACCACCTGCTCAAGAGACCAAAATGCCTATGAGTGACAAAGGAAAATGGAAAGTGACTGAGGCAGAGGTGGAGCAAATGATAGCAGATAGCTTGCACAGGATGGAGGTGGACAATGAGGGTGAAGATGAGGTGCCAGAGAAGGAGGAGGATGAGGAAGAACCAGCATGAGGCAGGCAGAAGTGCAAAGCTGCTGTGAAAATGATGTCCCATTGATCCAGACATTGATCCCACTCTAGGAAGGCAACAGCAGAAACTGATGATGATGATGACACTCCTGCTCAAGGCCAATCAAAATGCAAGCCTCATCCACCATTGGATGGACTATATGGTCGCACTGTTGTAGCTGCCAGAAGGACACCTTCCCCTGACCCCCATTCCTGTGAGTTGTGCTGCAGATGCAAGGTCTGATGCTACAAGAACCCTGGGAAGTCCTGCTTCCTGTGTGACAGTCACAAGATTTGATGTAGCCATGCCAAAGGCAGGATTGCCACTCCAACTCAATGGAATCCATCACAAGCCAGGGGAAAAAAGTGAACTCAAAGTCTGTCCCCAATGATGGAGGCCCAAGAATCCCAAAGCCCAAAGGAATGTCCCCCAAAGTGACACATTTTGATGGCTTCCAAAGCCATCAACACTGAGGTTGGGCCCTCCAACCAGGGAGAGACAATGCCTGAGGGATCTTCACTCAGTATGTTCACAATTTCATGTATTTACATTGACTCAAATTTTATTTAGAGATTTGTATTCCTGCATTCAAATACAGGGATTCCTGCCCAATCCCAGCTGCTGTACAAGTGGATTTGATTGTTGAGGTTGGCCCATCCATTGTGCAGGAGGTAGAGGGATCTACAGCAGCAGGTATGTTTAATCACTCTACATTTATGCTAATTATCATGGTTAACTCTTGTATTCAAAGCAGACACCTGCCCATCAACAACAGCAGCACCCGTCCAACTTGCAACCACTGCAACTCCCAGTGCACCATCATCCATCTGTGCCCCAATCACTGAGGTGTTGCAAACATCCAACACAATCAAAGAGTGAATTGAAGATTTGGAATGTTGACTCTGCAATGCTGAGGCCCACTGCCAATACTACAAGGATCAAATGTATGATTTCCAAATACAACAGGATGAAACCATGCAGATGCTGGACAGGATGGCTCACAAGCTGGAGGCTCTGCATATTCAGGTATATGGACGAGCATTGGGTGATGATCTCATTGATCTCTTAGGGCCTCTGGCAGATGAGACAAGGGCAGATAGGACAGCA